AAATTTATAATAGATAATTTTTCTCAGTGAAATGATCTATATTTACGAGTATAAAAATAGATCTCTCTGAATAATGAGATCCTTATATTTTTCACACACCTATTTTATAAGGACTCGTATATCGCTTATAGTATACATACATATATATAAGAGACCCTCAGTTTCGCAAAATCCCTTAACGATCATTTTGGTCAGTTTATCACGTGCCACTGCAAAAGCCAAGAATCCAAAATACGAACTATCCGAAATTCTATATAAATTTATTTCAAGAAAAAATAAAATACTAAAATTAATTTTAATTAATTCTTTTTCATTACACTTTTTACCGGCTAAATTTAAATAAAGCAATAAACATCATCATCCGCGAGTAGAATTAATTAAAACAATTTTTCATTGAAATGTTAAAAATGTTAATTACTTGCGGACGCTGCGAGCGTGATGACATCCTTTAATTTTCGAAATGGAGAAAAATTCTAATCCTTTTTCTCAACGGGCAGGGACGACAGTAAAATATTGGCGAGATATATGAAGAGAAGCTGAACTATTGTTGGATCAATTACTTTCTCGACTTCATTTCAACGGACTCAATAATACAAATACCGCAAGCAGAAGAGAAGAATAATGCACTCCGACCTCCACAAACGAGCATTCCAAACTTGCCAGAACCCTGGATCAGAGATCCATCCCTTCTTGTAAAATCGGCAATTAATTCATTTTAATGGTTACACTTACATCAAAGCAATTTGTTCAAACAATAAATAGAGATAAAAGAAATGAAACAATCTCATTTTTTCTTTTTTAATTGAAGCAAATAATCGTCTCGTGGACCATCTTCACATTTCTTTTCAAAAGATATCGATTACTTTTTAATTTCTCATAATCAATAAAACTCCTTTATTAACATTGAAGTTGAAAATTTATTTCGCTGAGACGGAAAAAAATGCAATTAATTTTCATCTAAAATAATGTTTTTTTTTACGAAAAATAAAAATTTTTTACGCAAATTAATTATTTCCCTTTGAAGCGTTCGCTTCTTGAAGTTGTTTATTGCGTCAGACAATAAAAGATCAGACACATCGACGTGAAGAATATCCATCTCCCACGGCATTCTCTGTTCAACTCTATATTGCATCCTGTCGGTTTCACTCGAAAATTGTCCGCAGCAATCGATCGACGAGAATCAATTTTTGACGCCAGCAGCACCTGTTGCAGACTCAAACCTGTAAAATTTTCTCTAAATTCCTCGTATACCTTCCTTTCCTTTCTTTTCCTCATATTTCGAATATAAACTTCATACATTGTAATAACAGGCTTTGTATACTCAATAATTAATTTTTAAAAAGTAGCTTTAAAACTGAAAAAAGTAGATATCGAAAAATTAAATTTGACAACTAAAAAAATAGTTTTAGTCGATTCACAAAAATCAGAATCCTTGTAATAATAATAATATCCTCTATTTCAATTAAATTTGACAAAATTTACAGTTAATTGGAAATTTATACCTAAATAAATATTTTTAATTTTCATAATATATTCAAAAAATTTTAATTAAAATTTTTCAAAAGACCAATTTTTTCATAATTTCTAAATTCAATACTAAACTCATTTATTATTCGATTATAATCTAAAATTTTAAATGAAATTCACTTTTAAATCAATTCTTATTAGAAATTTCTATACAATAATTCAATTATTTAAATAAAAAAAATAAATAATCTATATTAATAATTGTTGTATTCAAAGAATTTTATCAAAAAATTGATAACAATAAAATTCCTTCAAAGAATTTCATTATTTAGGAAAATAATTGAATTCTCGCGAAAAATTGTGTTCAAATTTTTGAAAATTTTAATTAAATTCTTTTTGAAGAATTTCTTTGAATCTTTTTTTTTAAATAATGGAGTTTCTTTAATAATTTTAATTAAAAATGTTGAACAATTTCTTTCAAGTTTTTAAAACAATAGTGTTTGTTAAAAATTTAAATTAAACATTTATTTATCGAATTTTATTAAAATTTTAGAAAGTAAATTGAATTTTTTTGAAATATTTTATAATGAATTAAAAAAATTAATTCTTTCGTGGAATTTATTTTGAAAATAATTGAATTTTTGCAAAGAATTTTACTATTTATATATATAATTGAATTATTTCGATGGATTTATTAAAATTTTAGAAAATAATTTAATTTTTTCTTGAAAAATATTATTAAAAATTGTTTTTAAATTGAATTCTTTCATGAAATGTATTATTAAAACTGTATTAAAAATAATTGAATGTTTGCAAAAAATTTTAATATTTATAAATAAAATTGAATTGTTTCGAAAGATTTATTTAAATTTTAGAAAATAATTGAATTTTTTAAAAATATTTTATAACAAATTAAACAAAATTTAATTCTTTCATTAAATTTTTTTGAAAATAATTGAATTTTTGCAAATATTTTACAATCTAAAAAAATAATTGACTTGTTTCGAAGGATTTATTAAAATTTTAGAAAATAATTGTATTCGATCGTGAAATTTTATTAATATTTTGTTTAAAAATAATTGAATTTTTGCAAAAAATTTAACTGTTTGTAAAAATAATTGAATTCTTACGAAGAATGTTCATTATTTATAAAAAAAATTGAATTCTTGCAACGAATTTTATTAAATTTTTTAAAATAATTGAATTCCTGTAAAAAATTTAATTATTTTTAAAAATAATTGAATTCTTGCGAATAATTTTATTAAAATTTTTGGAAATAATTGAATATTTTTGAATCATTTTATAAAACTTTTAATTTCTAAAGAATAATTCAATTATATTTACAATAATAATTTAATTAAAATTGTATTAAAAATAATTGAAATCCTGTAAAGAATTTTATTATTTATGATGTTATTTGAATTTTATTAATTTTTGTTTTCGTAAATAATTGAATTCTTTTGAGAAATTTTATTAAAATAGTAGATATTGAAAATATTTGAATTTCAGCTAAAAATTTAATTAATAAAGAAAATAACTGTATTATTGTGAAAATTTTCAAAAAATTTTTGAGAATAATTTTTTTATTTCAATTATTAGCGAATTTAAAGTAGCGCAAATTTTCAAAAAAATAAAAAAGTAGCTTTCATTGTGACAAATTTTAGAAAAGTATCCAAATAGTAGCTAATCGTATAAAAAAACTAAAAAAGTAGTAAATATAGTAGATTTTAGCAGACAAGTGCGAAGCCCGTAATAATAAAAAATTAATAAACCATAAATAAAACTCACGGAATGTTTATACATTTCCATTGTTCGCAACTCTTGAAAAGGAACCAGCTTCATTTCACTTTTTTGTGAATAAAGAAAATAAAAGATTTTGTTGACACACGAAAGAGGTCTTGATCAAGCAAGAATTTATCTTGACAACAAGTCTTTTTTTTAACATTGGCGAAGAAATGAATTATTAACCTGATCGTAAACTCTCTCCTTTCCGTCTCATTTTCAAGATACAAAAGTGACTTTTTTCTACACTAAATAGCACTTTTTTCAAAAGAGAAAGGTTCCGCTGAATATTTAATTCTTAATCACACGCTATGGAAAAGCAGAGAACATGAAAGAAAAGGGGGCTCTCGTCGCACCCTTTTTTTTAGGGACGCAAATACCCTTTCAACTTCTTCTCATATCGTATCACACACAAAATGTCGGGAACGGTCGAGACTCATTTCTTCAGCTTGATATCCGATATCTATGTATGAATATGCTCTCCTTTTTGGCTTTGCTTTTTCTTAGTTTCCATCGCAATTCATCTGCCTTCCTCTGCTTATGCCAACATTGAGAATTACACTCTGTGTATGCGTATGAAACGTTTCTTTCAAATTCTTCTTTTCATTAATCAAAGAAGCTTATGAATCAGAAATAAAAGAATTTTCCATCTCAAAGATATTCAACTTTTTCTGAAGAAAAAACCTATGTTTGTATAATGTGGATTAACGCAAAAAAATGACAGTATTTGAACAATGTCATTGTTTCAAAGACGTTTGAATGAAATTTGTAAAAAATAAAATTAAAGGATTACAATTTTCCTTAAATTTAAATTGGAATTTTATCACAAAATATTTTCTTTTATAAATAAGAAATTAATTTTTAAAATCTTCAATTACAATTTTCTTTTCATTTCGGTGGCAACAGAATTTTCTGTTTGTTTTTAAATCCAGTAAATTTTTTGATTTTAATTTGTTAATTTTAGTTTTAAAAATGTATGATAGATTAAAAAAAAATAAAACTATGGAGTTTTCATAAGTTCGAACAAAACTTTCCTTGACTCTCTGGATTAGTTTTTTTTATGCAAAAAGCAGCAGTTTTAAAAAACAAAATTTGAACTTGGTAAAGTTTCCACGATGTTGTTTACCAGATTAATTTAAATTCATCAGATTTTTTAAATCTTATTTTAAATATTTTTTTATTATGAAACTTTTAATTCATTAGTTCTTGAAATTCAATTAAACACAAACCTAAAATTAATGAAATTTTACTACAATTTTTTTGAGATTACAGTGTAAGAAACATAGATTTTTGTAGTTTTGGAATTTTTTTTTGTAACTGTTGCAGAAGTCACTTAAAACTTCAATTGTTTAATTAATTAACAATTTATTTTGCATAAAAAATAAGTGTAATGAATTTTAAAACATTTTCCCTGTAATTTTTAATTGTAAAAAAATTATGTTTTGAAAAAGAAATTGTTTATTGACCTTTTTTTAAAAAATAAACCTGTTTTCAATTTTTTATGAAAATTTGCTTATGAAAATAAGAGAATTCTTGGACTGAAAAAACCTAAAGAAAAGTGGAAATTGAATTTGAAAATTGTGAGAAAAACAATACTTTCAAGACAAAGGAATAATAATGAAGTAAAAAAAGTTCTTGCTTGAAAAGAAGTTATCTCTGACAAAAGGAATGTAAATATTAAATTATTATAATAAAGTTAAGAATAATAAAAAAAATAAAAATGATAATAATAATAATAATAGAAACTTGTGTTAAGTGTATAAATATTCTCTATTTACAGTTTCTTAATACAAATAAATTCTTATAATAATAATTAACACTTTCTTTTACCTTAACCATGCTGTTTCAATAACAGAAAGGCCTCGCATAAAGTTTTTGCCAGTGCACACGATTTCTGTAAATAATACAAGGGGATGTTTCGAATTATGCAGCACTGACGATGGATGTATTGCAACAGTTTGCCTGGAACCAAGCTGGAAAAAATCAATATTAAAAATTACATTAAAATTTTCATTCCCTATTTAAGAAACAACACTCGAATAATTTAAATATTACTTGGGTAAAATTTTTTTTCTAAAGTAGATAATTTTAATTAAAAGTTTACCGTCATATACGTTTGATCCCTCTGAAGTTCAGCCACATTATCGTAAAGCCCTTCAAGCAGAGCTTTTCTTAAATTTTCAGTATTTGTTCCACAACTCGATTTTTCCAAGTTAGCTCTTTCAGCAGTTTCAACCAATTGTTTTCGAACATTACACGCATACTCTAAATTCCTATGGTGCAAATAATTTTCTTTACAAAAGACCTTCTTCTCCTTTGTTTCGACATAATGGCGGTAGACCCTCAATAATGTAATGTGATCTCCTTCCTCTGAACTAAACCTATTTGAATAAAACGAGAAAATTATTATTAATCAAAAATCTTATTCATTGTTGTAATTTATTTTACCAACTAAATCAAATACCTCGTTCTAGCCATGGCAGATTCTCTTCTTTTACTCGGAGGTTCATTAAACACAGATTCTCCAGATAGCATTGCAATGACTATAAGAGCTTCTTCCAAGCATTGATGTTCAACAGAGGCTAAAATCACTTTTGTAAAACGAGGATCTAACGGAAAACGTGACATCGTTCGTCCTAAGGTTGTTAATTGTGGTGGAGAGCCTGTGTGTCAAAGTTTCGTAATTAGAATATTTTAATTACCTTTTTAATTCAATTTTGAAAAATTATTTCGAAATTTACCTCTTACAGCACCAAGTTTTTCTAAACAGGCAACTGCCACTTCAATTGCTTCTTTGGGTGGTTTGTCCATAAAGTCAAAAGTCGTAATGTCAATACCGATGGCTAACAACTGAAGAGCAACACCGACAAGGGAGCATCTTAGAATTTCGGGAATTGGCATCTCTGCCAAAGATTCGTATTCAACTTTAGTGTACGTTCTGTAACAACAACCGGACGACAATCGACCAGCGCGACCAGTTCTCTGCTGAGCCTGAGCCTTGGACACTTTCTCGACTTTTAAACTGTCAAATCCAGTCGTTGGATGAAACATTCTCGTCTTAACAACACCAGTGTCAATTATGTGACGAATGCCTGTAAAAAATCAAAGTTTTTAAATGAATAAATTAATGAATTAATTGACAGGGTTGCCACGCTTTTACTCATTTCAAATTCCCAAACTTTTCCAGGTTTTTAAAACTACATTTATATTTTACAAAATTGAATAATTAGTCATTATAATATTTCCATAAGAATTAAAACTCTTCAAAAGATTCAAATTCAAACCTTTTTGAAATTAAACAACTTATAAAAAATTATTATAAAACATGAAGAGATCGATTGCTCCGAGTCGACTGATAACATCATTATTTTACTAATCAATTTTATTTTATATTAATCATTATTTCATATTATAAGAATATTGTTACTATAATTTATTCAAAATTACTTTCGTGACTTCAATTCAATTATTGTTTTCCAGAATTTTTAACTAAAATTCTTCTTTAAATTAATTATTTTTAATTATTTTTGAAAAATTTCTTTTCAAATCCTTTTGTTTACAATTCAATTTTACGAAATTTCATCGACTATTCGAAAATTCTTCAATAAAATATATATTAGAAAATAAAAACTTCAAATAACTTAAAAAAATCCAATTTAACTTTTTCAAAGAAATTAAATCTATACAATTTTCAGTTAAAAGTATGAAAAATTCAAACATTCAAAGATTATAATTTGAAACCTTTTCAAAATTCAATTATTTCTAAAAATTCACGCTTTAATATTTTCTCTCTAAATTTAAATTAGTAAAAATGTTTACTAATTGTAATTAGTGACTTTTTGCTTTTGAATGAGTAAATTTTACAAATAAATTAGTAGAAATTCCTATTATTAGTCAAATTTAGTAGAAACGACTATTTATTAGTAAAATTTACTTATTCAAAAGCAAAAAGGCAGTCACTAATTCTAATTAAAAAACATTTTTACTAACTCAAATTCAGAGAGTTTAATATTCAATTATTATTTAAAAATTTAACTGAAATTCATATTTAAATAAATTTTGAATAGAAAATTCTACTAGAATTCAATTATTTAAATAAAAAAATTAATATTTTATTAAATAATTTAATGTTTCTTAAAATTGAATTTTCATAAAAAATTTAATCAACACATTAAATAATTGAATTCTCTTGACAAATTTTAATAAAACTTTTAAGAATAATTTCATTTTTCGAGAAATTTAATGAAAATTGTATTAAAAAATTAAAATTCTGCGATGAGTTTCATTTTTTATAAAAATTATTGAATCCCAGTAAAAAATATTATTTATTTTTAAATACCTAGGCAATTAAAATTCTTTTGACGAATTTCAATAACATTTTTAAGAATAATTTCATTTTTCGAGAAATTAGATTAAAATTGGATTAAAAATAATTAAATCTCTGTAAAAAATTTAATTGAATTGAAGAAAAGTTTTTGAAAATAATCAAATTGTGACAAGAATTTTATTAAATTTTTTGAAAATAATTGAATCTCTTTAAAAAAAATTGATTATTTATGAAAATAATTGAATTATTGCGAAGAAATTTTTATAAAATTTGTAAATAATAGAATTCATGTGAAATTTTTATTATTCAAATAAAAAATTCAATTTTAAAATTCATTAAAAATTGAAATTTTACGAAATTTTAAATTTCAACCTTTTGAAGTTTATCTATTTATGAAATTTTGTAAACGCAACTCTTTTAAAATTGAATTAATTTTGAAATATTTAAGAAAAATTAGATTTCAAGAATAAACACAATAGAAAACAACAATTTTCCAGGATTTCGATCAAAATTCCCTGACTTTTCCAGGTTTTTTCAAGGTTTATAAAATTCCCTAACATTTTCAGGTTTTCCAGGTTGCGTGGCAACCCCGATTGATAATTAAATTTAATTACTAGAGTAAATTAAATAGAGTAATATTGAAATTAAAAGCAAACTTGAAAAACTTTACCTCCTATTGTAACGGAAGTTTCAGCAATATTCGTCGATATAACAACTTTTCTCATTCCTGGCGGAGATGGTCTAAACGCCTCTAATTGCATATGATTTGGCAATGCAGAATAAAGAGGAAATACTTTTACCGAAGGAAATCCTTTTCCCTCCGCCAATTTAGCTGCTCCTCGACAAAGCATAACTGCATTCTCTATCTCCTCTTGACCGGTTAAAAATACAAGAATATCTTCACTGTAAAATATTTATGTTAAATTACTCAAAAATAATAATTTTACGTTATGTAGATAGAAAACAAAAAACCAACTTTGGTGGAGATTCACGATTAATTTGAAAAACTGTCGAAAGAGCAGCAAAAAGATAATCATCCTGAGGCTTTGTGGCGTGAAAAATTTCGACTTCATGTTGCCGACCTTCGATATAAGCAACTTTGGCTTGAAAATAATCGGCAAATTTCTCCACATCCATTGTAGCAGACATAATTATTAATTTCAGCGGGGGATGGTTTTTCAGTTTTCTTAGACTTTGGGCTCTTTTCGTAACGCCGAAAAGAACATCAGTGTGTACAGATCTTTCGTGAGCTTCATCCAATATAATTACTGAATAATTGGAGAGAACTTCATCGGTCATTGCTTCTCGTACCATCATACCATCTGTTACATATTTAATTCTTGTGTCTGATGAAACTTTTTCATCGAAACGAACACAGTAGCCAACTCTTTTACCCGGGTAAGCTTCACCCTGTTCTTGAGCGACTCGACGAGCGAGAGTTACAGCAGCTACTCTCCTAGGTTCAGTAACTCCAATACAACCTCCACGTCCCGCTATGCCAGCAGTGTAAATTAGCTGTGGAATTTGTGTACTTTTTCCACTTCCCGTTTCTCCTATTATTATCAGAGTATTGTGATTTCTTATTAAATCAAGAATCCTGAAAATTTATCAATACAAAATTAAAAGAGAATTTATTTATCTTAAAAAATTGAATTCATAACCTCAATATTGAGAATACGTACCCTTTTCTATGAATATAAACTGGCAACGATTTTCTCTCCTTCTGAAGTTCAATATTCGTTTCATTTGATAATTCAACGTGGTAATTTTTATTTTCCTCGATTTTTTGAACTTTATTTGATTTTTCATTTAGTGTCACTATTGCTGGACGTTTTGGTGCTAGTTTCGAAAAACTAGAACTACCTACATTATACTTTGATTCCGCAAAATCGTAAACTCCCATATTTAAAATAATATGAATTTCACTTTTTTAAAAACACTTTCAACAAATGTAATTATTATTTCTCATTTATTTGAAGATTTGAACGATCTGAACACGTGAAGGAACATTTACAACACAAATGCTACAAAGTACTACCTCTTCAGAAAACATGGTCTCCCACGTTGCGCTCAGCTGGCTCAGCTCTGTTGATAATGTCGATGTTTTTAGAAATGTTTAGAAATAAATTTGATAAATTCTAACAGGTTTTAAATTATATTTTTTATTTCAATAGAAATTACAAAAAAAAGATTGTAGAATAAAATAATTTATTCAATCATTGTAAATTCTTTAAAATTGTTAAAAATATTAAAATTATAAACATAATACACGATAAATAAAAAATAAGAATCAATCTTATAATTATTTTATACTTGACATTTAAAGCTACACTTAATTACACACATATTTTATATAATTATACATATCTATAATTATAACCAAGATATAAAACAAACATAATTATATATTATGCAGATATCTGTCAGATCCATATATAATACATATATAGTCTTACAATTATTTTTTATGCTCTTATTTTCACATCTCCTTAAAATATATATTTTTGTCATCGAACTAAAATGTGTTTTAATGAAAGACTCGATTTAAAAATTACAATATTGCAGGAACCTAAATTTAAAAACTATAAATTAGTTTTTAAAACACATTTTATGTTCTATAAAACAGTTATTATATCTATAATTTGCTTGCAGGTTTATACGGATTTTTTTATACTCTTTTTGTTACCAGAACCTTATCATCCTATTGATTTGCGCAGTTTTCTTCCAATATTCAAGATTTCCAAGGATACAACATTTATTTACGATTATCACAGTATTTACTGCGCAAAAGGAAGACTGAAGAAATTAGTTATTTTTTTTTCGTTTGAGAGTGCACATCATTAATGTTCTGTCATTGCCTTTGCTATATTAATTACATACTGACTGAACAATACTAAGAATACATTAATGAGTTACACTCGACAAAGATTTAATTTTTATCTATACAATAAATTCATTAATTTAATAAAATTATCCTAAATGATATTGCCTAACATCATCGAATTGTATTATATGTGAGGCCTTTTATATGCTCGGGAACCTGAAAAAGAAAGAATAAATTTTAATTAAGACTTAATTTGTACTTTACAAGAGTGTGAATCTGGCTACATACTGCAGCTCCGATCCGAGATAAATATCGATTACGCATACGTATGTCTGAGTGAGATTGATGCAAATCATCTCCGGAATGATCAGTAGCTGATCCTGATGCCAACAATTGTTCCCTCTCCACCACGTCAATGGATCCGCGGCATTGGTCGTAATTCACTCGTTCATTCGGAGTCATGTTCAGATAACCACCTGTTGAGGCTCTGTCGGATATCCAAATTACAACCACCGTGATTAAGGAAACTGAAAAAGAATTATTTTTTTTATTTTTAAATTAAAATTTTATTTTTATGAAGGGTTTATAAATACTCACTCCACAACGAAGCAAGGAAGAATATTTCCAGCATGAAATATCCACCTTTATCGACAATCATTCCCGATATTATGGATACTATGGCTAGTCCCAAATTCTGAACCGCTTGAGCACTACAAACAGTAAAGGAGTTCAAATTTTCAATTTCCGAAAACAAATAAATTAGGTATCGGACCAATTACTGACAAAAACATAATCAGTCCGAGTCAAATAAGAGAACATTTTACTTAAAACTATAAATTCAATTTATAATAATTAAAACTGACCGAGTGAGGAAATAAATTCAATTATTATTTTCAAGAATTTTGAACTAAAATTCTTCTTTAACTCGAATTATTTTTAATAATTTTCGAAAAAGTTCTTTGACAATTTTCAAATCCATTTTGTTAGAATATTCAATTTTTCAAAATTTCAATTATCCGTAAATTCTTCAATTAAATATACATTAGAAAATAAAAACTTCAAATAATATTAAAAAAATTCAATTAAACTTTTTCAAGAAAATTAATTTTAAAATTCAATTATTTCTACAAATTCACGATTAATATTTTAATATTCAATATTATTAATTAAAAATTTAGCTGAGATTCATTTTTAAATCAATTTTTATTAGAAAATTCTACGAGAATTCAATTATTTAAATACAAAAATAAATAATTCATTGAATAATTAAATGTTTCTTAAAATTGAATTTTCATAAAGATATCCTGTGAAGAATTTTATTTTTTGTGATGTTAATTGAATTCTTTTGAGAAATTTTATTAAAATAGTAGATATTGAAAACATTTGAATTTCAGCGACGAATTTCATTATTTAAGAAAATTATTTTTCGCAATAATACAATTTTTGTATTATTACAAAAATTTTCCAAAACTCTTTGAAAATAATTGAATTGTTTCAAAGAATTTTAATAAAATTTTTAAGAATATTTACATTTTTCGAGAAATTCAATTAAAATTGTATTAAAAATAATTGAATTCCTAAAAAAAAGTTTATTATTTATGAAAATAATTGAATCCTTGTAGAAAGAATTTAATTATTTATAAAAATAATTGAGTGATTGCGAAGAAATTTATAAAAAATTTGTAAATAATTGAATTCCTGTGAAATTTTTATTATTTATGAAATTAATTAAATGTTTGAGTACAATTTTATTAAAATTTTGTTTAAATAATTGAATTTTTTTGGAAAATTTTATTAAAATAGTAGATATTAAAAATCATTGAATTTAGGAAATTATTGAATTTTGGAGAAGAATTTAATTATTTACAAAGCCAATTGAAATTTTGACAAAAACTTTTAAAAAATTTTGAAGATAATTGAATTTTTGCGAAGAATTTTATTACTTTGAAAATAATTGAATTCTTGTGATGAATATTGTTATTTATGAAAATAATTGAAATTTTGTGAAGAGTTAGATTGAAATTTTTGAAAATAATCGAATTTCGGAGAAGAATTTAATTATCTACAAAGATAATTGAACTTTTGACGAGAATTTTTAAAAAGTTTTGGTAATAATTGAATTTTTGCGAAGAATTTTATTACTTTTGAAAATAATTGAATTCTTGTGATGAATATTGTTATTTATGAAAATAATTGAAATTTTGTCAAGAATTTGATTGCATTTTTTGAAAATAATTGAATTTTGAAGAAGAAATTAATTATTTACAAAGATAATTATACAATTTACGAACTTCGCGTCTTTTCTCAATAAAATTACGGAGTTTATGGAACTTTTTTCAAAAAAACTGACTTTTACGGAGTTCAAGCAAATTTTCGGACCTAGTTCGAGCCCTGGTTATACTTACATTCCATAAGCAGTGCCAAGTTGATATTCAGGAATCACTAATGCAATTAAAGGCCAAAGACTGCTGGCCAACATTGAGTACGACAGACCCAAAGTAACCATGCAAATATACGGACTCACAAAAGTGAACGCGAGAAGTCCGTGTGCAACAATTGTCCCAATAATACTGAGGAAAACCCACAAAACATTCTTTCCGGTCTTATCGACAACTAAGCCGAAAGCCGGCGATGCAACAGCAGACACAGAATAAAGCATCGAACACACTGTGTTTGCACTACTCGGATCTAAATCGTACTTGCGAATAAAAAATACTCTGCAAAAAATTTTAAAATCTTATAGAGTGAACAAATATTTGACAAAATATTAACAACAAATATTACTCACTTTCCAAGTGCAATGAAGGGAAATATCGCAACGTAATACGCGATGCAAATAAATGCAACGAACCAAAAGACTGCCTTAAAGTCTTTTACATCCGTAAGTCTTGCAATTCGAGGTTCTTCGCCCTCTCCTCGTCTCAATGCCTTCTCCATACGTCTGTCCATTAACCCTAATATACAGGCACATATCATTGATGCCACGCATGTGAGAGCAGCAAGAAACAGAACCACTCCAATACACGTTGGTCCAGAGTAAATGTGGGAAACGTATCTGTAAATTGGCTCCATAACCAGGAAATTAACCGTTGAGCCCACTCGAGCAAAACTCAATTGAAAACCAAACACCATATTCAATTCTTTCCCTTTAAACCAAAGGACAGCGTAACTATTTTGTGCGACTGCCAGCGATTCGGCTCCAATTCTGCAAACAAAATAAAAAAAATAAGAATTAGTTTTCCTGAATCTTATCCTAATTTATTGATTAAATAGCAAACTAAAAATGTGTACAATTTTTTCCAAAAAAATTTGGTGTATAACGAAAAATTCTTTTCTTCACCTACCCAAAGACAAATCTCCCGACCATCATGAGCCAGAAGGCATCAACTAAAGCACCAAGAGCAAAAATAAATTGGCCAATCATTGTGAGACCCATATAGATAACTGTTCCCAATCGAATACCAAATACTCTATCTAATAAAAAACCTCCTATAAAACAGAAGATTACATTTGGCCAGGAATAAATTGAATACAAAAGGACGAATTGAGTAGTTGTCATATCCAGGTCTTTGATAAAATAGTCCTGAAGTGCTGCCGGATTGTCATAGCAAAAATATGATCCTGTAAATGAGAGAAAAAAAATTTAGTAAATATTCATTTATCTAAACGAGTAAATTAAATTAGTAAATATAAAAATTAGTCAATTTTGTTAATTATATTATAAAACAAAAGAAACGTCAATGACTGATAACAAGTATGATATGAAGAAGTTTACCACAAACAAATAAGGAAGAAAAAATTATGATTGCGTGAATTCATTTTATGCAATTTAATCCCCTTCAAATTGTTTATATTAATCGCATTCTAAAGTTTTTTATACATGAGTAATATGATCTCTTATTCGTCATGTCAGAAAAGTTACAATGACAAATATCTATACAATGAAAATAATTGACTTTTAATTCATACAATATTATAAATCTATACAAATGTACAAATTAATCGTTCTATTTATTTTTTTTCAGATTCTATAAATTTGAGAAAAAATTTTAAAAAATCTACAGAAAAAATATGTTAGAAACAAATTATACAACAAATAAGTAGTATTAAAATTAAAATTTTTAAATATGAAGAATATTATAAATAAATATTATATGTATTATTATTTTTTAATTTATATTTATCACTTTTAAAATTTTTATTAAAATGAAAATCCAATTGTAATCACACTATTTATATTATAAACATGTAAAAAAATTTTGTCATTCTTTATCTATTCCAATTATTTTAATATGAGAGTCAAATATTCCACAGTAATTATCTCTAAAATTATAGCTTTAAGTTTATCGACTACTGCATTTGTGTTCATATTCTATTATCTGCATATGTGAATGAAAAAAAATACAAAGATAGACGAAATATAAAACAAAACGGAAAGTTTATTCTACAATATATTGTCCTATTACAACTGTATTTAAAAAAATTATGTAATTTCTAATTCTGTTTGTTTTTTTTCAACTAAATTTAGGTATTTATTTATTTATTCAAGTATTTTATACCTGTCAGTAAAATCTAAATTAAATTCTTTATATTTTAAAAAATGCTACTATAACTAAAATAATTATATTGTATACTAATTGTACAATTGTATCAATATTTTAATATTCTATTGTCCAAAAGATCTAGTCATTGATCCTGTTCTTAATAGTAAATATAGTAAAATATAATAAAAGAATTATTTCTTTTGTTTTCAAAAAGCTAAGTACATATATATTTCTTACCGAAACCTAGTAAACACATAAGAATAAGTCCAAACAAACGAAAAGGAAGTTTTTTTGGACTACAACAGCCATCATTATTTAAATCATCCGATGAACTTGCCAGGGTTGATTCTGGACTCTCCTCTACTCTACCCTCCATAATTTGTGTTTAACTGATCCTTTGTTATCTGTCAAATGAGTTAAAATTTACTGCATTTACTTCTAAATTCACTTTATACGTCATTAACATCTGTTGCCTCTTGAACTCATTTGCACTACTTTTATAAAAAATACAATAACTTCACCATGTAAATATTATGGGGGATAATAATTTAGATTGTCTAAAACTTAAATAAAAACAAGAACTTTAACATCTGTAAGAATACAATGTACATATTGTAGATGTAGGTATTGTATATATGGGATTTCCTTATGACGATCAGTACGCATGCGTCTATAATCCAAATACTGACTGAGGTTTCACGCTTGCGTACTTTCCTAGGCAAATATTCTAATAGCATTTTTAAACTAGATTATTAAAGATTAGTCACAAAATTATTAAACATTAATTTTATGTTAAAGATAAATTAATATATATATATACATTTTCATTAAAAAAGTTATGCAATGACTATTTCCAATTGTTATGAAAATAAATTTATTTTACTGTTTACCCTATAAATAAATTCCACATATTCGAAATAATAAAAATATACTTATTTTATTAAAAAATTTTTATTTTAATAAAAGTTCTTAATTTTTTAGTTTCTTACTTTTTTTTATAAAATTTCCGATTCTAAATTCATTTTGAAACGAAGATAATAAATTAACATTAAGGATACAATATATTATATTCTGTATATTAGGAAGCAACTTCCTCCGTCGCTCCTTCAAATTCAAGCTTAACTTGACACTCCTCCGGTAATCCTTCAACGTCGACTTCAGATTCCGATGCGTTTAACATGTTCAGCGTAACCTCAGCTGATTTTCCCATCAGTCCTTGGTTTCCTGTAACCTGTTGTACTTTTTGAACTTGTTGTTGCTGTTGTTGCTGCTGCTGTGGTGTATTAGTCTGTTGTTGAGGTTGTTGTAAAATTTGTTGCTGTCTGATGGGAACTCCAGCTTCCTCAAAAGCTTTCTTTTTCAAAGTAGTTCTAATCTGTGATCTGTAATATTAAACAATAGAATTTTTTTTTAGTTTCCGAGGTTTCTTTTTACTGACAAAGAAATTGAGCTAGAACCGTTTTTCTCGATTAGAGAACTTTTTTGAGACTTACACAGTTCTTCCTTTGATGTGTTCACTAATTTTGTTTAATTCTTCACTAAATGTCTTTACCGAGTGACGGAGCATCTCAATTTCCTCATCAGTCCATTTACTGAAATAAAAATTCCAATTTAATAAAATATCCATAATAATATCTAAATATTTGTCGGGGAAATTAAAAATCTTGATTTAAATAAATAGAAATAGAAACAATGTCTATTTGAATTTTGGAGCATATATTCTGGTGTCACGTGACTTAATGGTGAGCGCGAAAAAGATGTAAACATTGAAAGCTTACCCGGCTGGTGAATCCGTAGTTGGATGTAATTGCATTGTTAATTCGCCCAATTTGTTAAATGCCGCACCGGCTGCGGTGAAAATTTCACCTACCTGTTAAAAGGGAAGATGACTTCAAAACAAATGTATAATGAGATGCATAAACAAGACTAGAAAATAATTAAGAGATCTCACAAATTACATGATAATCGGAAAAACATCTTTGATTTTAAGTGAAAGTTAATGTGACTCGAGTGTATTATCAATTAATATCGTTTGATAGTTGAAAATGTTAATAAAAGCGCATTTCAAACCTAACCTCACAATTACCAGAAATTTTGTATTAATATCATTTTATTACTTTCACAAGAATGTGTTGACTGAGAGAAATGTAGGAAAATGTTATATAAGGTGTTTTCATTACGTTTTTTTAAGTTAAAGATAAATATTAGCACTTTTTCCTACCTTACTTGCCGAATTCATGTTAGTAACAACTTTTTATTATCCTTTTTATTTTTGTTTTGCTGACGTTGGTAACACTATGAGAACGATTACCAACTGTGGCGGTTTATTCAAATACTTCAATAATAAATCAATAACTACAAATCAAATTTTTTTTCTGATATGTCTAGCAGAATTTATTTTATAAAAAAATGTACAAATACGAATCACTAATATTAACTTTTTCGTTTATAAATTAACACTCTTCTTTGCCAGTTATTAGTTTCAGTTACTGTCACATTGGAAAAATTGCACTCGTTTTTAAGAATATTTGCAATATGCAAATACATGTCACCTGTGAATTTAAGTTTGTTTAATAACAAAAAATCGTCAACATTTGCTCTGCGTAGTCGTCTTGATGCATTTCTATAACTTTTCCATTGTTGAGGCTCAATTACGATCATATCTGACAGTTCACAAACAGTTTTTAGGAATTTTATCAAACCCTCATCTCCGTGGTTTAGATGAATCCACATTGTGATGGAAAAGCAAAATGCTACATTAAATCTGGATTTCTGAACACTTTCCAAATAATTAGTTATCAAATGCTCTCTGTCTTTAGAGAGAAAGTCTAGACATTCAAATCTGATTTCACTTGTCGTGGAATATTGCAACTGAGCTCTCTCAATTAAAGTCGGATCAAGATCAACTCCCAGAAGTGAAATTTTACATTTTTCCTCAGATGATGACGATACATTACATTGGAGAAAATTGTAGAGCGAAAATGATAAATTCTAGGAGAGAAAAGATATTGTTAGGAAAAAATCAACTTTTTGAATAATTAATGTAAAAATAAATATTTAATACTTACTCCAGTGTTGCATCCAATATCTAGAGCACTAAATTTACAATCTGTTGAATTCCAAATATTTTTTGGAAGTTGTTGAATTCGTTCCTCTGCAGGATGAAAATTGTAATAATTTACAAAATTCCCATATCTATGTCCTTCGGGATCAACTATTTTTTCTTTTTCTTCTTTCATGTTTGATTCTCAAATTGATGTGAGAAATACAATAATAAACGAAATTTATATTTTTCATTCTAATCCCTAATTATTAGGTTATTTCAAGGGATTTGTTTGTTATAGAAAGGAGAAGGAGAAAAAGTTCGAAGTCTTGTCGAAACAACAGGGATTTTCATTCTAGAACCTGTAGCGCCAATGTTGATGGAAACATTTAGAAACAGACTTTTGCTTACATCACGAGTCATCACTTTAATAAAAAAGCACAGTGAGTTTAGTGATCAGGATGATCACATTATTCACATTCACAAATCACAACATGCCAACCAGTGCTAACTTCATGAAAATGACAAGTGTTAACTAATTGGCTTTCAGATTTTTTCCACTTATATGTGTTTCTAAAATCAAAACAATTAAAAATTTCCCTTTTTCAATTGTGGAAATCATATTGGAGCACGATCTTTGAGTAAAAAAGTTATTCAACATGACAGCTCCGTGACAGGTGATGATATTCTCACAAATTCAGTTTAACCTCATTAACAGTGATAGAAAGTGTTCAATTGAGAAGCAGATGGATAAAAAAAAGCTCACCTTATCAGTTAAAAATTCTATTATGATGGAGGACCTAAAATTTAAAGTTTTAGGACTCCTCAATAAACAGGTTAGTTTCTTTACTTATTCTATTTTCTATACTTTATTTTCAGCTTATAATTTGTGTTGCAAAGCACGTGAATTCACTTTTCATTTATGCTTATACTGTAATGATACGTCGTAGTAATTAGAATGCGAAACTTCTTTTGCAATTTAATGCAATTGAAGAGTGATTACTGTGACGCAATTTAGTACGAATTTAGAATGCTTTGATTGTGCGTAAACTATACAACTAAATCTATATATTGTATAATATATAATTATAATATAATTATCAATCTTTTTTTTAGAATCAACCGAAAATACCATCAATGGGACTCCATCCAGATCTGTTAAATCCTACAAATGAATCTCAAAATTCAGATGACCGCTACTCTGAAGCAGGTCAATCTACCGAAAATGAAGCAGTTCCAGATCAGGAAATTTTAGAATCAATTGAACAAATTTACTATGAAGTCGACAGTGATTTCGATCCTTGTAGATATGAATTTGAAAAACTACCAAAAGTATTAAACTCGAAAGATATTGAACGCTATTATAAGAACTTGAAGCAACAGCAACAAGTTGTTTCGAAAAAAGTTCTCCAATTGATTCTTCAAAAACAGAATAATTGTAAGGAGGAATTTGAAAGAATTTTATTAGTGCAGGAGCAACTTCAAGACACGCTTGTGATCTGTAGGGTTGGAAGAGCGGATCTGAACTTGGCCAGAAAGCAATTTACGACTGCTAGTTTAGGAATTCTTGCCCACTATCGAAAACGGCAAATTATTGAAGATTTACTTGGTAGTTTAAATACTATTAAGACACTTGTGAGTTTTTCTATTTTATATCGTTTAATTATACGTTAGTGACGTTTACGACGTTTATAATCAGCAATTATTTATTAAAGAAAAAAAATATTTTTCATACAAAAAATAACAGTTTTCTGATAACTAATTTTATTTAAATTTTTTTTGTTTAAAATAGTTAATAGAAAAATTTGCCACTTTTCCACTCGATTTTATCGAAACAATTTTCAATGAAAAATATATTTTTCTTCTAAATCGTAAATTATGAACGTTCACTTTAAAAGTGTTTAATTGCGTCAATAATTTTTTATTATTATTTATTCTTTTACCAGCAACGAACAGAGGATCGTCTTCAAGAACTATTGAATGAAGAAAACTATCCAGGAGCAATCTCTCTACTCTTGGAATGCCAGAGTGCAGCTCAAACTTTCAAACACTTTCATTGTGTCGCTGCTCTAAATAGAAAACTCCAGGACACCTTGGAACAAGTCGAAGAGACGTTAGACGTTACTCTTGCAAAGTTGTGTACACAATTTGACGTCACAATATATTCGTCTGTTCAGGAAGCTTACAGTTTGTTGGGAAAAACCCAAACGGCTATGGATCAACTTCATATGCATTTTACAGCAGCGATTCATAATACTGCTTTCACTGCCGTTTATTCCTTTGCCGGTGGCGACTTAAAGAAACAGTATAAACAATTATGTCGATCTATAACTCAAGAGAATTTTATTCCTTGCTTAACGGAACTCTGTAAATCAATGTGGGCAATTCTCAGCTCTTATTTTCTCATAGTTAGATGGCATGATGCCCATGAAAGTCATGCAACGCAAGAAGTAACAAAAAAGAAAGACATAGAATCTAATTTTAATAGGCAATATATAAAACAAAAATTAGAGAACGGAGTTGTCAGAATTTGGCATGACGTCGAAACGAAAATAGCGAGTTTTATGGAAACGGATTTGTCGAACTTCAAGTTTGAACAGTTTGTTCAGGTCTTAGGAATTATTAATAGGTAAATATTAAACAGATAATTTTATATTTCGTTTATTTAAAGTTCAAATTTAAAAAAATGAATTTCTCTTATACTTTTTTATTACAGAATGATGAAGATTGGAGAAGAATTATGTGCAAGCAGATCGGAGAATTTGCAAGAGTGTATTAGAAAGCAGTGTTTGTCCTATTTTTCAAACTATCATGCCTTAAGACTAGACGAGTTAAGGATATTTTTAGAGAACGATGGCTGGGAACTTTGTCCTGTAAAACCTACATTCGCGGCGATGCAACTTCAGGAATTTAAAAGCTTAAAACCTATTTTCAACAGTCTTAGAAATTGGAATGCCTCTGAGAGTTCGAGTTTGTCGGAAAATGAAAATTGCCTCTCTAACGGATGGTTACAAAGGTGTTTAGATGGCGGAACATCGCCCTTCGACGTTGGTTTAGACGAGACAATGGACGAAGATATTTTAGCCAACACCGGTGTAAGTTTTCAATTTTCAAAACTAATTTAATTTTATTTATTTACTTTTCAATTTCTTCAAAAGTGAATTACGAATCATCTTTTACAGGACGAATTATCTGGATACTTTTCCGATGATTCAGAAGAAGATATCCCTGAAGAAATTCATCGCGACTACGTGGAAGAGTCCCAACATGGAAAAATAGTGAAGAAGAAGCACAAAGCAAAACATACTGGTCCGATCGTCACTAATACAACCTTGAGTGTTCTTAGAGTCTGTGGAAGATATTTGCAAATGATAAGACTCTTAAAATCAATTGCCGAAACCGTAATTCAAAGCATGATTCAATTTTTCGATCTTTATTTTTATACCGTTCATTTGTTTTTTACCTCAGATCTTATAATTACAAGTGATTCTCTGTACAGTCAAAAGTTGAAATTAGCTTTAATTCGAATGAAGGAGAATCTTATATTGAACGAAGTTGATTTGGAAAATTCGGCGAGTCGATTTCACAAGGTTCAACAACCACAATTATCTCCTATTGTGAATCTCACACAACCTGAAAGACTTCATGGACTGACTGAACGAGCTGTAGCTGTAGAATCTCTAATATTTTTAGGTAATCAGTACGAGAGTTTTAGACATTATTTTGAACATTTGATATCAAACAGTCAGGAGAAAAGTTATTTACATCAATTTTATGAGCAAACGATAACATCAGTCACGGATTTACGAAAACCTGTCTATATGGCTGTTGTTTCACAAGCTCTTGATATTACTGGAGTTTTGAATCTCATGACAAAAGTGAATTGGGAGGTCAGGGACGTCATGTCTCAACATAGTAGTTATGTTGATAAAATTTTGAAGGTTTGTATTTTATTGTATAAAAAAATAAGTTTTGTATAATTTGACATTTTTTCTAAATTCACAGCAAGTTTTTATTATAAATAAATGATCTAATTTTATTCTATAGGAAATGGAAGTATTGCGTATGAGACTTAATGATATTGGAAATCGAGTGCCTTTACCCACAGAAGTGTACGTTGCAATTTGGGAAAATGTGGCCCATTTGGTCACTCGAACCTTAGTAGAAGGGTAAGTTTACGTGTACAATTTTATTAGAATCAAACTTTCTTTCACCTTTTTATGTATTTTTATTTTCTTTTTACGTACTTTTTATTTCTAATAGGTTTTCAAATGCTAAAAAATGTTCTAACGGAGGAAGAGGATTGATGCAACTAGACTTTACTCAATTGACATCAAAATTTGAGAGCTTCACTTCTTTGAGACCAATGCCGCACAAAGAATACGTCGAGTTGTATATTAAAGCTTTTTATTTAACTGAAGACAAGTTGGAAGAATGGGTAAAGGAACATAAAGTAAGAATTTTTTCATTTTTACTAAAGTATTTTTTTATACAAAACAGTTATACTGATATTTACTTCTCAGCGTTATCACAAAAATTCTATTTTGTTTTTCCTTGATTTCCAGACAGAATTTTCACTTTTTCCATAGCAATTAAAATTTTCTAAAATTTTAAAGTTCAAACCTTTTTAAATTATGCTACTATTTGGGTACTTTTTTCGATTTAAAAAAATTTTTTGATAAAATTCTAAGCAAGAATTCAATTATTTTCATAAATAATAAAACTCATCAAAGAATTTCAATTATTTGTAATACTATTTTAAGTTAATTAATCGAAAAATTCAATCATTTAATATAAAATTCTCATAAATTGATTATATTTCGAAAAAATTAATTATTTAGAACAAAGTTTATAAAATTCTTATAAAGAATTCAATTATTTTCATAAGTAATAAAACTCTTCTCAAGAATAAGGAATTAAATTATTTTTGAAAATTTTAATAAAATTCTTAGCAACCATTCAATCATTTTCATGAATAAAAAATTCATTGCAGGATTTCAATTTTTTTAATACAATTTTACAGGAATTGCTCAAAAAATGTAATGAATCTTAAAAATTTAATTTCAATTCTTCGAAAAAACCAATTATTTAAAAAAAATATTATTTTAAAATTGTTTGGAAGAATTCAATTATTTGCAAAAATATTAGAATTTTTCACAGGAATTCAATTAGTTTTAAATATTTTAATAAAATTCTTCCCAAGAATTGAATTATTTACATAAATAATTTTTCGAGGGAATTCAATTATGTCAATAAATAAGAAAATTATTCCCGAAAATCCAATTATTTTCAGGCATTTTAATAAAATTCTTTGCAAAATTCAATCATTCTCATAAATAATAAAATGCTTTTTAGAAATTCAATTATTTTTAAAAAAATTTAATAAAATATCACACAGACATTCAATTATTGTCAAAATTTTTAATAACCTTTTTTGTAGAATTTAATTATTTTTAAAAACTTTTCGCAATTCAATGATTTTCAATATCTACTATTTTCATAAAATCTCCAAACAGAATTCAATTATTTAAAAAATTTGTTGTAAAAATGTTCGTAAGAATTTAACTCTTTTCATGAGTAATAAAAAATTCTCAGGAATTCAATTATTTAAATTAGAATTTGCATAAAATTAATCGAAAGAAATCAATAAATTATTAAAAAATGTTAATGAAATTCTTTCATGAATGATAAAATTCGTTGCAGAAATTTAATTTATTATCAGGATAAAAATATATTTAGTAAATATTTTCGATGAAAATTAGGAAAAAGTCAGGAAAATAAAATATAGGAGTTTTTTTGTCAAGTTTAATTTTTCGATAGCTATTTTGTTACTACTTTTTTTAGTTTGAAAGCTACTTTTTGCAACTTTTTGAAAATTAATTATAGAGTGCGAAGTCTGAATTTTCTAAATAATTTTTTCTCAATAATTTTTGAGAAAGTTCTTTTAGAATTTAATTATTCAAAGAAAAAACAAAGTTGTCTTAAGATAATTCTAAAATTCATTTATTTAATCAGTGACAATCCTAAGAAAATTATTTTCTTTCTGCAAATTTGAGTTTGTTTCTAAAATTGCATAAATTTATCACTAGGAATACTCAACAAAGCAGTTGAAGGGACTCGTTTCCTGTACTTGTCAAAACAATAAAAAGACGCGGCTAAGGTTGATAGCAGTGGTGGAGGATCAGAGACCAAATAGATAGCATCAAATTATTCGCTACAACATTCCCGAAGAAAACATAGAAGTGGAAGGAATAGATTGTACAGTGCAATCAGTTTAATGAATCTCCAGTGAAAAATGAATTGCCTTCCAAAACGTTCATGGCAAATAAATTGTATATATACATATATAAAAAATAAGACAAAAGGCCATAAACATATCGATGCGTGAAACGCTTTCGTGAGTCTTTTAGTAATTATTCTTATTTTTTTATAGTATTTTAAAACAAAATAAGAGTAAACCGTTATTATTGTATTTTTAGTTTTTATTTATGACTTACGTTTTGATTTATTTTTGTGTTAATTTGTACAAAATTTGAATCTCTAAATGCTGTCTCTACCGTGCAAAGTTGAAGATTTTTATATTATATATATATATATATAGATCTAAGAATTGTTGTCGCAGAATACATTAATCTGTTTTTACATCAATATAGTACATTGTAATCAATCTATTTGAATATTTCCCGTCTTACAATCCAATTTTCTTGATGACGTAAGACGGATAATATTGTTACATTGTTTTTCCTCGTATTTTTCCCATTTAAGAATTAGAGGAATTTTATTTCTTCTTACATCGAACGAAGCGTATTTATAAAAATGAATTATCAAATTAAACGTATCTTCTTGTCACTAATTAAATGTTTATCAATTCTGAAAATTACTTATTAAAGAAATGTTTAAGAATCAATTATTTTCAAATTCTTACAATTACAAACAGTTTTAATAAAGTAACTCTATTATTAACAAGGACGAGAAAAAATTCTAATTAAAAACATAAAATTTCATTTTTTCTTTAATTTACACACAAATAGAAAGTTGTGATAATTTGTTGTTCGAGAACAACATCACGAATCAAGAAAAAGGGAATACATTTTTCAATATTTATAATACTGATTTGAAAAAGTAAATTTTAAAGTATTTATCTAGCCACTGTCATAATATTTATGTACAAAACTAACTTTACTTTTACACGTTGTTACGCTGAGGTCTCACCTCTCCCGTTCGTGGATCAACAATCATTTTCTCTTGGGTTCCACTTGGATTGGGAGAATTTAAGACGGCGGATGATTCAAGTGATGGGAGATACTTTCCGTCGGAACATTCTTGAAATATTATCTCTTTTTCCATATTGCTCTTTTTGACATCATTGGATTTCTGCATAGAAAGGGAGACAAGTTCGACAACAAGGTAAGACTCCGGTTTGAACATTCTCGTGAAGTGTAACTTGATGTGCTCTGCAATGTTTTCTTCCTTCTTTGGGACATAATCACAGTGAGGGCAAGATGGCATCATTCTGTCAATGCCATGACGCCTTTTGTGTGCATCCATGGCATCCTTGTCATTCGAAGAGAAGGGACAGGAGAGACAGCGAAATTTTGGTTCAGATTCCATTGATGCTTGTATTTCTCTCCTTTGCATCAACATCACAGATTGTTTGTCTTGATTTGAGGTTTGGAGAGGAATATTTTGAGATTGCACTGGACTAGAAACGCGGGGTTTCTTTAAGGATTTTCCACATCGCCCACTAAATAAGCCCTCGTCTGTATCATTTTCTATAGATATGGTTTCAATGTCTTCTTGGCGCTTCTCTGCCTGCGCGAGAGCGTTCGCTTCGTGTTTCTTGAGGTGCTGAACATAATTGGCGTAATATTTAACGGAATAATCACAGAAGCCGCAGCAGTAGCGTTGCTTAGCACCGTGCAGACCCAGATGCACGCGGTACTGTTCTCGCTTTTCAAAAGCAGAAGGACATTTATGGCATTTGTAACGCTTTTCCTTTAGTCTACCGTTACGTAAGTATCCCGGATAAACAAAGTTTGGATTTCCACGCATGAAAGTTCCAAATTGAGGATCTGGAGGAGGAATTCGGGCAGAAATATTTGCATTTGTTGCCTCTGTGTGACGACGATGAACTACTTGATGTTTGACAAGATTTTGGGCTGTTTTTGAAGAATAATCACACTCGGAGCATTTGAACCGATTGTTAGAGCCGTGAAGAGTCATGTGATATTCCAAGGCGTCAAGTTTGAAGTAACGAGCTGGACACTTGGCACAAGTGAAGACCTGAAAGTTGAAAATATTTTTCATCAACAACTGTTTCTTTGTTTAGAGGAAAATTATTAAACTTTTTTTTCTTTACATCTCTTAATAAAATTAAACACTGTATATTACCTGATTTGCTGGTCGAGGACTGTTGTTTAAAACGCTATTTCCAAAATTCTGTTCAGACGTTGTTGGAACCTCGACAACGATCCAAGCAACTCGTTGAGAATTGCCGTCACTTGATTCCTGTCCCCCAGCTTCTATGCAAGCAGTCGTCGGCGGTGGATGCCTTTGCGAATGTCCGTAAATTGACAGTAAATACCGAGTTCGTTCCTGATACTCCGGAGCATGAGCTTTCTGATGAGAAAGTAAGTGAGCGGGTTGCCTCGCTGCATAAGAACACCATTGACAGTTGTAGGCCAGTTCCGTAGAATGATATCTGAAGTGAATCCTGAGTTCCTTTTCGCAAAGAAATCGAGCGGGACACTTGCTGCAACAATGCACAAGTCGAGAGTCTTCTAGATCTGGTTCGGCACCCATAGCGGGCGGCTTCGACAGGCCAAGAAGCGTTGCCAGGTCATTGAGTTGCTGCGAATCAGGACGGGAGTCATCAACGAGACAGTGGACTGTTCCCAGAGAACCTTTATGCATGTCCGAATGACTTTCCATGATGTCGGTGCGTGTACAGGAGAAACTGCACTGTGGACACTCCATAAATGGTCCAGGAAGTGCAGAGTTTGCGTGCATCGTTTCATGATCGAGAACTTCTGCTCTACGTTGAGAAACGTACGGACAATGGCGGCATTTCAACATTTTGGCAATTACACCATCTGGACGAGAGACCCAAACCAACGGCGCATCTGGGAGTTCACGAGTGTCAAGAAGGAGAGAAGGCACTTCAGGATTTTTGTAAAGGCTCGCACCTGACGCTGTCGATGTTGTTGGCGACAATAAGCTCCGTTCTTGAAATGAATCGTCCTTAGAGCTTCTACTTGCTAAGGTGAAAAATTACATTTATTCAAATAAATAAGAAAAAAGGATTTAAATACGAAAGGATTAATTCAAGCAAATTTATCTTTGCATACCATTATCTATAGTTGGATGTATTTGTTTTCGTGCAGTGACTGGATACGATTCGGGTTCCACATTATTTTGATGCACAGTTGCTAGATCTTCTCCATGAAGTCTTGAATGTTCCAAAAGTTCTCTAAAATATGAATTCGAATAATTAATAACTTTACTAAACTTTAATCGAGAAATATGTATACTTACGTCTTTGTTGTGACGTAATAAGGGCAAAAGTAGCATTTGAATATAGCTTCCTGATTTGGACGATGGTGCATTCGATGTAAAGCCAAACTTGCCGAATCCGGTGCCGAAAATGGACAATCTCCGCAGCCAAAAGGATTCTAAAACAAATTACAAGAATAATTGCAAATTCAGAAATTAATTAGAAAATTTAAGAGTAGGAGAAAATACCTTATCTTCCGTTGTCGCATCGGAAGGATGTCCATGATGGAGTTTTACATGTTGCAAAACGGCGGATCTGTCAGAATCTTTAAAATTGCATCGTTTACACTTCCACGCGGTTCTTCTTGGCTCATCCATTCCTGAAGATAAAGATACAGGGGTAATGGAACGTGATAAACTAGTTGGTGAGGTTGAATTTTTTCTGAGCAAAGAAAAACCCTGGTTTCGATTAGCAGCTTTTAAAGGAGGAGGAGGTCTCAAGGGGACATTTGAAGGTCCCTCGGTACTCGCATCATTGTTCAAAGCAGCGACAGGTGCTGGTGTTAATTCGGGTGGTTGCAGGTAATTCTTGGAATTTGTCATCAAATTCGACAAACGGTCTTCTTCTTCAACGTTCAGTTCTTCTATTCCTTGATCGCCCAAGTTGTTCCCTCCCACCTATATAATAATCAATAAATAATTCATTAATTGACATGATTGGAATTTTACAAATTCAACTGGTAATCGTGCGAGAAAAGAGCGAATCACAAAGTACGTGATGAAAATAGAGAAACAGAAACTCAAATTGCGAGATAATATAGAGATTAAACTCAAAATTCAAGATTGAAAAAGAAAATGACAAGCACGTAAGAGAATTCAAAAAAAAATAACCCTCACTACCCTGCCTCTGCCTATTGATCAAACAGACATGCGCGAAATGAATGAACAGTACAAACAAGTATAAAACACGTTTTGGAATATAAATTTTTAACGATTTTAACAAATTTAGTCGAATTTTAAGAAAATAAACGAAAAGAAAATTACAAATTGTGTATATATACAAAAAAAGAGACGAGAAATAATGAAATGAAATTTTGACTATTACTGAATGAATGAAATTGAATGTTTCATTTTTTAATAATTCTGACCTGAGTAAGATACTTGTTGTACTTGGAGTAATTACGTCGACCTGTTTCGTCAGTCATGAGAACCCGAGCACTCACGTGTGCTGGATCTCTTGCTGCTTTTAGTTTGATATGCTTTGTGATATCCCATCGCCAGTTTGATCTGTAGGCGCACAGCGAGCATTCAAACGGTTTTCGGTTTAAATGACCAACAATGTGCACATGAAACCTGCTTGCTGTGGAAGCCCAGAATGGGCAATGAGGACATTTGAATACTCTGCGCCGGCTTGAATTTGCAGAAACATTCTCGACCTGCCAAAAGCACCTTCAGTGTCTTAAACTAGAAGAAGGATATGTCAATTCTACTCAACCAACACCAAACTCATTTATTCTTCGAAAAATTAGTTGTACCAAAGCAGATAAAACTTTAAAAAGACAGTTTTTACAGTTTTTATTTGGCGTCAGATGAATAGAATTGAAATTTCCTAATAAACATTTTTAATATTTCTAAATTAATCATCATTTCAATTTTAATTATTAATAAAAAGATATAAATAAAGAACTAAATTAAATAATAATTGTAGTTTACTAATATGCCATTAAAAAAATATTTATCAGGGTGGTCACAAGTTTCAGTTTATCAATTTCCCTGACAAAATTCTTTTTACAGGAAAATATGAATGTTTACGGAAAATGAGTAAAATTTATTAATTTTAATAATTTCGAAAAATTACAATTATAACCCTTCCTGAATTCGATTATTTTCTACGATTTTCAACTAAACTTCATCTCTGAATCAATTAATTTAAATAATTTTCTAAAAATGTTCTTCTAGAAGTCAATTATTTAAATACAAAAACTCAATTTTTTATAATAATTGTAACTCTCCATAGTTTTTTCTTAAGTTATTAAGGTATAATATTTTCAAAGATAATTGTTTTTCAATATTGAAAACGTTCCTAAACAATTAAAATTTGGTAAAATCTTTGAAAAATAATTGAATTTTTGAAAAATATAAATAGAAATGATCAAATTTTTGAAGAATTTTAATCATAAACAGGACCGCGATTTCTCAAGAATTTTAATAAGTCCAAAAAGTAAATTTTTATTTACATTGTTCGAAGATAATTGAATCTTAAAAAATTATTATAAAACAATTCTAATAATTAGTTTTTAAAAATATTTTAATGTAATTTTTCAAAAATAATTGAATTTCTTAAAAGAATTTTTGTATATAATTTAAAAACACTAATTAATTTTTTGATGAATTTTAATTAAAAATTTTGAGCATGATTGTTTTCTCCAAAATGTTAAAAATAATTCTAAAATGTTATTAATTTTTGTATGTATTTGAATTTTTGGAAATGTGTAATTAAAAATACTGAAAATATTGAATTTTAAAAATATTCGAAACTAATTTTCATTAATTTTCATTTTTAAATTTACCTTTAAAGATTTTTCATCGAAATTTTTATTATTTCAATTATTTTCAAAATTTGCAATTAAAATTCTTCAAAAATTGATTGTTAAATATTGTATAAATAAATACTTGAAAAAATTAATTATCTTCAATTAAATTGTACAAAATTTCAATTATTCGAAAAGATTTTTACTATGGATATATTTGAAAAATTTAATTATCTTAAAAAAATGATTCAAAAACAATTTTTAAAAGATTTGGTTATAGTTATTTTTCGCATTATGAAAATCAAAATAAATTGCACTTTTTTTTTACTAAAAATTGTGGTATTTTGTTGCAATGTTTGGAAGAAAAGTCGCAATTTTTGAAACTACTGACATGTGGCGACCTGTTTATCTACAAATTTCTAATTTTGTCAAAATTATCAAAAATTAAATAAAAATACTATACTATAGTATAAAATTACTACAAATTGAACAAAATTCACAACAAAGATAATTAATAACTTTTTAACAATTGTAAAAAATTTGTTTTATAACTGAGACTTAGAACAGGTTTCTCTTCATCAAAAAAATTGAACTTTTGCGACAAAGAACTTTAAAAATGACCAAAAATTAAAAATTCTTATCTACTTGTTCAAAAAGCAATATATAGATTCAAAATAAAAAAAAGCTTCGAAATATCATGTTTAAAACATTATTTTTTAAAAATATTTTTTCAAAACTTTAAAAAATGGAAAAATTTTTTCTTACATTTATATAGGTTATGAATTCATTTCATTATTTAAACAGTCCGATAATTTGTAACAATTAAAAAAACCATTAATTTTTTTAAATATCCAAAAATCTTGTAAAATACCAATAATTATTTACTCACAATAAACGAATATCGATTTAAATATTCGAAATTATTTGCAATTCTTTCCATACCGTGTTTATAACGAGACGCTATAGAAACGCGAAACGCAAAGGAAGAGTGAGAAGCGAACCTGGTGTTAACTTAAGGAACTACCGGAACTACGTATGAAGAACAAGAACTCTTCGTCATTGCGAAAAATCAATGGCATATTTTACTTTTACAATTTCTACCACAAAAAATATAATTTACTAAAAAAAAGAATTCGAAAAAAGATTCAACAATATTTAATTTTACTACTTTAAACACATTGTTTTCAATAAATAAAAATCTTGGAATTATATTTAGAAAAGCAAATTTTTAGATTTAAAAAATGTCAAACTTCTGGAACTAGTTTTTATTTCATACAAAAAACAACAGAAATAACAATCAAACAAGAATTATATAAATAAAATAATAAAGCAAAGCAATATTTCAATGAAAGAATAAAAAAGTATTCATAACGCACCTGAATATAGTATTATATACAAAAATTTGTTAATTTCTCAGGAAAATAAGAAGCTGAACTTTGATCAAAAAATTCGAGATGAAACTAAATTTTGTACTATTAGAAATTATTATTTATAATTTATATTTATTTTTTCATTTCATATCAGAGCTCGGATTTTTTTATCAAAATTAAGAAAGTCCATGCCATGGAATTAAACAGATGAATTTCCATACCGAATTCCCATATGAACTCATTTCTCCGTAATTTGAATCCCAATCCATTTGGGCTGGGAATGAATATTCTCCACGGAAGGAAGCAGATTGTTGATCTGAATTTGCCTCATCATTTTCTAAAGTTTCTGTTGAATTATTTTGACTACTTTCTGTTGGATGACAGAGACGTATATGAGCTTCCAGATCATTGGAACTTTTACATCTCCTTCTACATTTCGGACATCTAGAGACACCCGTCGAAACACTAAGGGCAGTGTGATGAGTTTTTTTATGTTGATTTAATTCCTCGAAATTCGAGGCTTCAAAAGTGCACCAGCACTTAAGATCATTGATAGTTGTGACTGCAATTTCTGGAATGACATTGCTTACAGTTGTCGAGGAAAGTCTCTCCTTTAATTTATCGAAAAAAGAAGCATTTTTTCTTTCGAAAGAATCAATAGGACGAAACGATAGTGAACTGTTATTTCCCAAGTCTCTCTTCACTTCTGCTATCTAAAGGCAAAAAAAAAAATGGTTTGTTAATTTTCTTTTGTGTTCTGGAATAAAATTATAATAAATTACTTGTCGCAGAATGAATATTTCAAATATTATTCATTATAAAGCTGGTGACGTTCTGTATTTTCAAACAAACAATTTTAAAGTGACAATAGTTTTAAACACACACAATTTTTATGCATAAAAATAAAAAATTTTCCCTTCGTTCAGACCACTTGGTCGTGTAAATGAATATTAATCAGAATAAATAATACTGTCAAAAAACATTACCTTGGTAGCTTGAAGTTTTGCCAATTCATTATCCCTGGCAATTTGAGCAAGTTCTGGTCGAACTCGTACTCGAGGTACTTTTAAAAGAGTTGCAGGCGATTCATTAGGCGATAAATTATTTGTCTTCGGAGCGACATTTGCAGGACTGAGGGGAATTAACATTGGTAAAGGTTTCTTTTGCTTGCTTGCCGAAACTCCGGAACCATGGCATTCTGATAAATGTCTCTGCATTTCCGAATCCCAAGCAGTGATAAATTGACAACCCTTTTCGTCACACTTTAACGATATACACTCTGCTCCTGACGCGTCAGCTACCTCTTCATTTCTTGGCACATTTTCCACAGGATTTGGGGCAGGAGATATTATTGCATTTGGTAGAGTAGGATTCTCATTTGACCTGAATGTTGATTCTCGATAATCACTGGCTCCCACCTGGAAAAATAGTTTTTGAATCACAGACATTTTTTATTTCTATTACAGGGCTCGAACCAGTTAAAGTATTTAAAAATACGGACTTTACGGACCAAAAATGAAAAATTACGGACCAAGGACAAAAATATAGCCAATCCTAATCAAATAAGAGAACATTTTACTTAAAACTATAAATTAAATTTTCTCATAACTATAAAACGGATATTTTTGTAGTAATTAACGATGACCGTAGCGATAAAATCATTATTTTTTATATTATAAGAGTATTATTACTGTAAATCCTTAAAAATTATTTTCATCATTTCAATTCAATTAATACTTCTAAGAATTTGTAGCTAAAATTCTTCTAAATCAATTATTTTCAATAATTTCCGAAAAAGTTTTTTTTCAGAATTTTCATAAATACATTTCTTTACAATACAATTTTACGTGAAATTTCGATTATTCGGAAAATCTCCAATTAAATATAGAAAATAAAAATGTCAAAAAAATAATTTCAAGTAAAATTGAAACAAACTTTTTCCAAAAAAATTAATTTTTCGACAGAATTGTTAGTTAAGAGTATGAAAAATTAAAATTTCCAAAGATTTTAATGTGAAACCTTCTCAAAATTCAATTATTTCTAAAAATTCACACTATAATGCTTTTAATATTAAATTTATAGCTAAAATTTCAACTGAAATTTTTTTTATTCAGTTATTTAAATAAAAAAAATAATTTATTGAATAATTGAGGCCTTGGATCCAATAACTCGCCCGACGCTTGAAGGCACGCGCTAATACTAGTCGGGTAGCAGTGAGTGGCCCAGAGGCGCTCACTGCTCACTGACTGGCAGTTGCGCGTTCCTCCGAGCGTCGGGCGAGTTATTGGATCCAAGGCCTCAATTAAATTCTCATAAAGATTTTATCAAGAAATTTTTAAGTAATTGAATTCTTTCGACGAATTTTAATAAAAGTTTTAATAATTACACGTTTCGAGGAATTCGATTAAAATTCAACACTGAGTTTTATTATTTATAAAAATAATTGAATTCCTAAAAAGAATTTTATTTACGAAAATAATTGAATCCCTAAAAAAATTGTATTATTTATCAAAATAATTGAATTATATAGAAGAAATCTATAAAAAAAATTGTGAATAATTTAATTCCTGTGAAATTTTTATTATTTTATGGAAATAATTACATGTTTGCGTCGAATTTTATGAAAATTTTTTTAAATAATGGAATTCTTTTGGAAAATTTGATTAAAATAGCAAATATTAAAAATCATTGAATTGAGGAAAATTTTTGAAAATAATTGAAATTTTGTCCAAAAATAAGAATTTTATTGAAATTTGTGAAAATAATTGAATTTCGAAGAAGAATTTTATTACTTCTAATAATAATTGAAATTTGGAAGAGAATTTCTTTTAATTTTTGAACATAATTGAATTTCTACGAAGAATTTTATTACTTTTGAAAATAATTGAATTATTTAGAAGAAATCTATAAAAAAATTTGTAAATAATTGTATTCCTGTGAAATTTTCATTATTTTATGGAAATAATTAAATGTTTGCGTTGAATTTCATTAAATTTTTTTTAAATAATTGAATTCTTTTGGAAAATTTGATTAAAATAGCAAATATTAAAAAATCATTGAATTGAGGAAAATTTTTGAAAATAATTGAAATTTTGTCCATGTATTTTATTAAAATTTGTGAAAATAATTGAAATTTTGACGAGAATCTTTAAAAATTTGTTGAACATAATTGAACTTCTGCGAAGAATTTGATTACTTTTGAAAACAATTGAATTTCTGCAATCATTTGTAATTTCTCTAAAATTCTCCAAATTATATAGTACAATTTACAAACTTTTTGTCCTTTTTTAATCAAATTACGGATTTTACGGACCTTTTTTCAAAAAAACGGACTTTTACGGACTTAAAGCAAATTTACGGACCTATTTCAATCCCTGTACTATTATCAATAGGAATTTGTTTAATATTTGGATATTAATTTATCAAACCTGATTATATCGTTTGGGACCATTTCTTGGCTTTCTATCAAAAGGATTTGGTTTTCGATTTGCAGTACCAACGGGAGGTTCGTGATGATTCGTCTCGTGAACTGTCAAACTCTGACGAATATCAGCTGTGAAATTACAAACTTGACATTGGAAAGCCCCTCCTCCTCCGTGATTGCGAGTATGTCGATCCAGATTCCACTGTAAAAATTTACAAATAAGTAAAATTATTGTACAAATGCTTTAAAAATTTCAAAAATGATTCAATATAAAGCAGACCTTATAGGGAGTTCGAAAATCGCAAGTATCGCACTTAATCATGGGCATGGAATGATATTTAACGTGTTTCGTGAAACGGGCTCGAACATTCGTTATGTAGTTACACTTAACACATCGGAAAAATTTTCCCCTTAAATGCGACTTGAGTTGAATTTCCTTATTCTCTTCCTGCAAAACAAAAATTTATACTTTTATTATTTACATACTGCAACAATTAGTATTTTTAATTTTTTAACTTTTATTATTTAATTTCAAGAATAAAAATTATTAGTATTTTTTTTTATTCTATTATTTTTATATTTAATATTTATTATTAAATTATTTTGAGAATATGTGAAATTACCTTTGACTTTTTATTACTATCATGCTCAACTTTAAAGTGCTGCATGTAAAGTTTGAGAGTAGTGTATTTTTTCGGAGGAGTACAAATTTTGCATTCATATTGTTTATCATCCCCCGAAGAATCTTCTTCAACGATGTCCTTGATATCTTTTTTATTTGTTTTTCGGGGACTTTCTCCAGAATGTTGATCACTATCGGAATTAATTTCAACATTTCGATCTTTATATCGACGATTTGTCGTTTCCTCTGTTATTTCTTCTTCATCTTTGCCATCTTTTTTTTTAACTTCACTTCTCCTGGGTGACGTTTCGGACTTTGTCTGCTGATGTTGTTGTTGAGGCCTCGGACGTAGCGCACGCAATCGTGGTGATCTTTCCGACATTTTTATCGTTCTCGATTTGTCTCAAAGCTCAAAGAACTTTATCATTTGTGCCTGATAAGAATATCCAAAATTAGAACTTCAAAAATAAAATTCACGCGATCGTAAAACCGCTTTGCACACTATTTTAAAACTTAAAAAAAAACACTTTCTTCTTGCAGCGATGTAGATGTACATACTACCTGCGATAGTCACTTTTATGTAATCATCGCGCAGGAAGGGCTGCCAACTCGCTGGAATGTAAGACTAATTTTTTCAATAGGCTCTACTTTAACAATAAGAAATAAAAAAATTGCAAGATGTTTTTAGTAATTTTAAAAAACTTGGATGACAAGAAAAATAAATTGAGATGTTCTTTTAATTTTTTTTTGAAAATTTAGAAAATTTATTTTTTCACGTGTTTGAAAAGAAGAAATATTTGTTTTTTAGTATAATTAAATATAAATAACTTTGAGTTTTAGAATTATTGTTAAATGTGCACTTGAATAATTTTTTCTCTTTGGACCATATGTTAAAAGATATTTTTCTAAAAATAAAACCAGGTAAATATAATTTTTCTTTTATTTTCCATGTAATAAGTGTTATCTTATTCATTAGTTAGTAATTATAATGTTACTTATTTTCTCTGCCATATTAAAGAAATTATTTTAGTAAATCGATACGAAGACTCCGCCGCGCAAGACATGTTGTTGGTACTTGAATATCATTCTTGCTTACAATTGCAAAAGTATAAAAAATAAATTGTTTAAAACAATTATAAACGTAAACATTAATTTTTAATTAATTTAATTAGTTACTATTATCCTTATAAATATAATTAGTATTTTGTATACTCGTCTGCATGACAAGTTGCCTGCTACAGGGATCGGTACCTTTAAATCGTGTATTTACCAATAATAAAAAAAAGCTTATAATTTATATTTTTAAAGAAGCATATGAAGAGTACTAGAAATTATTTTTTTTAAAACAAGAAATAAAATGAAAAATTATCCTGTTTCATGATAACGCATGAACTAAAACTTTTTTAATATAAACAAATTGAATTCTTTTTTTCAAAATTGTAATTAGCTCTAATAAATTCTTTTACACATCAGTTATTCCTCGTCAACTGTATGCACTCCAGTCAAAAAAGACTAGACAGCTTCTCTGCCTCTTTCTGATAACGATAAACCACAATGAACACGTTAAAATAAATTAAAGATAAAATCCGACCGTGTGACAATGCCTCCGAAGATCCTGTTATCCTCTACACACGCAGATGATTTCCGTTTTTGTAATCACATGATTTCCGGTACTTCAGATTAGTTCGAGAAACGTCACGAAAAATTCAAGAAACCAATAAACAAATGTGAAGCAAACAAACCTTCTGCAGTTGATGACGAATATTTCGCGATACAATATGAGTCGCCCTCCAGCTTCGAGACTAGCGAGAACGAAAACGAAAACACACGAAGTTTCCCGAACAAGACTATTCATTTTGATTCTGGCATTTTAATTATTTTTTATTAACAAAAGCAAGAGGAAATGTTTAATAAATAATTATGAACAATTTTAAATATTATTTACTTTATTATTTAAACGAAAAAATTCCACAATTTACTCAAATTATTAACTATATTCTTCATTTGCAGTAATAAATTATTGATGAACCTCTGGACCTTTGAGCTGCTCTTAAGATCTTTTATGTCAAGACGTCAAGAATGACATTAATACCTGACTTTTCTGAATTTTTACACTAAATTACGATTCATTATTGATTAAATATAAATTTAATTGATTTTTGAAAATTGAAGAAGACACAAAAGCAGAAACTACACTAAAAAATTTATTACCAAATTAAAATATTTTTTATTTACTTTATTTGTAAAGTGTAATTTTAAACAAAAAACAAATATGTATTGAATATAATAAAAATAAAATATTTTGAAAAAAGATATGGACAATAATTGACTACCATAGAAATTTTAAACAATAATCATATTTATTCCAACAGTATACATAATCAATAGATAATTTTTTTCAATACACTAAATTATAATGGAAATAATTTTAATAAAGGTGTTCGGCTTTTTTTTAATTTTCTTGTAACTTTACAACTTTTAATGGAGGTTCCAAAAATACCTCCGTCTAAAGCAGTCTAAAGTGACTGAACTAATTTAATTCTGTCTATAACGCCACTATTTCTAATTACGAAAATTGTAAAATTACATGTTCAGTTTCGCTTCTAACATGCACTTTCCTTGGATTATATAAAATCAATTTTTTTTTTTTTTGGAGTAAAGTAGAAAACGATAAAATTTTTCTAAATAAAATTTTATTACTTGTTCTTATATATTCTAAAATTGTAATCTAATTTTTTTCTATAATATATACATTACAAATATTTGTCAGTAAAAACAAAAATTCGTCTTACGATATTATTTCCTAAAGTACAAAGTAATAATACACTTCTCCAACGTTACGCAATGAGCTATTAATTTAAGACCCTACTAATGAAAAATAATTAGTATTCATATTTATAAATATTAAATTATTATTATTATTATATATATTATATACTATAATTATAATAATAATATATAATATATATTTTAAATATGAAAATACACTAGTATTTATATTATATTTGACCACTTATCACGATGCAGTAGTTTCAGTTTCTAATTTTTCATTGAGATCTCCATTTAAATTAAAAGACGAGCTTCTGTAAAATCCAATTTTTAAAGCGATTACATGACATTTATAAATTAAATATTTTTTTAGTACACTCTAAATCAAACCTGTTGAAATTTCACTGATTTAAATTTAGACTGTATAGTTTCAATTTGAAAATGGTTAAATAAAAACTAATATGCCAATTTGATATTTCAAAATGAACCTACTACTATTTTAGTTTAAAGGTAAAATATAATATTTAAATAACTTCGGTACTTCATAATTAAAAGTATATAAATTACATAACATTAAGTACTTAATATGTAGAAAAAAAAATTCTTAAAATTGTAATGAGTTAAATTACGTTATCAAACTTGATTTTGTTTTTTGTAAAATTATAAAAGTTATTAACCAAAAAGAACTTACAGTCGCAACTAAATTATTTTTAAAAGGAATCTGGTTAAAGAAAAGTAGAAGTGGTAATAATTTACAATGTTCTTGAAAAGCATAGAAAGAAAATCTAAAAAAAGAATATTTTATTGGAATTAAAGTATCATTTTTTATGGTATTTCGACTAAATTAGTTTTTTGAACACCTGGAAAATTTTGAAGCTCAAAATTGATGAGCTTATAATATTTCGGTATGCATAGCACACGAATATTATTTTTTTCTTTTACTTACGAATGTTTTTTTTCAAAGGTCTAAAGTTAGGAAAGAATAAATAATTTTATTGATGTGCACACTGCATTTCTGGACCTTCATCGTCATCAGAAGCGTAAGCTTCACTGGCACGAGGCACGTGAGATTCTGTTTTGTAGTTTGGATCAAAATTCTCAAGTTCAACTTCCTCGGCGTCTTGAGGAATAATTATCGGTGCTTTGGGTGGGAACATCGATAGTAAAGTCTGTATATTAAAGAATAAAATGAATAATTAATTGAGAAATATACTGAATGAAAGAAACGATTGAATAAAAAATGAATTACATACCTGTATAACTTTTTCATTTGTGAAGTTATCCTCAGGAAATGTAATATCGAATTTGACGTATAAGTTTCCTTTTTTAAAGGGTTTTCTGTAGACTGGCATTCCCTCTCCCGATACTCCCTTCACATCGTCAGGTTTAATAACACAACCAGGTGGATGTGTGATAATCAAATCTCTTCCATCTAAATGTCGAACGACAATATTCAATCCGCAAAGGGCTTCTGCTAAACCGATAGTTTTTGTCAAATAGAGATTATCTCCAGATCTATGGAACACATCATGAACTTTTTGTTCTAAAATAACAACTAAATCTCCCGTTTGAGGACCAGGGTATTGTTCATTTTCACCTAAAAGAATATATTTTTGTTCACTCAGTTTCTTTTACTTGAATGTTTCGAATTTTCTTCGGACTTGAAAAATTTTAAAAACCATTACCTTTTAACAAAATTCTTTGTGTGTCTTTCATTCCTTTGTCAACGTTAACATCCAAATTCCTAAGATGATATAAAACTTTTTTTCCTTTACAAATCGTGCAAACAAACTTCTCATTCGTCATTTCACCTTTTCCATCACAAAGATTACATTGGGCTTTTCCTTGCACGGTTATACCCTGAGCAATCTCATAGAAAGTCCATTTTTTTCCACTACCAGCACAACCTCTGCAAGCTGTTCTCTCAGAACATCCAACTCTACGAATTGAAAAAAAGGTTTATAAAAATTCTACTTTCTGCTGTTCTCGTACATTAAATATCTATACTCACCCATTGCATCCATTACAAATTAGATTACTGCCTACCGAAATGTTTTTTACATTTCCATTATACAAGTCTTCTAAGGTAACTCTGGAAGAAAAAAGTCATATTAATTCCTGTCTTATACTTATATTATATTTAAATTCATACTTTAGAATGTAGAATTCCTCTCTTCCACATTGAGGTCTACTTCTGACTCCTAGTCCTCCAAAACCACAAAATCCACCGAATCCACCAAAGCCCATAGGTTCTAAAAAGAAATTATTTTTTAACACCAAAAATCACATTGAAATTAAAAAAAGATAAATACTCTTTCAGGGTGGTCACAAGTTTCAGTTTATCAATTTTCCTAACATTTCCCTGACAATTTACTGACATTAAAATTATTTTCCCTGACAAAATTTTTTTACAGAAAAATTTAATAAATTTAATAATTTCTAAAAATTACAATTATAACCCTTCCTGAATTCAATTATTTTCTACAATTTTCAACTAATCTTCATCTCTCCATAGTTTTTTCTTAAGTTATTAAGGTATAATATTTTCAAAGATAATTGTTTTTCAATAAATATTGAAAAAGTTCCCAAACAATTAAAATTTGGTAATATCATTGAAAAATATAAATAGAAATGATCCAATTTTTGAAGAATTTTAATTATAAACAGGACCGTGATTTCTCAAAAATTTTAATAAATCCAAAAAGTAAATTTTCATAAATTTTTATTTACATTGTTCGAAGATAATTGAATCTTAAAAAATTATTAGAAAACAATTCTAGTAATTAGTTTTTAAAAATATTTTAATGTAATTTTTCAAAAATAATTGAATTTCTTAAAAGGATTTTTGTATAATTTCAAAAAACTAATTAATTTTTTGATGAATTTTAATTAAAAATTTTGAACATGATTGTTTTCTCCAAAATGTTAAAAATAATTCTAAAATGTTATTAATTTTTGTACCTATGTATTTGAATTTTTGAAAATATGTAATTGAAAATACTGAAAATATTGAATTTTAAAAAATTAGAAGCTTATTTTCATTCATTTTTATTTTTAAATTTACATCTTTAAAGATTTTCCGTTACAATTTTTGATAACTCAATTTTTTTTAAATTTGTAATGAAAATTCTTCAAAAGTTGATTTTCAAAAATTGGGACAAAATACTTGAAAAAATTAATTATTTTCAATTAAATTGTACAAAATTTCAATTATTCAAAAAGATTTTTATTATAGATATATTTGAAAAATTTAGATATCTTAAAAAATGATTCAAAAACAATTTTTGAAAGATTTGTTTATAGTTATTTTTCGCATTATAAAAATCAAAATAAGTTGCACTTTTTTACAAAAATTGTTGTATTTTGTTGCAATGTTTGGAAAAAAGTCGAAAAAGTCGCAATTTTTTAAAGTAAGTCGAAAAAAGTCTCAATTTTCTTAATTTCCCTGACAAAAGTTTTTTTTCATGATATTTCCCTGATTTTAATAACAAAAAATTATTTTGTTTCCCTGACTTTACTGTCATGTGTCTTTGCAAAAAAATGGTTATTTTTACAATTCTTAAAAATGACTAATAGCAATTTTTATTTTCCAATACATTATTTACAATTTACATACCTGCAAATGACGCAAAAGGCGACTCAAATAAATCTGACATAAAACCACCATAATTTATCTGATCTGAACTTTCTTGAACTCCTTCCAATCCATATCTATCATAAAGTGGACGTTTTTTTGGATCAGACAAAGTTTCATAAGCAAATGAAATTTCCTTGAATATGTCTGCTGCACCAGGCTGCTGTCCAGCGTGTAAATCTTTTGAGAGTTTTAAGTAAGACTGCAAAGAAAAAATCCACCATTACTGACATGTTCCTTAATCTTGTAATGAATTTTTAGTTCGTATTGCAAACAAACATATTAAATTAATGATTTATTCCTCTAAAAAAAATATGATTAAAATATTTATTTGTGCATGAATTTTTTAAGCCACAAATAGATGAAGGTTAAGGTTAATCCCGAATAATTCATGAATGAAACATGCATTGTATACATTATTTCACAATTCCCAAGTTACTCAATATTGGCTCTTTTATATGATTTATTATAAAAGGTAATTGACAAATTCAAAAGTAGTGTGATAAATAAATTCAGAGGAAAAGTAAAGAAATTTTAATAAAGTTGTTAGAAATACAAAGTTTTAAAAAAATGTATACACTTTTAAATATTATTGACGTTTTACCTGTTCGATTTCATGATAACTTGCATTTCTTGGCACACCGAGAACATTGTATAACTCTGACATATTGTGTTAATTTCAATTATTTAAAATAAACGTAAAAAAGAAATTTTTTAAAGGTGATTAAGATTTGTTGGTTTTGGTTAGTGGGGTTAGTGGCCTGTTGTCCCCTTGGTATTCTTCCCAGCTAGACTTGCTGTGACCTCCTCCTGCAGGAATTATCATGGTAACTTATAAGAGCAAGAGAGTCAATAAATTCGAATTCGATTTCACTGACTCTCTTGCTCTTGTACGTTACTATGACAACAAGCTGTGAGAGTACCATTAGGTAAAATAGACTTGACGTTAAGGTGCTATCACAGCTCTGCAAGTTGTCTATATGCGGGCAGAAGGGGCGAGGAAAGCGAAAAGAAAATTTCCCTTTTTCGCTCTTTCCCCTTGCCCCGTCTTCCCGAAAGTTGCAGTCTGCAAAGTTGTGAATGTGATTCTGCTTTGCTTCAAGTTTTCTAAACATGTGGATGCACCCTAATTCTATCAAAAAAAATATTGTGCAACCTGCTGCAAAGACTACCTTGATTATTTAACTCTATGGTTTACCGAATGTATTGGATTTCCTTTCTTCTCACAAGTAGAAACAATAAAACAAGATTGAAGTAAATTGCTGGTGTTTCTTATTTCTGTGAAAATTCAAGTGCCTCATAATGGCAGACAACGAACAGAAAGCAATGCAGTTGATGGCAGAGGCAGAAAAAAAACTATCCTCGAAAGGTTTCTTTGGTTCCCTTTTTGGGTGAGTTGATATTATATCGATTTGCGCGACTTTGCCTGACCGACTTAAATATAATTGCAGAACAATATTTATAAAGCACATGGATCTAGATACAATAAATTAATTATTTGCATTAAACGTTAAAGTATCTAGAAATTTTTAAATACTTGCAACGTCATTAACTATCAAGATGGTTGCTTATTTGACTCACAAACATAATAGTCACTGAACTCGCAAGAATTGATGATGAACGTATATAAAATATGTAGATGCAATGATTGATTGTCATTGAGATTATATGTACACATAAATATAACACTTGCAATAAAATAATGATGAGAGTTAAAAGAGTTAATTTAATTACGTATTACACTATTTATGATTAGATGTAACTTTTGACACCTATTACTTAATTCATATGTTAAGAACTATTTTTTATTGATCACAAAACTTTGCTTTCTGCTTTACATTTTGAAGCATTATCACCAATTTACTTGAAACTTGACGTAATGTTATAATTATTAATTAATCGAAAATCAACTCTTTAGGCAAAATTAATTGAATTTATAAGATACAATTATTGCTTAATTTGTTTAAATAATTAGGGACAAACAATTTTTTGTGCATTCAACTCAGGAAATAAGTTGCAAATTAATTATGTAAATTACAAGTAAAATGGTGAAGGTGGTCCGAAGTGTAGAAAATATCTCCCTTACTCGCACTAGTAAACACTTTCAAAAGAATTTAATCAATAAAATTACTATTAGAGGGTCTTCAAAAGTGGAAGAAGCGGTAGAATGTTATCAACGAGCAGCTAATATGTTTAAAATGGCAAAGAAATGGGGATCTGCAGGAAATGCATTTTGCGATGCTGCAAATTTGCACGCTAAATCGGGAAGTCGACATGACGCAGCTACAAATTTCGTTGACGCTGCTAATTGCTACAAAAAATCTGATCCAAATGGTACAATAATTACTTTAAGATATTCTAATCTTGATTTCAGGGCTCGAACCAGTTAAAGTATTTAAAAATACGGAATTTACCGACCCAAAATGAAAAATTACGGACCAATGACAAAAATATAATCAGTCCGAGTCAAATAAGAGAACATTTTACTTAAAAACTATAAATTCAATTTTTGATAACTATAAAACATGAAGATATCGATCACTCCGAGTCTTCGACTCTGAGCAATCGACATCTTCATGTTTTATAATAATAATTAAAGATGACCCAGTGATAAAATCATTATTTTATATTATAAGAATATTATTACTGTAATTCCTTCAAAATTATTTTCATCATTTCAATTCAATTATTATTTCCAAGAATTTGTAACTAGAATTCTTCTAAATCAATTATTTTTTAATAATTTTCGAAAAAGTTCTTTGACAATTTTCTAATTCATTTTGTTTACAATATTCAATTTTACGAAATTTTAATTATTCGTAAATTCTCCAGTTAAATCCTATATTAGAAAATAAAAATTTCAAATAATATAGAAAAAAATTCAATTAAACTTTTTTAAAAAAATTAATATCAAAATTCAATTATTTCTAAAAATTAACGCCATATTGCTTTTTATATTTTTTATTTATTAACTAAAATTTTAATTAATTCATTTTTAAATAAATTTTTATTAGAAAATTCTACTAGAATTCATTTATTTAAATACAACAATATAATTGAATTTCTGTAATAATTTGTAATTTCTCCAAAATTAAATTTTTTTTAGTATTTCAACACTTAATTAATTTTTTTAGTGTTTTTAACTAAAATTTTTCTATAAATCCATTATTTTTAATAAGTTTTGAAAAAGTTCTTTGAAAATTTTTAAATTCATTTTTTAACAATTTAATTTTACTTGCAATTATTGGGAAATTCTTCAATTAAATATATATTAGAAAATAAAAATTTCAAAAAAATAATTTCAAGTAAAATTGAAACAAAATTTTTCAAAAATATTAATTCTTCTACAAAATTGTTAGTTAAAAGTGTGAGAAATTAAAATTTTCAAAGACTTTAATATAAAACCTTTTCAAAATTCAATTATTTCTAAACATTCACACTATAATGCTTTCTCATAAAGATAAGATGATAAAATTCTCATAAAGAATTTTATCAACAAATTTTTAAATAATTGAATTGTTTTGACTAATTTTAATAAAAGTTTTGAGAATAATTACACTTTTCGAGGAATTCCATTAAAATTGTATTAAAAATCAGCATTGAGTTTTATTATTTATAAAAGTAATTGAATTCCCAAAATGAATTTTATTTATAAAAATAATTGAATTCCTGTAAAAATTTTATTATTTATGAAAATAATTGAATTATTTAGGAGAAATATATAAAAAAATTTGTAAATAATTGAATGCCTGTGAAATATTTATTATTATATGGAAATAATTAAATGTTTGCGTTGAATTTTATTAAAATTTTTTTAAAATAATTGAATTCTTTTGGAAAACTTGATTAAAATAGCAAATATTAAAAATCATTGAATTGAGGAAATTTTTTGAAAATAATCGAAATTTTGTCCAAGAATAAGAATTTTATTAAAATTTGTGAAAATAATTGAATTTTGAAGATGAATTTTATTATTTCTAAAAATAATTTAAATTTTGACGAGAATTTTTTAAACATTTTTTAACATAATTGAATTTTTGTGAAGAATTTTATTACTTTTGAAAATAATTGAATTTCTACAATCATTTGTAATCTCTCTAAAATTCTTCAAATTATATCGTACAATTTACGAACTTTTTGATCTTTTTCTTTTAAATTGCGGACTTTACGGACCTTTTTTCAAAAAATCGGCACTTTTACGGACTTAGTTCGAGCCCTGTGATTTGTTTTTTCGAAATCTCTTCCTAATCTTCATAATATTAAATTTTCAGAGGCAGTGAATTGTCTTTTAAAGGCCATTGAGATTTATTTAGAAATGGGACGTTTTACGATGGCTGCAAAGCACCATCAAAGTATAGCTGAAATGTACGAAAGTGAAGCAGTGGATTTAGAACGGGCTGTGCATCATTATGAGCAAGCAGCTGATTATTTCCGTGGAGAAGAAAGTAATTCTTCAGCAAACAAGTGTCTTCTAAAAGTCGCTCAATATGCCGCCCAACTTGAAAACTATGAGAAGGCTATCCAAATTTATGAACAGGTATATTACGAAATAGTTTTATGTTTTATGAAATAGTTTTACTATTGAAAAATATTTGTTTCAAAATATTTGAATGAATAAACATATTTGTTGTTTTATTACAGGTTGCATCATCGTCTTTGGAAAGTTCGTTACTGAAATATAGCGCGAAAGAATATTTCTTTAGAGCTGCTTTATGTCATCTCTGTGTTGACGTTCTCAATGCTCAACACGCTATAGAACGTTATGAACAACAATATCCCGCGTTCCAAGATTCCAGGGAGTATAAACTTATCAAAGTAATTAACTTTTTTCCGGTCAATAAGAACTTTGTTTCACCCCGACGTTGCGTTTTTCTAAATTTTCTTTCTTTTCAGACGCTTATAGAACACTTAGAAGAACAAAATGTGGACGGTTTCACAGAAGCTGTAAAAGAATATGACTCGATCTCTCGTTTGGATCAATGGTATACAACCGTTTTGTTACGTGTGAAGAAACAAGTCAACGACAACCCCGATTTACGCTGATTATTTTCATTTTCTTTGAGGTACATTCCAGTATCACTTTTCTTCCTCTGATCCCATGTGTACTCTTAAAACTCCATTTCGCTTGTAACAAACATAAAATGTTAACTTCAACACACACACAATTCTCCTCATTTGGTCTTAGTCTGTGCATTGAGATCAGTCATTCATTCTAGAAGAAAAAGAAGAAGAAGAAGAAGAAGAATCAGTCGCATAATATTTCTATGATCATTGACAATTCGTTCAACTAGTAATCGCATATACATCATAGTTCATAAATAATCAGTGGTAAATAAAATATAGTTAAACGTCAAGTACTATAATATCATTAATAATGCCCAAGGTTAATTTAGAAGCGTGTAATTAGCTAGGATATAAAGTAGTCCTTTACATATTTATTGCTATTGTTAAAACTTTACGGTGTGTGTAATCAAACCAATTTTCAATTCGGCTTCTAAAATATTATGTCAACATAAAAATAATTTATTGTAAGTCATGTTATTGATATTTTTCGTACAAGTAATTAAGTAAATAATGCACGTTGATAATTCACAATTTCTAGAATCGTAATAAACACTCATATGAGTTATCATAGATCAGTCGAGTGATTGAAAGTGATTTCAAATCATTTTTATTCAAAAAATTATTAGTATCTATTTATAATTGCTATCAACTGTTAAATTAGGAATTTGGTTAAATTATTGTAATTATGTTATGTTTGTGTGATATTTTGCGTTTACATATTTTATGTAATTTACGTATTTTAAACAGTTGTTACTCATGTTCAAGTTGATTAAAAGTTTAAATTATTAACCATTACCTCAATTTTGAAGAAAATTTTCATACTTTTGATTTTAAAATCAAAGTATGTAATTTATAATGCTTTCTTTTAAAGAATTGTACTAGTAACATTTTTTTTCTGTACAGTAGAGGTAAATTAATATTTAACTAAATCATTTAAAATATAAACTAAAATTATTACTGTAAGATAATTTTAAATTTAAAAATAATGGTGTTAAAAAAAATCTGCAAGAGATGCACATGCAGCTGAGACCAAAATAAATACATAAAACAGAGATAAAAAGAGATCAGTTGTGCATTCTGATAATGAGAAGTTTATCTTCTTCAATTAATAACATGATGAAGAGTGATTAAAGAGTGTTCTTTAACATCTTTATGAAAATTGATTATCTTTACTCTTGTTATAGTTGAACATGAGTTTATTGTTTATATATCTTTGTTGTTATAATTTTAAGTGTATTTAATTTTTTATAGTGAATTATTTACATTATATCTGCTTTTTATTTTTAATTATTTGGCGAATAACGAATAACTTTAATCGTCATTAATTTTGTCACTTTGCGTAATTTCATTTTTATATTATTTATCTTGGATTTATAATAAACGTAATTTATTATATTAAATTTTGGTTTTTAAATAAAGCAGAATATATTTTTATTTGACATCGTTTTATTTTCAAAAACATTTCTTAAGACACGAAGGATAAAAATATTTAAAGGGGGTAAAAATGAGGTAAGTTATAAAGATTTTAATAATTAGGGGAAATTATTTAAAAAGAATAATGAATCTTTGTATAAAATAATAAAATAATTCTAATGTTGAAAACTAATAATATTGTTCAAAGGATAAAAATGAGTTTAAAAAAAAATAAAAATAAAAAATGTAATTTCAGCAAATACCTAGTGAATTAAATATTTGAACTTTGAAATATGTCTAAACTATTTGAAATTACCCGGCATTGTTCTGACATTTCATCGCACGCACATCACACCCTCATGTTGTATATAGAGTACACATATGGATGTATACCAATATTATCAAAGTGTAATAATGTACGAAAATGTCATATTGGAGCAATAAAGTACTGCAGTTGTTTAATTCTTCCTTTAAATAAATCCTGTAAGATATCAAAGTAAATATAAGAAAATTCAACGAGAATGGAGTTTTTCACGCCGTGATCTCTAATCGTTAAATCCAGCGACTTTTAAGCCTCTATATGCCTCGCCGATAAGAATATAACCTCACTTTGAAGGTGATTTAAAAAAAAAGAATAAAATTAATACTGAATTTAATAAAAATATGGAGGGGGCCAGAGAAACGGTGATTGTAAAAGAAAAAGAAAATGAGAAACCAGTTTTGCTTAGAAATGTGAAAGTGATTGTAAAGGTGAGAGGGGACCACTACTATCCTTTCAGTGGAAATGTCAACGTGTCTTGGTCAAACCATCACAATCAGTAATATCAGCATTCTCGTCGGTTACTGCGAATCGTGAAGATTCCTTCGACTTTGCGGAAATTGATATAGATAAATTCAGATAACAATCAATACAGATATAACTTTTATTCTGTGATTCAAACATTAATTTTATATCATGGAAGTGAACTGTTTAAAAGAAAAACTTGAGAAATTTAATCAAGTGCATTTACTCCGGTTTTGGGATAAAATTTCCGATCAGGAGAAATCCACGCTTTTTAAGGATATTTTAGAATTGGACCTTCAGGAGGTCACGTCTTATTTTGCAAAATCTTTAATTTCCATTAAGGCGAATCGAGAGAGTTTAGATTCTAAAATACAACCAATTCCGGAAAATATTTTCGAATCTATTTATTCGTCGACAGAAGAAAAATTAGAACAATACGAATTGACAGGATTGAAGGAAATTTCCGAAGGGCGAGTCGCTATACTTTTATTAGCTGGAGGTCAAGGTACTCGACTTGGTGTCAACTATCCCAAGGGAATGTACGATGTTGGACTTCCCTCACACAGCACTTTATTTCGTTTGCAAGCCTTGAGAATCCGAAAACTGCAAGAACTAGCAGAAGAAAAGTTCAAAAAACATGGTCAAATTACATGGTACGCGAAAATTATTATTTACAATTTATTCACCGTTTGTCTCGTCTTTTTATTCCAATAGAAAATTTTATTCCCAAGTTCCTTTAAATGTCAAGATCAAATCAAAATAAATGATGTCAATTTTTATTATCAAAATGAAAAATTTATCAGAGTCTATTTCATATGAATATAAATAAAATTCTGGTTATAAAATGATTATTAATTATGAAAACATATGGAAATTTACGATCGAGCCAGAATAAGACGAAAATCATTGTATATAACTTTAACTTTCTCTTATATTTCATAACATTCTAAAATAATTTTAAATTTTATTAAATGTGATGGTAACATAAAAACTTGTTTGTCTTATCAATTTTATTAAGCTTTGTTTCTATTATCATTGACTTGAAGTGGGTTTATATATTTTTTAATACAAAAAAAAGCACTTTATTAATAGCTTCATTTCTAAATTAAATATGAGAACAGGGTTGTTACAAAAAAATTATTTTCTATTTCCCTGATTTCCAGACAAAATTTTGACTTTCTCCCTGACTCTAAAGAATAAAATATTTTATAATTAATAATAATAAATAGATAAAATAAATTTTATAATAAATTTCAATATTCTGAATCACTCTCAAAATGATTAGATACTAAAAAAAAGGTTCTATAACATTTATTTATGAATTTCTCTAATTGTAAAATTATTATTCGAATCTAACAAAATATTAAATTATTTACAAAAATTTTAATAAAATCCTTCACAAGAATTCAATTATTTTTCTAAATAATATAATTTTTCACATCAATTCAATTATTTTAAGAAAATGTACCTAATAAAATTCGTTGTAAGAATTCAATTATTATCATAAATAATAAAATTCTTCCTATAGGATTTAAATTATTTTGAATACAATTTTAAATGAATTTCTTGAAAAATGTAATTATTTTCAAACATTTTCTGCAAGAATTCAATTACATTTCACAAATAATGAAATTCTTCGCTGAAATTATAATATTTCCAAAATCTACTATTTTAATAAAATTTCTCAAAAGAATTTATAATTATTTTTAAAAAATGTAATAAAATTTGTTGCAAGAATTAAATTATTTATAGATTTTTGTAAAAGTTCCTAGAGAATTTTCCAATCCATTTACATACAATTTAATTTTACGAAATTTTGATTATTCGGAAATTCTTCAATTAAATATTTAGAAAATAAAAAATTTAAAGAATTTAAAAAAAAATTCAATTAAACTTTTTCAAAATACAATTATTTCTGAAAATTCAAGCTATAATGCTTTTAATATTCAATTATTATCTGAATTCTACGAGAATTCAATTATTTAAATACAAGAATGAAAAAATTATTGAACAAATGAATGTTTCTCCAAATTGAATTCTCATAAAGAATTTTATCAACAAATTTTTAAATAATCAAATTTTTTCGATTATTTAATAAAATTTTCAAGAATGATTACATTTTTCGAGGAATTCGATAAAAATTGTATTAAAAATAATAATTGAAATTCTATGATGAATTTTATTAATCATGAAAATAATTGAATCTTTGTAAAAAATATTATTCTTTATGAAAAATAATAAAATTATTGCGAAAAAATTTATAAAAAATTTGTAAATAGTTGAATTCTTGTGAAATTTTTATTAATTATGGAAATAATTGAATTTTGTAGAAGAATTTTATTATTTTTAATAATAACCAATTTATAACCCGTTAAACTTGTAATAAATAAATAAATAAATAAATAAATTTTTCAAGATAATTGAAATTTTGATGAGAATTTTCTAAAATTTTTGAACATAATTGAATTTCCGCAAACATTTGTAACTTCTCTAAAATTCAATTTTGCAAATAAAATTTTTTCCAGTACTTTGATAAAAATCCCTGACGTTTCCCTGATTTCCTTGACTTTTCTCTGTATTGCCTGACCTGTGGCAACCCTGGAAAACATCTGTCTCGAAAAATTGTAATATACTTAATACCCAGAAAATTATGCCATAATTTCAGGTACATAATGACCAGTGAAGCAACTCACGAAACAACTTTGGTATATTTCGAGAAAAACGATTATTTCGGTTTAAAGAAGGAAAACATAAGAGCCTTTAAACAAGAAATGTTACCCTGTTTCACTTTCGATGGTAAAATAATTCTTGATGAAAAATATCACATATCGAAAGCTCCGGATGGAAATGGGGGACTTTATCGAGCTCTAAAAATGCAAGGAATATTGGAAAACATGACTAAGCGCGGTATAAATAGTGTGCATGTGTTTTCGGTCGACAATATCCTTGTAAAAGTGGCTGATCCAGTCTTTCTCGGATTTTGTTTATCGAGATCTGCCGATTGTGGAGTCAAAGTGGTACCAAAACGCTCGCCAAACGAAGCAGTGGGAGTTGTTTGTCAGGTAGTTGAAATACAATAAAAAATATGAGAAAAAAATAAAGAACGAGAAGAATTAAAGATAATTTTTTAATTCACAGGTTGAAGGACAATATCGAGTTGTTGAATACAGTGAAATTACATCAACAACGGCTGAGTTGAGGAACAATGACGGGGAATTAGTATTTAACGCGGGCAATATTTGTAATCATTATTTCACTCTAGATTTCCTTTGTGCCGTTGGAAATGAACACGAAGGAGAACTTGATCTTCATGTTGCAAAGAAGAAAATTCCCTACGTTAATGAGAAAGGAATAAAAGTTATTCCCACTTCTCCAAATGGAATCAAGGTTGAAAAATTTGTCTTTGATGTTTTCAAGTTTGCCAAAAATTTCGCGGTTTGGGAAACAATTCGCGAATGTGAATTCAGTGCGTTAAAAAATCCAGATGTCGCTGGATTTGACTGTCCATCGACAGTTCGCAAAGACTTGATGTCATTGCAGAAAAAATGGCTTATAAATGCTGGCGCACTTTCTGTTAATGGTGACGTTGAAATCTCTCCTCTTTTATCTTATGCAGGTGAAAATTTAGAAAAAATGTCGAAAGGAAAACATATTCATGGGCCAGTTGTTCTTTCGTCACACTTGTGAATATTTTAATGCATGAAAAAGAACTCGAAAATTTTTATTACAAAATTAAATAGAATTTTTTACTACCAATACGGTATTAAAGATATTATCTGATTTCTAAATGCTTGTTATGTTAAACTATTTTTTTTTCTGTTTTTTATTAAGAATAGCTTCATTATTTGTGAAGACAATAAAGTATATATTATGTAGGTATCTATTCGGAACTAGAAGCTCTTGTGCCTTGAGCGATATTTATATCAGTGTACAAGATTAAAACATTCCAAGAACTGAATAGTCTATAGATGTAATTAGATTGTGATCATTTAAAAAATTTCCATTCCCCAGAATATTGTTAAATTTATTTTTGTGAGTATTGATTTAATTTCTAATTACTCGTTCATTTAATGTATTTAAAGAAAAATCATAAAAGTTTTAGTCATCATTGGTTAAACTTTTATAACTGAAGCATAAAAAAATGTAATAATATAAACGAAAAAGTTTACAAGAAATATGTATAACAAATTTATATCTTAGAGCTTTCGAATTGAGTTAAAACATTAAAACATTGTTTCATGTAGCTGTACAAGATTAGAATTAATTAGGTTTACGATTATTGTATTATTTTAATATTTTAAATATATGTTGATTTAAATAGTCAATTTAATTGATTCGAATAATCAATAAAAAAAAAATGATTTACGGCAAATGTTTTTAATGAATCATAACTGATATTTATTAGCTTAATTATAGTTTTATTTTATGCAAATTATATGTAATAAAAATTGTAAAAATTATGTACAATCTTACATTTTGGAATCTTTTATATTAGCATAATAAAAATTTTAATAACTTTTATTTTAAAATTAAAATAAACTAAGAAAAGAAAATTAATTGAACACGTACATATCATCCGTAGGACTTATAAGCTCATATTTATCCGTTGAACCACCGATTTCTTGCAATTCTCCCACCAGTTCCTTTGGATCTATTTTCCTAGAAATGACTAAAGTTCTTTGTGTTTTTGGTCCGTGACTCTGTGACTTTAATCCCATTTGCTTCGCAACTCTAAAGTAATTAAAGTTAGTTAAATATTATTTCTATAGTTTAATATTTATGTGTAATATTTTGAATTAAATATTACTTACTGATGAACAATGGCTCGTTCTTCATTAGTAAAATCAGATGACAATACTAAATCTTCTCTCATGTCACCTTTCATATAATCACGTAGTACTTCATAACATTTTTTCTTGAGGACTTTTAAATTAGAACTATCTGGATGCAAACCCAAACCACTTTTACTCAGTTGCTGTTTCACTCTGCATTCAAAAGTTTTGTTTACTTTTTTTAAATGTTAAAAATTTAATTTTTTAGTAGTAATTGTATGCAGGGCTCGAGCCAGTGAAAGTATTTAAAAATACGGACTTTACGGATCTTTTTTAAAAAAAACGGACTTTTACGGACTTGAAGCAATTTTACGGACCTAGTTCGAGCCCTGTGTTATGTAATAAAATTGAAACTTACGTGACAGGTTCCTTAATTCCTTGTTCCTTTTTTCCAAGTCCGCCTCCCGACCATCCCATTAATTTCATTAATTTTTGTCCTATATTATCCTCAGTTAATTCTGAAGAAGTATTCCCTTCTGCACCTCTCAGTTCGTTACTTGTTACTGATTCCTTTTTCACTGCCTTCTTTACTTTTATAGTGTAATAATACTTCATTAAAACTTGCAAACCAGAAGATGCAGCTTCTTTCTTTGCCAACTTTTGATTTTGGCCTGAACCTTCTGACAGCTTTTTCGAATTTACATACATAGTGCATTTGCTGGAATAAATTTTTATAAATAAATAACAATTTTCTTTTAATTTTTTTAAGGCACTTTTCCTATGTGACGGTTTGAAAAAATCGATTTTTTTTTGCATGTTTCGAAAGTACAATATCGTAGAAATATCGTGTAAAAGTTTTAGACAGATATTTGAAAAACTAACAAAGTTACAGCGCGTAGAATTAAACAGTGCACGGGCGCGAGCTATAGCACCAAAACTTTAAACGCGTTTTTCTCAAAACCACATTTTTCTAACTGGTGCCAAGGATTACTCAAAATCTATTTAACCGATCGGTCTGCAATTTGGAGGCATTATTCTACACATAAGTGGCTATCGTGTGAACCTCGATCATGATTTTACATAAACATTTTCCTATTTTTTTTAAACAATTACTTACAAAAAACAAGCGATTTTTGAAATTTTTTTATTTAACAGTCCGCCATTTTGTTATTTATTAAGATAAATTGTTTATTGAGGTTCACACGATAACAGTAAGCCTACTGAGTAAAACTACGTTTGATTTTTTTATTTCAGACAATACTGAAGAAAGTTATCGTTGCGACCGTTAACCCGTGCATTTTCAAAGGAGTCACCTTTGACTCATAAAAATAATTATTAAATGATTTGAAAAATCACTAAAAAATTTTTTTTGTATATTTTTAGAAACCAATATTATAACATGTAAAATAAGTTATAAAATTATATTTTATTTTCTGTGAAAAAAAATTCCTGAAAAAAGCCTGAAATTTCGGCCGTCACATAGGAAAAGTGCCTTGAATAAATAATTTTGGAAATGGAAATGAATCAAACCTTATTTCTGTATTATTTTTGTCAAATTTGATATCTAAAGTTCCTCCTCGTGCAGTGACTGCTCTGGATATGATACTTTGTGGTGCATCGTCTGGATATTCAAATAAAACAAGGTTTCCAAAGGGAGGTGTAATATTACTTTTACGATCATCAAATTTTGCTCGTTTGCAAGGGACTTGGTCACCATCATCTTGTTCCGGTTTGGGAGAATTATGTTCCGTCTTACTGCTAATTTGTACGTGATCATTAGGTCTTTGTCCTGAAAATTTTTATAGTAAATAAAAAATAAATATGGCTTAGTAAAAATAAATGATTTTTACTTCTTTCGAAGGCATTTAAAGTTGTAAACTCACAATTTTTCAAAGTACCTTTAGCTTTGGAACTAGCGGCGTCCGAAGCTTTGACAAAGGTTCTCTGAAGTTTCGTTTTTTGTTTCTCTCTGTAGTCTTCTGCGACATCGAGCGATAATTCTGATATCAGATCCATTGTTTCTTGTGGATAGCTAGTTGTAAAAATTGTTATCACTTATCAAACTGCCTTATATTTTAAGGTTAGGGTACACAGAATTTAAAGTACACGTTAGTAAACAAGGTAAACAAATGAAATAAATTCCTGTTAAGTAGGCCAAAGATAAAACTTACCGGCATCCTAAAAATTCTACATTTGTAAAAACTTGAGCTAAACAAACTAATTCATCCTCAGGAAATCTGTCTTTATGAGCGAGAAGGAATTTTCGTCTTAACTCCCAGTGTTCTTCGCATTCATGCTCTTGTTTATGTTGTTCCACATCCCAGTCTTCTTTAGAACTCATTTTAAAAAAGTATTTATTATTTTATTTATGGTAAACTTAAATATTAGAGAATTTGCAGAAAAACAAAATGAAAAGGAGATAAAGATGCAGTAGGAAACATGTGTATCACAAATTCACAACGAACACAACTGTTTTTTCAACGCGAACAAAATGCACTGTCAGAATTCAGAAAGATGCGCAATGCATAAACTAAAAATTATTGAGATGAAATCATGAGTCTATCTTTCTTGCACTCATAAATTTTTGTTTTTGGCTCACATGTGATTGCATCTTTAGGGTCGAACGACATAAAGAGACTATTGTGGACATAGCCTAAAAGAGATATGAACATAAAGAGTCCATTGTGAACAAAGATTAATCTTTTATATTTGAAAAATTGAAAAATTTCTAATCATTTTAAATTAAAAGAAATAACCGAAACCAAACCAAAAGTTAAAAGAACGTTGAGTATATATTAAAGGTATACTGTTTAACAATTAAAATATTCAATTGAAAAATAATGATAATCAATAAAACAAAAATACATAAAATTAAAAGAGTTTTAAAATATATTTATAAAATATAAGGACAAATTTTATACAAAAGCTCCATTATCACTTGTGTATTTTAAAAATTTACTAAATTTCGAACATAAAGTCTCTAATTTTATAATTTTGTTTTCTTTAGTAAATTCTAATAATTAAAAAATATACGTATTTCTCTTTTTATAGTCAGTATTATTACAATTATACGAAAAGTTATTGCGTCCATAAAAAATTATCAATATTTAGACTGTATTGATGAAGTTGGAATGTTATGAAGTCATGCTTTGAGGCTTTTCTTCAAATTTTCTGCCAATTTGTCCATAAATTCAAAAGTTTCCAAATAATCAGATCTCTTAACTCCATTCATTCCCTTGATACAAATTGCAAGATCTTTCGTCATACTGCCAGATTCGATTGTGTCGACGCAAACCTTCTCCAAAGTTTCGGCAAAATGCTTCAATTTATCATTGTTATCGAGTTTTGCTCTATGGAGCAAACCTCTCGTCCAAGCAAAGATTGAAGCAATTGGATTTGTGGAAGTTTCCTTTCCTTGTTGATGCTGACGATAGTGACGAGTCACCGTTCCATGAGCAGCTTCAGCCTCCACCGTGCGACCATCGGGACAGACCAAAACTGAGGTCATGAGACCCAAAGATCCATAACCTTGAGCTACAGAGTCTGATTGAACATCTCCGTCGTAATTTTTACAGGCCCAGACAAATCCACCGTTTGATTTCATTGCGTAAGCCACCATGTCGTCAATTAATCGATGTTCGTACCTTGAAATAATAACAAAAAGTTCAATCAAAAGTTTCAATTATAAAAAAAGGAAAACAATTGTTAAAAATTGTTCTTTCAAAAATAATTAAGTATCTTACCAGATATTCTCAGCTTCGTATTTTGATTTGTAGTTTTTATCATAAATTTCCTGGAAAATGTCCTTGAATCTACCATCGTACTTTTTGAGAATAGTGTTCTTTGTAGAAAGATAGAGAGGATACTTTCTCGCTAAAGCGTACTCTAAGGAACTGCGAGCAAAGTCTCTAATACTCTCGTCAGTATTGTACATGGCTTGAGCAATACCCGACGACTTGAAATCGTAAACAAGGTGTTCGATTTTTTGTCCATTCTCACCAGTCCAGGTAATTTGCAATTTTCCCGGACCAGGTACGAGAAAATCGGTCGCCTTGTACTGATCTCCATGAGCGTGCCTTCCAATAATAATCGGATCATTCCAACCAGTGACTAGTCTGGGAATATTTTTGCAAATAATTGCCTCACGGAATACGGTACCACCGAGAATATTTCTGATCGTTCCATTTGGACTCTTCCACATTTGCTTAAGTTTGAATTCTACAACTCTGTTTTCGTCAGGTGTTATGGTGGCACACTTGATACCGACGTTGTATTTTTTTATTGCATCGGCGCATTCTACGGTCACCTTATCGTCAGTTTTATCACGATGTTCTATTCCTAAGTCGTACGTATGAAGTTCGATGTCCAAGTAAGGAAGGATTAATTTCTCCTTAATGGAGTCCCAAATAATTCTGGTCATCTCATCTCCCAAAATATCAACAACGGGACCAGCCTAAAAATAAAAAAAAATTAATTACAATTTAATTTTATATACATACGTAGATAAATATTTTTCTGTAATATTCTAGTTTCTATATTTACTGTATTCTAAACAGAGGTCATAACAAAAAATATTTACTGTTAGTTAACCTTGAATGACTGAGGGAATGGAATAGAAGAAATTAAGTATATTGAATTTAAATATTTTTCAATAAATTTTTAAATTTTATTATTATAATAATAATCATAAGCTTATCATGAATGAAACTAAATTTTTATTTGGCAACCTTAATCACATCATTATGCGGTTTGTGATAAGATAGAAATTGTCACGATATGCAATTTTTTTCTTAGGCAATAGCTGATTAACTACTTCAATGTGTATACGAAAAACAATTTTTATTTAATAAAATAACTTTTTCCATTAAGTTACAAATTAAAAAACAATAATTATATCTAGTTATTAGATTGACATCACTTAAATATTCATAAAAGATAAATATTATTTTATACCTTGTATTTAAGAAATAAATTACTTTAACTTAATTCAAATAAACTGCATTAATAAATTTCTTTCGTAGTTTAAACATTTCTTTAAACTCTCATAAATTTAAAAACAATTGAAAGAAATTAACATTAAACAAAAAATTTGTATATTTTAAACCTTTTAAACATTTTATAGGTAGAACTAGGTATATAAATTGAATTAAAAAATTTTAATTTCCTGAAAATCAATTGCCTATAAATTGCATTTATTAACATAGAAAATATTATAAATTACATAAATATAAAAAAAATTTAAACTTGAACTTTGAACTTAATTATTTTTTCTTCTGTGTTATGCGAAAGTTCAACTAATTTAGAATATAAAGATTAGATTAGAAAAAGTAAATTAAAATTTATGAAAATTAATTAGTGTTACTAATTATTCCGAAAAAGAAATAATTGAATTCAATAAATAAATTAATTAAAAGTTACCGGTAATTCTTTCAGAAATAAATTTTTTTTTCCTTAAAAATTGATTAGACTTTATTAGCAATAAATTTATATGTTTTGCAAATATTTGTTTTTATAACATTTATAATGCTCACCTTTATTTTTGCCATTGCAGTAGAAGTACTAAAATTTCTAACAAATGAATATTCTTGTGATGGAAAATATGAATTATAATTGTTGACGGGCGGCTGAAAACTTGTCTGCGTTGCTAAAGTGACAGTGCTATTAACAAATTGTAGAAGAGGTGCACTTCTCGACAAACCCGTATTCACTCGAAAAAAAAGGTGGGGCACAGACATGTCAGTGGTTGGCAACTTCAGACAACGTGTACTTTACGGTGTACTTTCACCTCCAACACAAATGCAACTACAACTACAACAGTTCTTCTTCGATCAATCTTGACTTTTCTAACCTCTCTTCCGCTCTTTTTAGGTCATTGACTTAAATAACAATAATATGTACAACAAAATAAAAAAATTTCAACAAAAATTTTTAATAGTTATATTTTTAGAACAACAAATAGATTGAGTTTATCAAATTTTATTAGAGATAAAGTATTGTGTCAAGAATCTGTGAATAAAAAATTAATTAAAAAAGAAACGATGAATATCATTTAGATTTAGCTATATATAACATGATTTGATTTAACCTTGGAATTTGTACTTTTTATAAGAATCGTGTACAATTCTTAAAACCAGAAATAAAGTTAATTAAACGAATATTTGAGAGTAATTATTTTAACGATTTTAACAATGACACTATTGAGCTTTTTTTTGTTTCACACTGCCTTTTTCAAAAAAAAACTTCTAGGTTAGATAACTTAGATAAATAAGATAATTTCACAGATGCGTTTATAAAGTAATTTAAGAAAAAGATGTTGTGTCAGAAAATTGATAACCGAGAAAGTTTGACCTTAACTAATTTAGATATAGGGATTTCAATACAAATCCACTTTTTTTTTATTATGATAAGTTTATTATTTCAAACTATATATATATAGTTTCAAAAATGTAACTTAAATCTATTTCTATTGAATTTTCAAATAATTGGCTATAATAGGTAAACCTTTCTATATTTATACACCTTACTCGCGAACACTACACAATATATCAATTTTAATATTAATTTTTCTTATTTGGCAGTCGTAATATATCAATAAATAACATATTTACCGATGCATTTCGAGATTTAAATAGTTCTTGATAGTCTGTAAGTCAACACGTATAAATTTGACATGTTTCATTTTACACCACACTGTTTCGAATAAACTATATAATATATAATAAATTATGATATACGAAAAAAATGAAAATTTTCCAACTGGCTATCAATAACTGACTATTGATTTTATGATCGAAGAAACAGATTTGATGCTGCTGACGTTTTATATATTTTTTATCAATTAATTTATTTTCTAATACTCTTCGTTTATCTTACAACATCCATCTTTAGCTCAATTTTCTTCGAGTTATGGATTATGAACATCCAGAATTATTTTATATACTTTTTTTTGCAATTTAAAATTCATAGTAGTAAAAATAAAAAAAGCGAACAAGAAGAAAATTTTAAAAGACGATGCATACAAAGTGTATTACTGGTGACATATTTTGAATTGAATTTTATAAATAATTTTTTTTTTGACAACAATTTTTAAATTAAAATTACGTACGATGTAAATCAGGGTTATTTCAGTCCAAACTTGGTAGTTTCTGAAAGAACATAATGTTTTACTTCTTTTCAATAGTGAATTGAAAATTGCAAGCTTCAACAGAGTTGTTTAAAAAATTGAGCTAAGCTAAAAGCCATAATAGACAAATCTGATTTCAGTTAAATAATACTGTAAAAGAATGATGAAATTTTGAATTCAAATATTATAAAAAAGGACGAGAATAATTGTTCCTAATATTAATAATATTGTAAAAAACGATATGATTTCAAGTCGATTTGAATTTTAAGTCTAGATTATTGAAAATAATTATGAGTCCAGAAGTAAATCAAAAAATCAATCTTTTAAAAAGAGAAAACAAATGCAAATATTAATTTTTGCAATAATCTACTCTTTTCTTTTCTTGGGAATAATATAGTTACATGAGTATCCTTAAATCCTTTGAGTGAAAGTGAACAATCACCAGAGATCAATAAAGTTCTATAATTGGAAATGCAAATACCAAAAAATGTGGGGCGCATTGTTTTTAGAACACTTACACGTTTGTAAGAATCCGTTGATTAAAGCGATTAAGCGACGTACGTGTAAATTTTTCTGCAAGAAAACAAAAACAAAATTTAATATTAATTAATTAATTAATTACTAAAAGTTAAATATTCTTCATATTTTTAGTAAATTACCTGTCTTCTTGCGTTCGAGCAAGGTATTCTCGTTCAATCAGACCTTCGATACGTTTCTTTATAATGACCGGTGACGGTAAAAATCGGGATCGTAACTGTTGTGTTACTTCGGTTACCAAAATGTTGTGCTGAAAAAAAATTTCATTTCTCACTCTTGAGGTAAATAGGTTAAAGAGAAATCTCTGAAATATACTTACCGCCATACGTTTCCTCGCTTTCATAATTCTCACGATGGCAGCTTCTATTTCGTGCTTTCTGTCCTCGTCAACTTTATTTCTCGTTTCCTTGCGTTCTGGTTCACATTCTCCTTTAGCCGCTACTGTCTGGATTTTTACTCTATAATAAATTTATTATTAATTGAAAGAATACTAAAATACCTAATGTTTTAATCTTAACAAGTTTCAGAACTATACCTGTGTAATTTACTTGTAAAACTATCATTGACAACAAATTGATGAGTTGGTTCAATATCCTTGGTTCGTGGATATTTTAACAAAACCCGTTGAGTTGCTTTTCCCATTGCGAGAGACTGGAGCGCTCGTACGAGATCTCTTTCCGGAATATCAGTTTCACTTTGAATTTCCTAAGAGAACGAATAGTTCATAAATAATATAATAGTAACTAAAACTACTAAAAGTTAAAAAAAAATTAAATAGAAAAAAAAATAAGAATAAAAATATTCAATTTAGATATGTAAATTTAAAAATATTGACGAGCGAACCTCGTAAGTTAGCTTTTCTCTGTTATTGAAAAGCATCAGAACACACATTTGATAAGTTGAAACTTGAATAATATGCTTTCTTAATCCTCCATTTCCACTAGGTTTCGGACTCAATAGATTATTCGTATTGCTTCCACTATTCACAGAAGAAGACGATGTGGGTGCATCAACTCCACCCGTTTCTTCTCTTTGTTGTCCGTAAAAAATGGCATTTAGATCAGCAGAACCTATAAAGGAAAAAGACAAAATTAATTTTCGAGAATTTGTTTTTTGTTGAAATTATTATTGTCAATGGACATAGTTTACCTAGTTGAGGTTGTAAAGTTAACTGACGCCCACTATGTTTAGCTAGATAAAAACGACGAAAAGCGTCAAAGGCATCTCTTGGCGCTTGAGGAATGCTACATTTTGGAGTAGCCGAATGTGTTGGCCAAAAGCCAGTAGTTAAAACGCGGACACTTAAATCTACACCATGTAAATTTGTCTGAAAAATAATAATAATAAATTTACAAATATTTGAATAAAAAACGAATCGAAAACTTGTAGGTAAACTAAAAAACAACTTACTCCAGATGTATTGACGTGCTCCTTGAATTCATCCATAATAGTGTTACTCAGTGTAATATCTTTGAACATGCCTTCCAATTTGGATGTGAACTGACATCCGCATTCAGTCTAAACAAACAGAAAACTTGTTATTAAAACTTAAAAATTAATTAATTAATTAACTTCAGCGAAGTCCTGCAATAGCTGTGCTACAAGTCGCAAAGTCACATATTTTGATTTTAAAGAAAAGTGCAAGCTTCACTAAACCATGCCAATTTCGGATGACCGTGCTACTAATGTCAGCTATCGCATGGCACTCGCAATCGCAGACCATCCTTAAATTATTAGATATCCCAATGAAATTTAAAATTACAAAATTAACAGAAATTTAACAAGATCTCATCTCTAACTTAATTAAGAATTTAGTATTTAATGGGAATCAAAAACTAGAATTTGAAAAGAAGTCGTTTTCAGCATGGTTTAAAGAGCATACACTTACTTTGCAATGAATCTGATATAGAAGAAATGGGTCAGGAGAAGGATATTTTTTCCAGGATGAAAGTCAAATAGGAATGATAGACTCTGAAGAATCATCGAGAGGTTCAACTTGGAGATTTTTTTCATATCAAGGAAAAGATCCACTTTGATTTTAAAAGCCCATGTTTCTGTCAGAACTAGATTTTTATCAAATTTTGTCTGGCAATACCCCGTATAAGAACTATTACATAACGAATATTTTTAATACAATACAAACCTTCAGTTTAGATATCATATTCTTTTCACTGTCATCGGACACAGATTTGTTGAGTAAAAGTCTCTTGGCTAGATGTTGTTTATAATATCTTTCAAATACATCTTTCTCTTGCAAGAATCTAAACAAAACCATTGTTTTGTCGAGAATACCTTCAATTTCTTGTTCTGTCATCTGCAATATAGAAAAGTATTTTTAATCCATATTATTAATTTTTTAATTCGTTTATTAAAAAAATAGTTTCTATTATTAAAGACTTACGCCTTTGACGCCTTTCTTTAATTTATCATCAATGAAAAGCGAAAGATATTCTGGACTTTTAGGATTTAAATTTAAAAAGTGTTCAAAATCGGCCGCAATCATGTGTTTAAAGAGCTTGTCGTTGTTGAAAGAATAGTGGAGGAAATGTTCGAATCCATCCTTTAGAGTGAGCAAATTTTGCACAAACGAAACCGCATTGGTCGACGACTCTTGATCTTCTTGGACCAAAGTTCGACCGCGTTCTCGAAGAAATTGAGAAACACAATCGCAAACTGTCCGCAATCCATCGGTAACTCGAGAAAATAGTTTATACATACTGTTGAGATCCTCAATCTTTTGATTTTGTAGCATGTGAATTACACCACTATTTTCCATCTACAAAAATTTTTCCATAAAAATTAAAGTATTTACTTTTTGAATTTTACATTTTCTATCATTTAATAAAATAATGGAAAAAATGTAATTCTTAATTACCTCTACGATTGTTTTCATGTGAATTTTAATGAGTTCGTCCTCCACAACTTCAACTATTCGAGGCTCAGTTGATTCGTCTAAATAATGTTTAGCTCTGTCTGATTCCTCACTTATTCTCGCTTCGACTTTCTTTATATACACTGATGCACTATTCTCAGCTAAGAACTTTTGCGATTCCATCTAGAAAAATAAACAGACATTGACAATCTGAAAATATACATTGACATTTAAGAATTAAAATCAAAACTTCATATTGCTTCCTCCTGGAGGAAGGATTCTTTCTTAATTGTAGTAGAATATTAGAAATTAAAATACTAATGCAAATTTATAGAAGAAAATGTTTACTCGATAAAAATCTATGCTTTGCTGCAAAAAGGGTCTTTCAAAATCTTCTTCGTAGACTACACGATTATTGATGCCAAGGACCATTAACATTTGACAAGCATTTTTTATTGCTATACGATCAACGACTTCTCCTCTACGTTCTCGAGCCACCATATCCAGTAAGGTCTCTCGCAAATGGTCTCTGACACATCCATATCGTACAACCTGGAAAATATTTCAAATTTCAATTTATAAGAAACCAAAAATTACATTATTTTAAATATTAAAATTATATTAAAGAAAATTACCTGGTCACGAAATATAATGAGACCTAAATTGTAAACATTGTCAACACTATTTTGTTGTACATAAACGCGATCCATATACATTAAAATGTCTCGAATCATAACCATGGATGTTTGATGATCATTCCAAGCTTGATTTAATGTCTGCAGAAAATTGTTGTGAAGCGATTTAAGAACATCTTCTCGTACTTTATTCTCCAAATGTTGTGTTACGACTTCCTTCAAACCAGTGTAAAGTCGTTCGCCATATTTATGAAGAACCATTGTATAAGCATTACGATAAAGTTCTTCAAAACTGAGTCCAGAGTTGTTCTTCTTCTGTATTTCTTGAATTGCATTTTTCAATAATGCCCAGATATTTTCCACATACTTTTCATCCATAGTAGTCTATAAAAAATACACTTTGTATAATTTAACTAAAATTAAAACATAAAAAAGAAAACAAATATTTTTATTTATTAATATATTATTTAAAGACTTATTTAATTTTGCAAAAAATAGAATAACATTTATAACCCTTACAAGGGTTTCGGTGATCATTAAAGGATTTGTATTGCCAATTCGATTTAAACCTGCAGAGGTAGTTAATTCAAATCTATTTCCAGATGTACTTGGAAAATCAGATACAATAAATTGACGGGATTCCATAACTAATTTTCTTACATGAGGACTCCAGAAATTAATATAAGTAAAATTTTTAATGTTTTTGCGATAGTCAGAGAAAGTTTCTTGACAGATGACGTAATTTATGTTTTATTTTTTTACAGTACCAGAAACTACGACACGTAGTTATGGAAAAAAAATAAAAGTTTTCCATAAATATAATTTCGATAACAATTTAAGAATAAATTGTTACTATTGTTGTTTGAGATATTTTTAACATTAAATTTTGTAAAAATTTTTATAAAAGTAAGAAAAAAATGGTTAAAACTGTTGTTAAAAAATTGAATTTCTTATGTTTCTTTTGGAACATAATTTTTAGTTGCTATACCAACGAAAGTTTTTTAATAACAAAGTGTCATTAAATTTTTTCATTTTTCAATGAAGATGTAAAAATAACTTTTCTCTTAAATTACTTTAACCGAAGGTGTAATTATAATGAAATATAATACAATATAGCAATAAAAATGGTTAAAAATGTAATTATGTTTAATATTGTACTGTAAAATAATAAAATGATTTGCAATTTTGATTGTCTAAAATTTACGAAACAAAAAATATAGAGATGTTTTTAACGATGTTATTATCTACATTGTTGTAAATAAAAATAAAATTACAAATAACGTTGTGTACAGTTGTTTTATTATTTAGAAAATCATTCAGTTTGCAAAATGATTTCCTAAAACCAACAAAGGGTTTGTATTCTTTGTACAATGTTTTGGACCACTTTTCTGCAAAAAATTTTTGACCGAGAAAATCACTATACACAATGGCAAAATAAAATATTTGATAATGCATAGATAATGAAAACACTTACGGCAAAAGGACGAATTCGCATTTTGCTTTCCTTTTTAGTTGTGCACGCTCCGCTCTTCATCATGTCGATTGTAAATATAATGCAAATTTTCGAAACTACTTCGAAACCAACTCAATGAAAACGTCAACTTGTTTGCACATTGACAACACTTAACCGAGTTGTTGAGAAATAAAATATTTATTTGTTTAATATGGTTTAAGAATAAATGGCCACATTGGTCAAGCAAACACTTTATTGTAACTAGATTAAATGAATATATTCACTCTTGTGTGCATTTATAAAAATATAAACAAAACATTTTGTATGCAGGAGCATAAAGGGCAAAACATGTGAAACTTTATATGTGGATTGAGAATGGGAAAGGGATATAGTGAATCCTGACCGAAATCAGAATAAACACTTTTCGGGGAATATTATCATGGGTCTTTTCGCTTCACGTATTTCTGGTTCCGCAATTTATTAATCACTAATTTAACAATAGTTTCAACATATTGAAGAAAACTAAAATCTCAAGAAACTGTTTTTCAGATTATAATATCGAACACGAAACAAAATATTCAAGTGAGATTCGCAGTTCATGCAGGGTTGGGAAAGTAAATTAGACAAATTTCACACACACTCAGTTTTTTACATTATTTTACCGAGTTTGTCAAAACTCAAAGCCAATCAAATTTTTTGCTTGATTAAAATATTAAAGGAACGTATGTTTTTATTATTAAGATTCGATCACATCTTCGCAGGTCGCTTGAGATAAAAAATGATAAAGATATATTTAAGAACTTTACTATCTAACGAGAGTTTACGATTTGGCCTAATAAAGTCTAAGGGTTCGGTCACACGACTATCGGAAAACCCATTCTCATCTTTCTCTCTTTCTCTCTCACGACATTGACATAAGTTTATCTCACTCTACATTTTCGTTTTTGGAAAAAGTAAGAAAATGTAGAATGAGACAAACTTATGACACTTTCATGCGAGAGAGAAAGACAAATATTGTGATTTCCAGTGTGGTCGGCCCTTTATTGCAAAAAAGGCAGGTGAAACTTTGAAATAACAGAGGTTTTGCTGTTTTCGTATCTATGTCATTTGTATAATTTATGATTATTAACTCCAAAGCAGAACTAATCTAATTTAATTTTTCGACAGAAACACTTCGGAGTCAAATCCGTCGAAATTTAGCACCAGGTAGCTATAACAGATATTGTGTTGTATCTAGTATTAAATTTTACTTTAATGTTAAAATCTATTAATGAAATATAAGTTAATTAAATTTACAATTACATATTCTAGTCATTTTTCTGACAAGCTACCTGGTCGCACGCGTGTTCCCATCAACTAAATGTTTTGCTTGTATGTAATGACTTGTACTTGGTTAATATTACAGTGAAGTCGAATTTTGAAGAATTCATGTTACTGTAAGTTTACATTTAATAAATATTAATAACCGTATTAATACAAATTATAAATGTTTGCATACATACAACACACAGAATTTGAAAAGTTGAAAATTTCATAATACACCTTGCAGAAAATTTCAATTGTTTAATTAAACTGAAAATTGTGTCATCCTCAACAATCGAATGCGAATAGTATTAGGTATATAAAGTTTCTTTACTGTACATTAAATTTTTTTCAATATTTCAACTTTTTATTAAATTTATTCTACATTTTTGCAATAATTAGCAATAATTCTAAAAATATTTATAGTTAACAATTTTTAAAAAAATTTCTTTTCAAGATCGTTTTTTAAACAATTAAAGTAAAATTCAAATTTTGCATACTGTAATTAAATATTAGTGAAATAATGAATTAAAAATATTATTTTCGTTTTAAATATTTGTTCCTACAAGAATACTTTACAAGTTTTACAATTAGACATTGATATCAAGGTGTTCATTGAGTAATGTGTGTTACATCAGTTAATAATTTGATTGATAAACGAGTGTTTATGTAGTTATGAAACTATACGTAATGATTTAGATAAAAATGAAATTCAACTCTTCTTTCATATGCTATTTTACAAAAGTCACATGTCTATTCTCAAAATTGGCCATTTTTAACAAAAATGACTTCTATATGTGACATTCAGAAACCCTTGGCACGGAGAACTAAATTCTATTTTAATTCAAGATTGCAACATAAGGTCAGTTTTGTCTTTGAACAAATCATGAGAGAGTTTTTGTTTTTTCTTTAAAAGAAAGAACGTAAGAAATTAAGTAATTTTTTTTTAGTGAATCATGATTATTATCTAGATTCTTAGTAGAATGACGTCAATAAATTCCCTACTCCTTTAATATCAATTTATTTGCTATAAAAATTATCTAAACACTCAATAAGGAAGTTTAATTATAAAAATGCATTTCTGCGTTTTTATATCTTATCTCTTTGACAAAAACTTCTAGCTGGGGTCACTGTGATTATGCAGTTACATAATTCCACGTGGTTAGAGGACCTATCAAGGTCTACAAAATGATGCTGCATTGTAATATTTATTACTTTGCACTCTATCCGTTACCTATATGCCTTGAATCGATTTACACTTCTATGAGAAAATTTTCTTCTAAATTGTTAGATTTTACAAAAATTTTTAGATATTTTAGAAAAAATTTCTATAATTGTTTGTCTTTAATTGATTTCTAATGAGGTGACTCATCATTTGAAAGCATTTACTTTTAAATTAGTTTTCCAAAATTTACCCATAAATATGATTCATTAATAAAAAATTTATGTTGAGTACTTGCTTCTAATCATATTTTGGATGAAAGTCAAATATTCAACTCTTAACGTTCTGCGTATTTGGCATGTCAACTGAAATTTTATTGTCTAGTTTTATCATTGTTGTACGCAACCACTTTGTTTGTATTTTTTTTAATTTAACTATGTCAAGAACATAATTATAACAATCATTTTGAGGTACTTTTTTGAAAAAATTTTGTTTAGTTTAATGTCAGGTTATTTGTTATTTATTAAAAGAGTATTATTCCCTTAGTGTTAGTAAGCTGATAATTTTTGTACTGTAAGTTTTCGAAATAGTTTTTTTTTTCTTTTTTTAAAAAAATACATTATCAAACCAGTTAAATGCTGACAAGTGACAACCGAATGACGTTCACTCACATGCTATGTTTAATCTGTATATGTTAACTGAAAGATAAATTACATCTTGATTTCAAAGTAAAAAATAATTTATTCCAAATAGAATTAATTTTTTAGTCATAGAAGACGAATGTAATAATTATTTTGTTCTTAAAATTCTAATATTTAGCAAAATAAATTATTACTTTCTTGAGTGATTGAAATGTAAAAAAATATTTTGTTAATTAAAATAAATTATTTGTTACAGATTCGTGTAAGTGTTTCGTACATTGACATTAGGAATGGCTTCTTTAAGATTATTGGCAGCTAGTGCAAGTGCTGTGGGGGCAGGTGTTCTTACTAATTATTACTTCACAAACGACAATACAGTAAGTAGATTGTTAATTTTGTAATAGAAGAATTTAAATAGTATGCAATTAAATAGTCATAGAAATATACAATTTTGTTAACCAATAACAAAACAATGAAATAATAAAATTCTGTAGCAAGTATTTCTTTCAAGGATGTTTATTACATAAGTTCTATAAAGAAGAGAATATTAAAATAATTCTTCCAAAAATAATTATTCAACAATTGTCTTGTTTAACGAAAGTAGAAAAATACTGTATATATTTATAGTTGCTTTAATCAAGGTAGCCGATTCTGTAGCTCTAATAATAGTGACTCTAATTATAGCAGACTCATACAAATTAAGGTATTACAGACGACCTAATGACACACTCAACTTCTTTCACTAAAAATTCGACTCTAGAAAGTAAAATTTGAAAAAATATCAAATAACATTTTTATTTTCATAAAACGGGGAAGTACAATATTCTCTTGTATTTTTAGGTTCATGCGGAGAAACTCTCGAAACCGGTAAAACGACCTCTTCCTTCAAGAGAAGAACAATTGAAAGCTCTTAAATCCGGAGAGCAATATGACGTTATTATAATTGGAGGAGGTGCAACAGGTGCAGGATGTGCTCTCGATGCGTGCACTCGAGGTAATTGTTTCAAACCCGAATATGTAGAAATTAAAAAATAAATTTATTAATTTTGCATTATTTTTAGGTTTAAAAACAGCTCTGATCGAAGCCGATGACTTCGCATCAGGAACTTCGTCTCGTAGTACGAAATTAATTCATGGCGGAGTACGATATTTACAAAAAGCTATTATGCAATTCGACATAGAACAATATAAAATGGTGAAGGAAGCTCTTCACGAAAGAGCACAAATGCTCCATAGTGCTCCTCATCTTGCACATCCTTTACCAATCATGTTACCAGTCTACACGTACGTATAGGTACTAATTACAATGCAAGTAAAAAACAGGTTTCTATGATTCCCTCACTTGTTGAGATTGTAAATATTTTTTCAAATCTTGTCAAAGTTTATTTTTATTCTACGAATTTCAGTTAGAATAAATTGAATAATAATGGACAAGCTGAAATGAAAATATGGAATAATTGAATAAAAGGAATTTTTTGACAGGTGGTGGCAGATACCATATTATTGGTTCGGTATTAAAATGTACGATCTAGTAGCTGGCAGCAAAACTGTCAAATCTTCGTATTATTTAAGTAAACAAAATGCTCTGGAATTATTTCCAATGTTGAAAGGAGATAAACTCACTGGAGCGATTGTATATTACGATGGTAAGCGATATTTGTATAATGTAACAATTTTGTAGATTACTTTGTAATGATTTCTAATTGTTTAAACTTAAATTGAATGATTCAGGTCAACAAGACGATGCCAGAATGAATCTCGCAGTAGCTCTTACAGCATCACGACTCGGTGCTACAGTAGTTAATCATGTTAATGTTCTAAATCTCTATAAGGGTTTAGATCGAGTAAGTAACTTGTACATTAATGAAACAAACAAATAATTTTCTTACGAACAAAAATTTCATTACGATATGAAAATTACAACATAAATATTTATTTATAGGATGGAAAAAGAGTTCTCAATGGTGTTCGAGTAAAAGATGAAATAACTGGCGAAGAATTCGACGTTAAAGCAAAGGCAATAATTAATGCAACTGGTCCCTTCACTGATAGTATTCGCAAAATGGACGACGCAAGTATACCTGAAATTTGTTGTCCATCTTCTGGCGTCCACATTGTCCTACCTGGTTATTACAGGTGATTACATTTTCAATCACAGACAAATTTAAAATTTAAAACGTTCAAAATAATCAAAAATTTATTTATATCACAGCCCGGACCAAATGGGTTTGCTGGATCCAGCAACTAGCGACGGAAGAGTAATTTTCTTCCTACCCTGGCAAAAGCAGACAATTGCAGGAACGACGGACCTCCCCTGTCAAATAACTCATAATCCAAAACCAACAGAGGATGAGATTATGTTTATTCTTCAAGAGGTGAAAAACTACTTAAATCCAGACGTGGAGGTACGTCGCGGTGACGTACTCTCTGCTTGGAGTGGAATTCGGCCTCTTGTTTCTGATCCAAACAAACCCAACACTCAGTCCCTGGCTCGAAATCACATTGTTCACGTGAGTCCAACAAATCTTGTGACGATCGCTGGTGGAAAATGGACCACTTACAGAGCAATGGCCCAAGAAACAATTGACGCAGCAATCAAAGGTTTTTATTTTATTATCAACCAGCAACAATTCTGATTTCTCGCTCATTTTTTAAAATAAAATTAGCAATTTTACTAATTGTAATTTTTTAAAAAGTTTCGTAAAATTTATCGAAAGAATTATATTATATGAAATTGTAATAGAATTCCTCAAAAGAATTTAATATTTTACTTAAGTTTTAATAAAATTACTAGCAAAAATTCCATTTTTTCAAAAATGTTTTAATCATTTTAATCAAAACTAGTTTTGACTAGTTAAAAGTAGAAATAAAGAGCAAAATTAAGTAAAAACCAGTATTGCCTAAACCGTTTTGGTCAATTCTAGTTTTGACTGGTCAAAACTAGTTTTGACGAAACGGCAATATCAAAACTAGTTTTGACTATAGACAATACTAGTATTGACTGATTTCGGGTTTTGATGGTAACATATACAGGGTGTCCAGCTACCTTGAAAACCTTAAAAACCTTGAAAAGTACTTGAAAAGTACTTGAATTTTTTTTGCTCCTTGAAAACCTTGAAAACATCTTGGATTTTATGACAAAACCTTGAAAAATTAAAATTCTTAAAAATGAGATTTATTTCCTTGATGTTTTAAGATGAATTCTCTTCAATATATTTCAATTATCTTTATAAATATAAAAATTCTTCGCCGAAATTCAAAATACAATTATTTTCATAAATAACAATATTCACCACAAGAATTCAATTATTTTCAAAATTAATAAAATTCTTTGCAGAGATTCAATTACTTTCAAAAAATCTTAAAAAATTGTCGTCAACATTTTAATTATCTTTATAAATAAATTGCAAATTTTTTTGATAAAATTCAATTATTTTCAGTAATTTTAATAAAATTCATTATAAAATTCAATTAATTTCATAAATATCAATATTCATCACAAGAATTTAATTATTTTCAAAGTTAATAAAATTCTTTGCAGAAATTCAATTACTTTCAAAAAGTCATAAAAAATTATCGTCAACATTTCAATTATCTTTATAAATGAATAGCAAATTTTTTCAATAAAATTCAATTATTTTCGTAAATAATTATAGTATTCATCACAAGAATTCAAATATTTTCAAAAATTTTAATAAAAATTATGGCAAAATTTCAATTATTTTCAAAAAAATTAGTAGAAATAATTATTTATTAGAAAAATTTGCTAATTCAAAAGCAAAAAGTCAGTCACTAAATCAAATTAGTAATCATTTTTACTAATTCAAATTTAGACAGTAAGTAAAATTTTACTTGAAATACAATATTATACTCAATTTTAAAAACAAATATTTTGCAAATTTGTACCCTAAAAATGGACTTTGAAAAAAATTATTTTGGACCTTGAAAACTTTGAAAAGTCCTTGAATTTTTTTTAAAGAATCGTTGTGTACTCTGATATATATTTAATTAGTTAGTAAAAGTAATTGATTTATAAAAGAATTTTAATTAAAAACAATAAAAAAATTGAATTTTGAAGAAATTACAAATGATTGCAGAAATTCAATTTTTTCAAAAGTAATAAAATTCTTATCACAAAATTCAATTATGTTCAAAATTTACAAAAAAAAATGTCAACAAAATCCCAATTATTATCATTATAAATAAAAAAATTCTTCAAAATTCAATTATTCTCAAAAATTTTAATAAAATTCTTGTCAAAATTTAAATTATTTTCAAAAATTTTCCTCATTTCAAAGATTTTCAATATCTACTATTTTAATAAAATTACCCAAAAGAATTCAATTATTTAAAAATAATTTTAATAGAAATGTACGCAAACATTTAATTATTTTCATAAATAATAAAAATTTCACAGGAATTCAAATATGTATTTACAAACTATTCTAAAAAATTTTCTTAAAATTAGTGCCAATAATTCAATTATTAAAAAATTTGTTAATAAAATTATTTATAAGAATTAAATTATAAGAAACATTCAATTATTCAATAAATAATTTACTTTTGTATTTAAATAATTTAATTCTCGTAGAATTTTCTAATAAAAATTGATTTGAAAATAAATTTTAGTTTAAATTTTAGATAATAATAGAATATGAAAATAATTTTTAAATTTTGAAAAAGTTACAGTAACAATATTGTTATAATATAAAATAATGATTTAATCACTGGGCCATCTTTAATTGTTATAAAACACAAAGATGTCGATTGTTCCGAGTCGAAGACTCGGAATGATCGTTATCTTTATGTTTTATAACAATATTTTTAAAGTTGATTAATTTCAAAAAGGTTTGAATTTGAATGTTTTGAAGAATTTTAATTTCTACGGAAATTGCTTCGCAATGTTCTGTGCGTTTACAAGCGTCGATTCTTCGATCCGAGCCCTCAATTATTGTTAATTTTACAATTAAAGGGAGCGTTCACAAATGATGTCACGCAATTTTTGGAGATTTTCGAACCCCCCCCCCCCCTGTCACGCAATTTTTGCGATTTCACATGAGAAAAATACATTGTGTCACGTTTAGTAAGACCCCCCCCTTCCCCTAAAAGCGTGACATCATTTGTGAACGTTCCCAAAGATATTCGTAAATAAATTTAACAGAACATTTTTTTTCATAAAAATTTTTTCCTTTATTTTCTAAAAATTCAATTTTATTTTTCAATTTAATTTTTTAGTACATAATCTCTTTCTCTCTATCGTTTGGTAATAAAACTGTTTTTTTTAAAGCTTGCGACTTGGAACCAGTGAGACCGTGTCAAACAGACGGAATGCTTTTGGAAGGAGCTCACGGATGGACTCCAACGATGTATATTCGATTGGTACAAGATTTCGGATTAGAATGTGAAGTTGCTGAGCACTTGGCTAAAAGTTATGGAGACCGTGCCTTCGCAGTAGCAAAAATGGCTTCATTGACTGGCAAACGTTGGCCTATTATTGGCAAGAAAATTCATCCAGAGTTCCCTTACATCGACGCCGAGGTTTGTATTTTAATTCCAAAATTTCCTTCATCTTTTTTTGTATTCATTTAATAATTTTAAAGTCAAAATTGATGAATTTGAAACGAAATTCCAGATTCGATACGGATGTCGAGAATATGCAAGAACTGCAATTGACATGATTGCTCGTCGTTTGCGGCTCGCTTTTCTGAACGTGCAAGCAGCTCAGGAAGCTCTTCCTGGAATTATCGACATTATGGCCGAGGAATTACACTGGTCGGCTGATGAGAAAAAGAAGCAGCAAAAGGAAGCTAGCGATTTTCTCGCTAACGAAATGGGTCAAGTCGTCAATCGTGCTTCTCGCGATAAGATTCCTATTAATCTCACCAAAGATGAAATTCAATTATACATTAAGCGTTTCCAGATCATCGACAAGGATCGCAAAGGATATGTTTCCATCAACGATATTAGACGAGGTCTTAAGGTACGAGAAATTTCAAAAAGCCTTGATAATACACTCTTATTTGAAAATAAGTATTTTCTTTTTTGAAAATTAGAAATATTTCGAGAGATGACTTCCTTATGCTGAAGTTCTTAATGATAAAATTTACAGGACTATCGTTGCAGTATTTATAAATCTTTTATACTTACAGATAGAATGTATTTAATGAAATATTATCTCACATAAATTTAGGCACTCGGTATAAAGTTGAACGAAGCTGAAATGCACAACCTACTCAGCGAAATCGATCTCTCATACAATGGCCAAATGGAACTTCAAGATTATCTACAGGTAATATGATATTTCTATAAAGTTAATGAATCGGTCTTTTTTTTGCATTGCGCAGCTCTTTGGAGACAAGGACGTACCGGGTGAGGAACTTCATGAAATCCTCCGCGAAATCGACACAAATATGAACGGTCAAGTCGAGCTGGACGAATATCTTCAGGTCTGTCAATGTTGATAAACGGCTTTAGCGGATTTCTTTTCCTCGATCGTAACGTCCACCTCAAACTGGACTCAAGATCGAATCTTGATCGTATCCTGTTAATCCTTTTCAGTTTACACTGTGCACTAATTTCTCCGAGTTCGTCTCGAAAATTTATATGATCGTCTTACTAAGCCACAGACTATTTTTCAAATATTTTTATTCATTTTTGAATAGAAAAACTTTGCGCTGTAAGAAGCATGCGCTTAACAATGTTTGTAAATAGTCAATAATTTCGAAAAATTTCGAGTTTCGATTGCTCAACAAATTTTCAGAATTTTGTTTTTGGAGAATTTTAATCAAAATTTCATTCAGTATTGAAATTATTAAATTGCGAAGCTCTTAATTTTCACTATAACTCGGAAATTCTTTTATGGTTTCGAATTTATATTTGCATAAAAAAATTTCTAAAATACGCAATTTTGCTTAGCTTTTATCACTTCTTCTACTTCTGGAAAGAAATGTCAGGTTTCGCTTTAATACGAAGCATATTATATTCTTTTTTCTGAAAATTATTTCAATTAATTCAATTTTCAATTGAATGGGAAATGATAAATTTGACGATTTGGCATGCTTTTTTTTAATTTCATGTTGTCTATTTCGCATGTTTTGTAATGTTTTAGATTTTATGATTTCAAAGACTAGATTTAATGCTTAAAACGTAGTCAAATTAGACACAAGGAAGATCTATTGATGATTTAGTATTTCGTTTTATTTTTAATTTTTTGTTCATAGAGTTTGCTATGAACTTAAATTATTAGTTGTCATTTTTCTGAAAAAAGAAATTAATTACTAAACTAAATAACAATGTTTGAGGATTTTTAGATTAATGTAAATTGCACGAGTATTGGAGAAATTGTTCAAATGAGTTTTAATTAAATCTTCGTTTTTATTCAGATGATGTCTGCAATCAAGTCGGGACACGTTGCATATTCGAGATTTGCGAGAATGGCAGAGATGGAGGAGGCACAACACGAGAAAGATGCTCTCAAGAAGAAGATCAGCGTGGAGAGATCTGGAGGTGGCCTTTAAAGAGTCACCACAAGAAACTAATCGTTCGCACATCCTTTTAGTATCATAATAAACTCTCAGTAAATATGTATTATTCACTCACACTCTCTATCACTTCTTTCTTCTGAATTCTTTCTCATTCACTGCACATTATTTATTTTTAGAATTCTAAGTCTATGAATTTTCATCTCTTTGTCGAGCGGTTCTTATATATTTACAAACATATAGCAAAAAAAACTATACCAAATGCGTCACTGATGAAAATACAAATACTGTCAAAAATTAATTATTTAAATTTAATAATTAGTACTACGATTGACTGTTTTGTTTAAAATAATTGTATATTAAATTTATAATTTTCAAAAATAGTTTATTTGTATTTGAAATTGGTGCATCATAGAATTTTATTGAAAATTACGCTTTACAAACCAAAAGCAAAAGTATTATAAGCTTTAAGATTAAATGAGAAATATTTTTTTGATTACATGCATAAGACTGCAAAACAGTAAAACACTCGATCAACATTTTTAGAGAATTGTGCATTATAAAGACATATTGTTATTATATCGTTTATTTTAGAGAAAGCTTTTCGAAAATCTTTTACAATTTATTGATAGGCATGAATATTTAGGAAAATTTACTCAATATTGTAAAGTTCAATATGTATATAAATTTATTATTTTTTAATAATAACAATAAGTTATATCCGTCATATTGTGAGATCGCACGTGCCTGTATATTTTTTTCTGTAATTTATTTTGCCCGTTAATCTATTTTTGTCATCACTTCATACATTCTCATCTCATACATGAATATATGATCAATATTTAGCCCTATTGCTATAATAAAAATTCATACTGTTCGAACGACAATTTTTTGATTCGCTGGACGACAAGCAATAATTACGAAATATACGATATAAAAACTCTCCTAATTCAATTTGGCATTAATTCTTATATCCCTTTCTGTAAACATTGTCTAATTGTCTTTTATTTAAAAATTTTTAATTGTAAAGTATAGGGAATATGTATAAAGTTGTTCATAACTTAAAAATTGTTCTGTGCAAATAAAGTGCAAGGGGTGTTCCATGTGTTGAACAACCTTCTAAATTGAATAGAATAGTCGAGGGTTGGTTGATGTGGGAGCTGAAAAAGGCCAGGTGGTTATGGTCGAGGGGCCAAAAATAAACGTTTCTGTTTGAAGATTGTGGTCTTTCACTCTGCTCAAGGTTGCAGGCAAAATTCAGTTTTATTAATTTTTTAAATATAATTTTCACCCTTGCCATTTTTTATTTAATTTAAAAACGAAAAATTTCTAATTTATAAAAAAAAATAAATACTTTGTAATAATAATTGTAAAGAAGAAGGGTAATAATAAATTCAGGTGACTGTTATCACGTGGAAAGGTGGTGGTTTGCTAGTTCAAAGGGGCGTTGCGCGGATTGCGCGCGTCATGGGTCGCACCCAACAAACATCACAACAAAAAAGGGAAAAGCCTTACTGCCTTAGCCACCATTATTACCAAAACTTAAACAAACCAACAACTATTGTTTTAAAATTTGACCCTTGCGTATGAGGCATCAATTTCGATAAAAGTAAATAATTTTCCAAAATACACTGTTTCTATATTATTAAATAAATTTTGATCAATTGATTTACAAAAATTGTAACAATACTCTATACATATGTATATATGCATATTACATATACGACATATAAATACATATATACACACATGTATATATACATATATACATGATGGATTAATTACTGTTAGTAATATCCATGTATAGTAGTACACATGTACATAGGCATACATAAGTAGGTAATAGATATGTTAATTGACCCTCCTTTTTATATATTACATTTTTCATAAAGATTCCTAAAAATCAACTAATAAGAATTTTCCATTGTTTGCACATTTTAAATTTCTACTCCACGATTCGAATTGAAGAAAGTGAAAAAAAAGTTGTAATTGATGGAAAATAAGAAATTAGAGGATGATCTAGATCAAAGAAAATAATATTGAAAAATTGGGTGAAAATTGTGGTAGGGATTATTATTACATGTTATAGAGAGAAGGAAGAAGGGTGGGCGTCGTGTGGACCCTGATACGCCCCTGCTTTCGAAGGGGCCACCAATCAGGGGGCGCATCGGTTCTAACGCCAAACTCTGCGACACCGCACGCCCCACTTTCCAGTTTCCAGCGGGCACGTTTTTAACGAGAGACGCGACAAGTCGCGTGTACATCGAAAATTATTACTGAACCGAATCCCACATCTTGTGCTTGTGAAACGCCCGTGAAAACGCGAATCCGCCTTCGAATTCATTCCAAAAGGCTTGCTTCAAGATGCAAGCGTCACTTACACAGCCCGAATAGGCGCCAACTTCGAATTAGCTTTAAGCCTCGCCCCCTTCAATAGAAACATGTTTTACATCTAAATTTCATATTTTCTGTGTATGGTATTTACATACTCGAGATAAATTAAAATCTAGTATCGATTCCAAGTGAATTTAGATAGAGTGCATCTGTGATTTGTTTAGATTGAGCTCTTAGTGCGCTGGCGCCAGGAGGTGCCGAATGACAATCTACAGATACTAAACTTGAAATTTTGCTTGAACGCGCGGGAACGATGTTAAAATCTGGGTATATGTCTGCTTTATGACCTGAAATTAAACATTTGGTTGGAAAAACTTTTGGATTTCTTTGGAGCGAGTGCATATAGAAGACGTCTACATAGCGACGTCACGCCAGGATGGCAACAGCCAAACTGGAACCCAAGGTAAAGGCCGTTTTCATTACTAGGAAGTTATAAACAAGTTTTTATATTGTTAGTAGATGAATTTGTTCGTAAAGTGTTTTCTTTTGTTAATTTGCTGAGTTTTGTTGGGTGTTTCTTGTTTCGTTCGAACCTAACCTAAAAATATACAACTGCTGCTGTGTGTCGAAATTCTGACAATTCAGGCCAGTTGGGCACAAATTTTACTTTCATGCAGCATAAAGTGCAATAATATGTGTACGAGAGTTTGTAATTCTAAACTTTTTCAACTTTTGTTCATTAACAGTGTCTGGTATTTAAATAAATTTTCAGATTTCAGAAAAATAATTTATTTTTTCGAGTCTGGTAGTTTTTTCTTTCTGATTTTCTTCATAGAAAAATAGGTGTATTTCGAATGGATAGTATTGTGAATGTTAGGTCTAGTGAATTTTAAAGACCAGAAACATGCTTCTCGATGATTTAGAGTTTTCGAATTGGGGAATAATGCATTCAGAATTTTTCGGCTTGTAAAATAATTATTGAGACAGAAGCAGTTGTTTCAGCTGATGATGTTAAGGGTAATTTAGGCGGGAGGTGGACAATTGAAAGAGCACGTGTTGGCAAGAGTTAGGTGGAGTCCGATGTGCGAAGTGGGTGGAGGCTGGATCGCAAGGCCTTCCACGTTATCACGAGCCAGGGCTTTTGGTGCGCGAGTGAGGCAGGCCGAGCTAAACGGGACGATGGTTGAGTGGGCGGGTGCGAGGTGAGTGTGTCCTCGCCTGCAGTTCGATATTGTACAAGTGTGCGAGTTTGAGCTTTCTCTCTTGTTCCATCCTTTTTTAATGTGTTGGATTCTGTCTCGCTCTTTCCCTTACTGTTATCTCATTTTCCTTCTTGGTTTAGTTTCACTTCTCCATTTGGCTCTATTTGTGTTTCTCCCAGATTCAGCCTCTTTCTCTTACGAGTGAAAAGTTGACGTTTCTCTTTGTTGGTAGAGGGTTTTCAGAAATGCTTGGAGCGTTCACGACCAAGTTGATTTTTCAGGCGGGTGGGGCAGTATTGACAGGGGCGTATGGAGGCGGTCCTCCCTCGGGTCCTCTAGGAGGGCCCTGCTTCCCTTCTTTGTTTCTTAAGGAGATTAGATGCATAACGCAACCCACGTGTTTCTAAAATTTCTAGACTATCTCTAGATTGTTGACAAAATTATGCCACTTGTAATTTGTACAGATCCTTTCGAAAATTATATTAATTGAGAAATTAAAAAGCTGTACTTTTTGCTTGAATGCAATGCCAATTCTTAAAATCTTTGCGAGTCACGAGATTCTACTTGAGTTACCGAATTCTCAAACAGTGTTTACTCTGTACTATTTTTGGCTTGGATATAATTCTGTATTCAGTTGCTTGAACTTTAGATTCAGAACGATTTAATTTTAAAAAATGTTTCTGTTCATTATGCTTATTCGTTTATTCTGTCAAAAAATTCTTTTCTGGTTATATCCTTTTTTATGGAAATACAATATTGCATTTCTTTAATGTTGTACAGTAAGTTGTTCATATTGTATTTTATAAATGTATGGAAATATATAAATTTGTATTTCTTGTATTAATGAGCGGATTATATTGAATCGTGTATTTTTACAGGTGGAATTCTGACACTCAGAAATTTGCTACAAGATTTGCATTTCTTATTTTCTTGGCTTGATAAACGAAAGTTATAGAAGAACTTCCGTTGTTTCGGTTTTTCTGACATTTCAAAAATGAACGGCAGTCTTGAAGCCACTGTGAAAGTCGATCAGGTGATTAAATTCGCCATTACGAATTATTATGCTATACGTATAATTTAATTTTATTAAAAATATCTTGTTCAATTCAAGTACCTATTGCAGTCTTGACATTTTTTCGTTTTATTGTTCAAACAAATTTATTGAGAAAATTAAAAGTACTATTTTTATTGCTTTAATAATTTTATTTTTTATTCCATATTTAAATAAATTTATATTTACATTTCTTTGATTTTTTAGGATGAACTTGATGAGCAACAACACGACCCTCTTCAATTACAAACTCAACAACAAGATGTGGCAGAACAACATTTAGACCAAACTCAACAAACTGCTCAGCCACAAATTCGTTTTTTAAGTGCAAATGTTTTACAACAATTGCAACAGCAACAACAACAACAGCAGCAGCAACAAGATGTTCAGCAACAAGCACAGCAACAGCCACAAGTTATCACACTGCAACAGTTGCAAAATTTTGTGCCTTTACAAACTCAACAACAACAGCATGAACAGCAGAGAGCCCAAACTATTTCAGTTCAAGCCTTACCACAACAATTTTTACAAGTACTGTTTCATTTTTATACCTATGTATTTTCAAAACAAAGACTATTTCTAAGTGTTTACTGTGTCTCGATTTCTGACAAAATAATTTTCAATTTAGGATTTTAAATTTTCTTTACAGAATGCTCAGTTGGTTAGTAACCAAGCTCAAGCACTTCAGCAGCAACAGCAGGCACAGCAACAAGTTCAACAGCAAAATCAACAGCAGCAACCACAGCAACAGCAGCAGCTGAGTTATAGTGTAATTCCTCAAATGCAAACAGTGAATATCGATGGACAGGAAGCCTTATTTATTCCTCATTCGGCAATGTCGGGTGTCAGTGCTCATCACCAAACACAACCGACTATGCAGTTCACGACTGCTGGTGGACAGCAAGTCCAGCTAGCGAATCAACAAGTTCAGCTGGCAAACGGACAAACTATCATTACACCTCAACCAGTCAGTCTTCTGAGGGCACCAAATGTGTTTCCTACGTCGATCATTCAGAATATTGGTGGTCAAACTGTTCAATTACCTACAGGTAAAATATTTACGAAATTTTGTTTTCAATTAAACAAAAACTTAATACATAAAAACATCATATCATTCTTTTGCTTCTCTGGACTTTTGTTTTCTATTTAATATCATTTTATTTATTTTTGATTTTTTTATATCAAAATGAAAAAGGTTTGGGTTGCATGGTGGGAAAAAATTTCCGCCGGCGCGGCACTTAACTTTTCTTGTAGATCTTTTCACGCACTAACTTCTGCCTTCTTCGTTTGCTATGACAAACGGACAGATCCCAAGGCTAGCTTGGATGTTTTAGGACAAAGCGTTCAAGTGAGACCGCTTCAGTTCCCGATGCAGCAACTCCAACAAACTGTGCCCGTGCAAGTACCAGTCACTGCCAGCAATGGACAAACAGTTTACCAAACTGTACATTTTCCAGTACAAGCTCTTTCTAGTGTTTTCAATATGCCAACAACGCAAATGATACCTCAAATCACACAGGTATGTAATTAAAAAATATATTTTAAAAATTGGCACCGCTGAAAAATTGGTGAAAGTAGAATTAATATTTTTTTCGCTTTCCAGCAACTTCCTCAGGTAGCACAAATAATAACACCCAATGGTCAACTTCAACAGGTACAAATAGCTAATCTCTCGCAGCTGCAGAGTTTGCAGGTAAATTCTTAAGATTCTTGTAGTGAATCTTCTCTATTGTTCAAAAACAATAGAGTTCCCTTAAGAGGAATACAATTAAATATTTTCTACCTTTAGGGTCAGCAAGTGGCTCAACAAGTTGCTCAGCAAGTTGCCCAGCAAGCTCAACAGCAAGTTGTTCAGCAAGTTGCACAACAAAGTCAGCAACAAGTTGTTCAAACCGTACAACAGCAGCAGCAAGTTGCTCAAGCTCAAGCTCAAGCTCAGCAACAACAAGTTCAGCAAGTTGTTCAACAAGTTATTCAACAGCAGCAGCAACAAGTTCAGCAGCAAGTTCAACAAGCTCAGCAAGCTTCAGTTTCTACTCCGGCCTCAACTGTCTCCACGTGGACTACAAGTGTCAGTGCCCCAAATAATGTTCAGGTATATTTTCCAGTTTTTTAATAATATATTTAGAGAGATATCTTAATTTAATTTCGGTTCATTTGAATATTCTGATTTTTGAACAGTTTTTCAATTCTAGTCTTGTTTTCAGGTTGTTGGGCTTGGTCAACTAGGTAGATCAGTTGGTAATAGTACAAATGTACTAACAACAAAAGATGGACAAAAAATAGAGGTACAAACTCTTTCTACAATAACGAGAGCGCCTGAATCTGCGGATGGCGACATTAAACTTACAAATATAGATGCTAATCAATTAGCAAACGGTCAAGTTATACATATTCCTGCCACACAAACAAATCAACCTACAATGCAGCCAATCACATTGACAGGTAATTTAAGTAATAAATGTATTTTATTATTACGTTATTATTAATAATCGTTTATTTTTAATATTTTCTTCAACTAAATTGTTTTTTGTTTGTTTAGGAGCACAAGGTCAACAACTGACTTTAATTCCCGCTTCTGCATTGACGAGCTTGGCTCAACAAGGAAGCATGATGAGAGGTGTGAACGTCGGCGGTGGTGTGATGCAAATTCAACCAACTGCGGGCATAAATACAAGTGGCTTTTTACAATCAATTCCTGTACAGAATATTCCCGGATTAGGAAATGTTCAAGTAATACCAGCGAGTGCCCTTCAACCAACAACAGTTCAAACTTTACCCACTGTCTCCGCATCTCCCATTGTCGCAACACATTTAGATTCAACCGATCCAACGAAATGGCAAATTCTCCAAACGATACAATCAAACGGAACAATCTCCACGCCGGCGACTGCGTCCCATCAGCATCAAGTAAACAATACCACGAATGTTAGTGGGGAAACAGACACTAGTAAACAACACCGAAGAAGAGTAGCATGCACATGTCCAAATTGTGGTGATGGAGATAGGTACATACATCTTAAAAGTTTGACATAATAAAGAATTTATGTAAATGAAAGACTTGATAACTAGTTATTGAATTATTAAAGATTTTATACAGTATTATTTGTTATTTTTCTTTTTTAGAAATAGAGACATGACCCGAAAACGTCAACATGTGTGCCATATAGCTGGATGTAATAAAGTTTACGGAAAAACAAGTCATTTGCGAGCGCATTTAAGATGGCACACTGGTGAAAGGCCTTTTGTTTGCAGTTGGATATTTTGCGGGAAAAAATTCACGAGGTCTGATGAATTGCAGCGTCATCGCAGAACGCACACTGGAGAGAAAAGATTCCAGTGTCCGGAGTGTACAAAGAAATTCATGCGTTCTGATCATCTCACGAAGCACATTAAAACTCATACAAAAATTCGAAGCACTGTAAGTTCTTCTCGATAAAAATAATAATTCTTGTTTTTATTTATCCAAATGTACTTGAATTAAGATAAACATTTAATTTCAAGTATTTTTAAATGCTTTTATGGACTGCAGTTGTAGATATAACATTTGTTCTAGGAGGCCGCTACCTCAACTCAGGAAGGATCTTCGGATAGTCAATCTTCAAATGAAGAAAAAATTATGATTTCTCTTCATAAAGAGCCCGAACATGGAGACATAGTTATTGCTGAGCCTATAGATACCTTAGATACGCAGTCGACGAATGAATGAAAAAAATATTGGAATTTTCATTTTACAAATTTATCCTCCTTGCCCGTGGAGAATAATTTTCTAATCGACTGATAATAGAAAATAAGGCCAGACATTTCAATACACAAGGTGATTATGTTTCTTCACAATAAAATTAAAACAGTATTTCAAATTCAATACTGTATTGCCACTCGAGATTTCTATATTTTGCATGAAAAACTCGTAATCACCTTGTAAATGTACACACATTAATACATATGTAATTTACATAAGCTTGACAATTTTTTACTTTTTTTCAACAAAAATTGATTTCGACCATATCTTTTTCATAGAAAAAAATCTATATAATTTTACGTTATGTAGTAATTCGCTTAAAACAATTTTTCGAAGCCATGTCGTAAATATCAGTAGAAAAATACGATACTTGTAAGATGTATTTTGTAAAAAAATTCTATGCAAAGAACGTTTACAGGGAATGTCTATGCTATTTGATATGTAGTAGGAAAAAAAAGATATATTTTTGTAATAACGGTGTGTATAAATTTGTATATAGTGTAAATGAATGTAAAGAAATTTTACACTTTTCAATGGTTTTCAACAGTGCGATAAGTTTACAGTTTTTTCACCAGAAAATATTTACATACTAAGTAGATTCAGTGTAATAATTTTGACGCAGTGCTATACGATTATATTCCAACAAATTATGTAATGAGATACTTGTTAAATGAAATAATATATTGTTATAAAATAAAAATATATTAACTCAATATTTATGCGAGTGTTATAATTTATTATTCTAAAGGGGGAAATGGGTAAATTTTGAAAAGAATCGAGTTTCTTATTGGAAAAAAATTTTATATAATAGATATGTCAGTAATTCTAAGTAATAAACAATGGAATAATTTAAATTTTACACTTATAGTAATAAATTGTTCACAAGTTTTCATTGTGGTAAACGAAGTTGGTGTGGAAGTTTAAGTTGTCGCATGTACTAACGGCGATTTATTTTTCACTTCGGGACAACTTCGAGTTATTAATTCACAGTCTTCGAAATACGAATTTTTATGCTATATGCTTAAGATCTTGTGTATTTTCCCCAAATGTGAAGCATGAAAACTGATGCAATGAAGAGCAGAGACATGACGAGAACTGGAACTGGGCCTCTGTTAAAAATACGAAGAAAAGAAATTAATATTAAGTTTAATCACAATTATAATTGAATTTCAATGAGCTGAGTTTACGTTCGAATGAAATATTTTTTTTTGCATTTTAATGCTTATAAAAATTACTAGTCTAAAATGGAAAATGTAATTGAACAATTAAACATTAATTTTCTAATTGTAATTAACATTTACATACGTAGATTAATGTTTTAATTACAAAAGGCAATATTTTATTTTAATAATATTTAAATTAAAAGAACCAGTAGAAATACCGTTCATTTGAACGTTCGAAACTTTAGGAACATGAGTTTACTACTTACACTTTGATTCCGGGAGAGTCATCAGTATAAAACCTCCACATTCCTCCGGAGTTTGTTCCAGTATTCCTATTCCTGGCTGAAGTTGCTGGAGCAGTTTTTCGTTGTCTCACGGTACCTCCACCTCCAGCACGAGGTGCCACTGCTTTACTTGGTGAACGGCCAGCCGCTCCCACTGACGTTGAACTTGGTGCAGCAGGCTGTTAATAAACAAACACCTCATCAGTTTTCAAAGAAATGTCAAAAAGAAAATTTTGAAAGTAACTGCACTTAAAAAATTAATATTTAAATTTCAAAGTTTGGCACCTAAATCAGACAAATATTTCTAAGACATTTATTTCTCGACATTTAGACACTACATCCATAGTGAACATATTGTCAGACCCTATCAAATTAAAACTACAAATTTATAAATATGCTGAGGAATAATAAATAAAAAATTCAATCTGTTTATTTTTAAATTTACAGGTTAGAAAAGATTATTCAAAATTCTCTAGGAGAATTATTAATTTCAATCTAAAACAACATGTAAGAAAATATCAACAGTTACTTACCATTGTAAACTTATGTTACTTTTTCTCCAAGTATTGAACAGATATAAAAATCCAGGTAAACTAAACACAAAATTCAATTGTTAATGATAGATAAACTAATTGTAAATTAAGATTTCGTTTTTATTTAATTTAATTTTTCTTTAAGAGCGAGATTACTTACTTGCAGGAGAATGTATTTCGACTAACTGACGAGACGCTGATTTTCAATCTCTTTACACGTCTGAAACTCCGAAAATGTAATACTTCTGTGTAATGCTACGTGTCTGAAATACTCCAGAATACAACCGCATCCACGTGGTGCGCTGCTGTTGACACGTCACCGTCATTAACAATGGAACATTGTGAAAGGAAAATAGAAATTATTTTATTTCCAATGTGTTTTCAATTCGATCTCCTAGAGGGACCATTTTGAATTTCCCACCTGTTTTCTTTAATTGCATTTAGTTGCATTTAATTTCGTAGTAAAATAAAACACAACACTACAAAAATATATTTTTTTTAACTATAAATTAAATATTTACTAAAATACAGTGTAATTAAATTTCGTCCCAACTCCCGGTGAAACCTAACCTAAGAATGCATATATATATTATTGATGTCAATAAACTTTTTATTAGTATGATTAAATATTATTATCATCATTGATAAAAATGACAAAAATAATAATAAGAATGCACGTAAACATTATTTCTGTTAAGTTAGACCAAGTAGTGCCTTATAATTTATTAATGTATTTTTCCGCAATATTGCTGTCTATAGAAAAACAAGGAAAGCAAATATTATCTGTTAAAGTTCATATGTAGTGAATTAGTGATTAACTTTATGCATATTATGTCGTTGATTATAATTTGAGTGGGAAGGAAAATGAATATAACAGTAGTTAGTAACTGACTTTGGTGAGTTAAAAAACGTTTTTATCAAATACGTTCTCGTAGAAAGTGAAAAATTATTGATATATTTAAAGTGCAGGGAATGTTTTTATAATGTCTAATGTACCAGCTGTTGACTTAAAATTGTTGACAAATGAGCAAAAAGAATATGCTGCCATTGTTTTGAATGAGACAATTGAAAATCGTGATAAAAAAATTGAAGAAATAAGAGAGTGGCTTTTAAACAATAAAGAACTCTGTGCACGCACAGGTATTCAAATTTTATAATTCGATTGTTAAAATTTAAAGTTTTATTTCTTACGATTTATATATATAGTTAAATTATCTAGTGTTTGTAATTTGTATTTTTTAATACGGACAATTCAAATACTTTTAAGTATAAATACTATAAAATTATTTAGTTCTGCAATATTATAATTTGTATAATTAATTATAATAATGTTATCACTTTTTAATTATACTATACAGTTGAATATATTTTTGGTATTTTCAGATGACAATTTTATTTTAATTTTCTTAAGAGGTTGCAAATTTAAAGTCGAAAAAGTAAAATTGAAATTGCGAAATTTTCATCATCAAAGAGCAGTTATGACAGAATGGTTTTCTAATAGAAATCCAATCTTACCAGAGTTGACTGAATTGTTCGATTTAGGGTAAGAATTACAATTTTAATTTTTAGTTTAAATTTATTACTTTGTTATAAAAGAAATTTAGTAAAAATCATTTTCATTTTCCAGGGTTTTCTTGCCATTAAGAAAATTGGACGACGAAGGCAGACTGGTTGTAATTATAAAAGCTTCCGTTCACGATCCTCGCAAACATAAATTTTCAGATGTTATTAAAGTAAGAATAATTATTTAGCGGATTTAAAATTTCATAAATTTTTTATTTATTTCATAAATTCAATTATTTTTATTTGTTTCAGGCTGGTATGATGATTTTAGATGTGGCAACGAGAGACGATGTTTCAGTTTCTTTGCACGGAATTGCTGCGATTCTAGATTTGAAATCAGTGACTCTGAGTCATGCCTTACAACTAACTCCAAATGTAATAAAACAACTGGTTCACTCTTGGCAAAGTTGTTATCCATTTAGAATAGGCTATTTGTATTTCATTAATGCACCAATTTACGTAAATGTCGTGCTCAATGTTTTTAAAAGCTTTATGAATGAAAAATTGCGAAAGAGAATTCATATTCATCGAAAGGGTATTGCGGAAAAAATTTCACCAAATATTCTCCCCATTGAATATGGTGGCAATGAAGGCAGCATTTCAAATTTAAAAGGCAAGAATTAAGAATCTATTTAAAATCTGTATTTTAGATACGTAAATAACTTTTTTTCCACGCAGATCATTGGAAAAAAGTGGCAGAAGAAAACGCGGACTGGTTTTCTGAGAACGAAAAATATAAATTACTGATATGATTGAAACTAAGGTAAGTTTGTAATTATCTAGACACTTAATGAATAGAGGCTTGTAATTATCATAATTCAAATAAGAAACGAAAGATTCCTTTTGTCGTCTTTATTATTCTATACTTGTAATCTTGCATTAATGCATCATTACAGATTTAAAATTTAAATCATATTTTTTATTAAATGAACCCTTGACTTTTATATGAGATAAAGTACTTGAAATTATGCAGATATAATATATAAATTATTTGCATAATTTCAACAATAATCTTTTGTAATATATTTCTTGCAGATTGTTAATCATGTTTGAGGATTAAAGGAAAACTATATAGTTAGATGAATAATACTATATACGCATTTTATTGATATATTTAATTATTATATAATTACATGAATGTGTATTTTAAATGCATATATATATTTATATTAAAGAAGGAATTAAAAATATATTCATATATTTTTAAAAATGTTGTTTTATATTTATAATTAATACAAGTTAAATAATACATAGGTACACTTAAGTCATGGGCAAGTAGAACCAGCTAATAGCTAAAAATTCATTTTTTAAAACTCTAATTACATACCCCTAACTTTCCGGGACCAATTTACCCGAGGTACGCTCGTATGAATTATTTTTCACTTGTAATTAACATTTACAAGATAAATTTAATAAATTCGCAATCAATTCGGTCCTCTGTTTTTATTTAAAACACTCAGACTTTCTCAAGACGTAAATATTTTTCAATTCAACAATACTTAATAAATAGAACTGCGCCTGTTTTAATATAAAAAAATAGCAAAAACTAAGTAATGCTGAAGAAATTTGTAATTCTCTAAAAAAATTGAGTTTCATTCATTGAGCATTTATTTATGTATATAAGTTAGAGATATTGAAATAATATAAATAAAATGGCTTTCATCGAAATATAAGTTCAAATTTAAAATTATATCATTCTAAAATTGAGAGAAAGAATTCAGGAACATTTTGAACATGAATTCAAATACATTTTTATTTACAGAAATTTTATTCCCTATAAGTTAAAAACGTATATTTACAAAATTAATTGTCACGTTACTTCAATAAAGTAAAATATTATTAAACTTTCACACTCTGAAATTCTTTCCTCTTGACTTTTCTGCAACGCTTTAAATGCTTAATTTTTAAATAAATAAAGTTTATCGAAAGCTCTCAAAAATTTCTTTTCAAAAATAAAGCTATATAAATAAAAATTTTTGTTTAAAAAAGTATATTATATATTTTTTTTTGAATTTTTTATCGTTTTCAGGAAACATTTCAAATTTTTCTATAAAATTCACTAAAACATTTGTATAAATCAAATTATGCAAAGCGCATAATTGGAATAATTAAAAAAAATCATTTCTTTTAATAAGCGTCCCAAGATAAATTTAGGCCCTAAAGTCCTGATTTTTTGCTTCTCGCAAATTAACAGTAACTTTCTAACAAATATAATTTAGAATACGAGAACACGTAAGGACTACACACTCATTCACATGCACACATTTTTAACAAACACGCGAGAACTTTATACCCTAAGAAACTCGCAGATTTCTTGGATAACATCTCCAAGATGATGAGAATTACCGATCCTAAGCCATGAAAATAATTTTTTTTTAATATTCTTCTTTTAAAAACAAGTAAATTAACAATCGGTCGGGAAAAAATTTCTTGCTGAATTCTTGATCGGTTCAAATAATATTAACTTTTTTGAATTATTATAGGCAACAAACATTTTACTGAATAAATCGAGAATATTGATGAAGTCATCAAAAAAAGTTTTGTTGCACAAATATAATATAAAAGTAACATATTATTCTTTTTTTCCTCTCTACTTTTTTCGAGTTTTGACTTGAAAACTTTTTTCTCCCTCATCCTATCATTTTTACAATTCTTAATTTTCTTCTTATAAAAATATTCTTTTCTTGAGAATTTTAGTCATTTTTACAAAAAAAAAATCTTTACAAAATTTGTATGACCTTTTCTTCCTCATGCTTTGAAATTTAATCTTTGAGACTATAATTTTGAGATGACTGGAAATTATATATACAATCTTGTCAAAAATATAATTATATAATTCATGAGTCATCTGTTTAAAAGTTTGGCGAATTGTTGAAAATTTCGAACTTTGAGTTTTATTTTATAAAAGATTCAAAGTTGAATTAATCTTTTGTGCCTTTAAAAGAAGTTAATTTTTAACTTAAAATCGATTTGTATTTTTTTTTATTAACATCCATCCTTGCAAGTCTTCTTGTGAATTCGATATAATGTACAAGAAGGATGTCTTCTTTTAAACCTCCTGAAGAGGATCCGCAGCCTTATCCGCGTTTAAATTTGAGAACAAGCATGCTTATCGTGAGGAACACGACGATCCATATTATAGTGGAAATGAAGCCTTTGTAGACATCAGGTTCTCCAATGGTCCATCCACGAGTGAGCATTGATCGAAGTGACGTCGTAGCCATTGTCAGAGGTAATCCTTGCGAAATGTATCGCAAAATAGTTGGCATTCCCTCTACTGGCCAAATGACTCCTGATAATTGAAGAAAAAGAATTAATTTTATATGTATAATTTAAATAGAAAAAATATTTTTCTTTACTAATCTAGATAATTATTAAAAATTAATTAATTACTGAAAATAAATTGTCAGTTTAATAAGAATATAAAAAATACAAACCACTAAGAAGAAGAGTTGGATAGAAACTGCCTAAAGCTAATTGAATGGCGTTTCTTTCGAGTTCGCAAATCGCTGAGATCACAAAACCTGAAAATAATTTTTTTTTTTAAATAAGGCAAAATTCTTGAATAATTTCTGATAATATTAAATACTTTTTTATATGTAGTATTTAATATTATCGCAAAATTATTCAACTTTTTTAACTTAATGTAAATTTGTCAGACAAAAACTACCTTTTTTTAAATAAAATTAATTGAATTGTGTTTTTCCGCAATATGTATTTTTTTAAGAATTTTAGTTTAAAATGAATTTTCAAAAATTTCACTTTTTCGAGTAATTTTTTTATCTCTTACCAAAGCACATGCCGCACAATCCTTGAAGAATTGTAAGGACGATAACAAAACCTATTTCACCCTTGCACTCGACTCCGAAAACGATGATCATGAAAATAAGAACCAAAGCTGTTTGACCACACATGACAACAAATTGCGTGACTACGTGAGAAAATAGAATTTCTCCTGGAGACACGCCAGCTACCCAACTTCTGTCCAAAAGACCCTCCATTCTTTCGATGATAAGAGCTGAGGACGTTAAGGCGACAGCCAAAAAGAAGACGATTCTGAAAACAAAAAAGACAATTATTATTATAAATAATAAATAGAAAAAAAATAATAAACAAAAATTTTAGAAGATTTAGAAATTGTAACAAATAAAGATTAACAATTAGGATCCTTACGTTAAAATAACACCCGGAGCTACGAAATCTGTAAAACTGGGTTCGTTAGTTCCATAAATCGGATCTTTAAATTGAATGGGAACATCGGCCAATTTCGGATTCTGTTGGCAAGTTGACAGCAGGTCCTTAGCAAAGTCACGATACGAATATTGGAGATTTCTCGCTAACATCAATCCAATTTGCTGATCTGAAGTAAAAAACAAAAAAATTCGTTTCAATCACAAATTCAACTTTTATTTTCCAACTTAATTATTTTTTTTTCTTTCAACATACTGGACATGTCAAGCCAAACTCGAATTTCGCTTTGATCTAAAGTTTCAGCGTCCGAGTCTTTGCCTAGAGCCATTCGAGCAACCAGTGCGTCGGTGAAATTTTCCGTAAAGTAAAGAGCCCCCCAAGCGTTACCTCGACGAACAGCTTCCATTGCCACTTTCGGGTCAGGATAATATTCCTAAAATTTCAAACAGAAAGGAAATTTCTTTTTAGTATTCGCAATTAATTCAAATATATTTAAATGGTATTTTTTTAGAAAATAAAAACTCACTTTCACCATCGTTTCGTTATCGAGAAATTTTAAATATCGACAGCTAAGTTGTGTAAAATTACAGCCTTCTGAAACTGGACAACTCATGTTTTCATAAAACATCTCGTGATTAACTATGGCTAACTTGAGACCTGTGGGATCTCTTCCGATTGCCAGGCAAAAAAGTATGACTTGCATTACTGGCAGAGCAAAAATAAATAGCATCACTCTGGAATTATAATTTACATAAATTTAGTTTATTGTTTGCTTATGACATTTTTATTATTATTAAATTCAATTTGCTTATTTAAACATAATATTTCTGTCAATTTTATAATTTAAGACGAAATTTTGTGTCAAATAAATAATTAAATAATTAAATTTTTTAGTAAATTCAGAATTTTAATGATTAAATCTGTTTTTAATGTCAGTATAAAAAATATCGAAAATATCGAAAATATTCAGAAATTCTGTATATAAATAAAAAATACCTACCCAACATTTCTCCACATACGTAGAAAGTTTTTCTGTAAAAGGGCTCTGATCTTTCCTGTAGTTGTAAGCTTAAAGCAATCAGAAAAATCGCAATCCTCACACTCCACTGTCGAGTCTCCTTTGACTCCTGGTAGGGGTTTTCCATTTAACTAATTAAGCAGAAACTTCATTTTACATTACATTTTTTAAAGATGTTCCATTTATGTAATTGCAAAAATGAAAATTGACAAAAAGTACAAGTTTTACTAAATTTAAATTTAGTAAAATTTAAAATAAAAATAAAATAACATTGAAAAAATGTGGTGGAAAATTTCGAAATTTTGTACTTACGTCATAATGACTTCCTACTCCATTGGTTATATCGTGAATGAGAATTTCTTTACTCTGATGAAAGTTGAGGCCAACAACTCCAGACTCCTCCGTCACGTAGACTGGTTCGTCTTTTTTGCCCCAGTTTAAGGAAGCCTGTTGATAAACGAGATGAAAAGTTGATTAATACAATTTTAATAGTAAATCTAAAAATCTAAATCTAAATATTTTCTTGAAAAGAATTAATTTTGTCGTCTTACATTTTAAATTTATTAATTCTATTTATTCTACTAATTAACTAACATTTTTATCATTCTCAACTTTATTCTGCTTTTAAAAAAGAAATTTTCAAAGATATGTAAATTTTGATAGATTTTTAAATTAAGAGTGATATTTCGCAAGTATCTGCATAGCAAGCGACGAATGAATTAAGAAATTTTAAATACAAAAATTTTGCGGAAGGCAAAATTGAAAATAAAGCCTAGGAAACATTTTTTTCTTACCAAACTTATATTATTGGAAATATTAAGTTCTGTAGGTGGAACATATTGTCCTTGTTTTCTAGAAAGTTTTAGAAAAACTTCTTCTAAAGAGGAACAACTATACATTTGTAAAAGAGCCCTTGGCGATTCTTCCGCCAATAATCTTCCACTTCTCATAAGACCAATCTACAAAAAAAGAAATAATTTCATCAAAATTTTCATGATTAAACAATATTTTATTAAACAACAAAAAAGAAATATTTATCAGAGTGATTAACAAAATATTTTACCGTATGAGCTTGTCTCGCTTCTTCAATATAATGTGTCGTAATGATGACTGTTTTATTTCCATCTTTGGTAATTTGAACCAAGTGATTCCAGATACTAAAATAAAAAAAAAATGTACCCAATTATGTTAATAATATTTCTAAAACTATTAAAATCAATCGACTTTTTGAATATTGAAATATTCCAAAGTTTTATTTATCTTAAGTGAAATCTTTTTTTTTATTTGAATTATTGTCTGGCATTTGAACTCGAAATAAAATAATAACTATAAGTGAAGCATTCAAAAAAAGATTGTTGAGAAGAACTCATGTTTTATTAACTATCTGTTTTGCACGATAAAAGAGTTTTTCAATATTTTCTTTCATTTCAAAGTGTCTTTGTACCTTGACACCTGATCCTTGTAATCTCGCTAAAAACTTCCGGATGGAGTATGCGTCTCCTATTTAATTTTCTAACGATCTGACGTAATATGGACTTAATTATTTAAATTTTATCAGAGAGCAATTTATTCCTTAACTCAAAACATCATTTGTTAAATACTTTTTATCTCAATTTTGCTGAACTTATATTCTTGAAGAATTTATTTTTTCAATTAATCAGTCGAGTAAAATTTGAAATTTAAACTTTAAACATTTCCCAATTTTATGTTCTTAATTTCTTATATTATTCAAAGTGTTTTTTTTTCTCTTCCTCATTTGTCATTAGATATTCTTCTTTACAGACGGTTTTAAGTGACAGATTATTCAACCTTTAAAAATAATTCTCTATAGAATTTAATTTTTTTTCTCGCTTCTCTTTTTTCGTTTTGGTTGAACTTTAACTAAATGTTCTTTTTTTGCAGGTCGTGGCTCTTATTAAATACTGCCTTTTGAATAAATAAATTTATGTCATTGAAAATCAACGTCTTGGTTTAGAAAAAAGAAGTGACTATTAATATGTCTTGTATAGTCAAAAGGCATTCATTGTTTTGTTATTCATTATACACTGGAATGAATCAATTATATGCTGGAGAAGTATTTTTGAAATATATTGTTGCGGTGCATTAGTTAAAAATTCTAAAAGACTGAGGTCTATACTCTTTTTCACTGAATATTGAAATCTTAATATTATTAAAGGGAAATTGAAAGCGATTACGAGCAGTAAAAGTCGACTCTTATTATTGCAAATCATAATTTATGCGTGCACTACCGTTGTACATCTACCGCCTCGCTTCATATAATCAAATCTATTTTTTTTATATCAAATTCAATCAGGAAGAAGATTTGTAATTTAAACTTGGTTACGTGAACGTTATAACTTTTATTTTTCACTCCCAGCTTTTGTCCACTAAAATGACTAAAATAACCAAATAATAGATTTTATTGTAAATATACTGTAAATTTTCGAAATTATTTTCTATAAAAAATTTGTTTTGATCACATTCTGCTAGGAAGACTAGTTTTTTAATATCAGTGTATTAAGTATAAGGTATGTATAGACTGAAAGAAAAAATCACAGACGATTTTTTTCTGTTTATTTTGAATCATGCCTTCGTATTTTGTACTTTGTAACTATTTTTTTTTTATTTTACTTTTCGAAAAAAGAATTTAAATTTACATTATAAAAAAATAATTTTCAATAAAAAATAACAAGAATTATTTCTCAACAGCTAATACCTACTTTAAAATTTGTTTGATCAGCGACATCGACAATATTAGTTAATAAAATTTCCCACTGACCTTGAAAAACTGTAAAAAGCTTTGAAAATATTTGAAATAGCTAATCGATAAATACAGACTTGTTGGAGTTGTGTTATAATATTATTCTTTTTAACAGAGTTAATAATATGTTGATAATAGAAAGGTTGTCTACACTTTCACTTATTTTTAATGATTTAATATTTCTATTTTTTTCGTTAAATTATTATCAACATCTCGATATATAAAAGTGATTTCTATTCAATGTTGCATGGCTAAATAAAATTTCTCCTTCTTGAAAAGATCATTAGCACCTGTGTTATGATTCCAATCAAAGGAAAGTGGTCGATATTGTATGTATACTTTGAGTTTCACTAATTAATAATAATTTGCAAATTCAAATATTGAAGTCGAAAAAAAATTAATTGTTCCTGTTTAATTATTTTTTCTGATAATTTGAAATTTATTTTTTATTTCTCACCTTTGTCTGAGAAGTGGATCTACGCCTACTGTTGGTTCGTCTAGAATAAGAAGTTCTGGATCGTGCATCAGAGCCACTGCAAAAGAGACTCTTCTCTGTTGACCTCCACTGAAAAGGAAAATTTACTAAATAAATATATTAAATTAATATAATAAATAAAAAAATATAAATAAATCTGGGAATTAAATAACTATATCCAACGACTTTTTATGAATCAAAAAAACAAAATTTAAAGACAAAATTCGCTCCAAACTAATCAATAATATTTCACTAAAAGTTTCTTAATTTTAGAGGATTTCTCTTATTTTGCAGCATTTTCTCCCATTAAACAACTATCATATTTAATTGATAGGATTTTGGTCCTTTTTTGAAATTCGTATATTGAAAATAAAATGTAAAAGTAATTGTTGAGCAGAATTTCCGTCTCACTTATTTTTTCCAGTGAGATTTTATTCTTTTTGACAATACTTTTAAAAAATCTAGTCTTTAAATTTAAAATGAAATCTTGAGATTTGTGAAATTACAAGACATAAATTACCTAAGATTTTTAACAAGACGATTTTGCGAAGGAAGATCGAGAAATTGCAGGAGAAATCGTAACCTTTCGACAATTTCTGCGGTGCACATGCCAAAGATCCAACCAAAGTACATCATGGTTTCCCTGATAGTGAATTCTCCATAGAGTGCAATTTCTTGAGGCATGTAACCTACTCTTTTGCCAGGCACTCCCGATCCCTTTGTGCCTGGTTTGCCACCTAATACCCAGATTTCACCTGAATTTAATCGTCTCCTTCCCACAATGCAAGAGAGTAATGTAGTTTTTCCACAGCCACTAGCACCTAAAAGACCGTATCTGCAATAGAGAAAAGAGTTTTTTTTTTATTAATTTACTTTCTAAATAATAGAAATTAAGTCCGTCATTGTAAGAAATATATTTTTTATTTCTATTTTGATTTTTTTAATCATTTACTAATGTTAGAACAGAACATTTTCTGTTTTATAATGCTCACATACTTTTTTTATATAAATAAAAATTACAAATGAAACGATAAATTTTAAATTTATAATTATTTTACATAATCATAATTGTATAAAAGAAATAGGTATATATAAATATTTTGTAATTTAGTGATTGCTTTTAATATTATATAAGTTTTGCTCGCATGAATTCTGTTTATTTTACATAACACATTGTTTCTTTAAACATAAATTTCAAACTTAGAATTGATTTTTTATAATTCAAAATTTTATTAATTTTTCTCAAATTATTGCATATTGTAGACAATTTTTATAAAATTTTACTTTTTAGAAGGTATTTAAACAAAATATATTTATCCTTGGTTTTCTAATATTACATTAGAAATTAATTTATTATGCAGTGAACTGTTATTGATCAAACTATATGACTTTCTTTTTATTGTCATTTGTCAATAGTAATTATCCAGAATCTGTTTACCTATATATAATCCCATATCTAGGTAAAGAAGAATATAATTAAATTATGTTTGTCAATAATGCATTATTTCGTATCATCGTTCCTTATTTCGATTTTCAAAGTTTCGAAGAAAAATGTAGTTCTTTGTTTCATGTATATTATGTTTCTCAATATTTGAGAAATGAGAATTAATTTTGATTTATGTAAAATTGTGAAAAATTAATTTGTGCGTAATGCTGTTTATTTATTGGTTTTGTCATATAGGAAGCAAGATATTGAGTTGTATTGCTTTCACCGTTGATAAAGAGTAAATGCGGTCAACGTGCTTCATAAACAGCTGATATAGAAAGGTATAAGAATTAGCAAAGAATGTTTACATCTAAAGACTTTAGAAAGACTGGAGGTCAGTCTATACTAAAAACTCATTGTTCAATAGTAATTAATTTTTGAAACATTAATTTCTGTTTATGTCCCTACAAATGTAAAGTTGTTTGCCGTATACGCAATCGGTGTATAACATTTTTACTTAATTCGTACATATTTTTATGTGTCTTTTTTAAAAGAAAAAAAACTTTATGTTTACACTTCAAAATTGATTTTAAATTCTTTAAATTATTTTATCAAAATTTGTAAAATTGTTATTTACATTTTACATTAAAGTTTATAAACGATCTTGATATTTTTTTTATATGAACTATAAACAATGAGAACAGTGTTTACATCCGAATGAAGTGAAATTGCCGCAATCGATTACTTGTTCGATTATCGAACAGTTTGAATTTTGCTGCACTTCACTTTTTTCATACGCAGTTCTCCTAACGTTCATTGTTTGATCACATTGTTTACAATTTTAAAAAGAGTTGAGTGAGCAACTACTTCAATAAGCAGTGAATCTAATAAAATTATCCAAATCAGGACATATTAGTGTAACATTAATTGAATCAAATGCTGGAAAGAAGAAAGAAATATAGTAATCAATGTGACAGTTTTACGCCGGTGGCCGGTGCGTTGTGTAAGGTTATGTTACACCATCCACTCAACGATTTATGAAAATACATCATATTTAGTCATACTATTTAGAAAAACTACACGGGATCGGAAAAAATAAATTAATAAGCTCAAAAGTTTCGAGAGATAACAAATAAGGAGAGATACGTAAAAAAAAGTCCGATGTCTGCTTGTTGAAAATAGAAGGGAGTTGCAACATTTCCAAGGAAAAATCAGAGTGAGTACTTTTAATTCTTATTTAATTCTGTATCAATGTTTCAAAAATTATTCTATTTTCGATATTTTTATTAAAGAGGTTATATTTGGATGAAATATTCTGATGCATAAGTGTTTATTTATGGAGAATCACGTAATAAAATTTTAATCGATTACAAACAATAATTCCATTAGGATTTTAATTGCGTGAACGTAATTGAAAAGAAAAAAAAACAAAGTAAAAACAAATTGACTAAAAAATTGATACTAATAGAGTTTTTAAACTAATACTCTGCATATCTTTATCATATCAATTTGAGAGACGGATTGGCAGTGATCGTAGTGATTTTCTTCTAGGTATTTTCAGAAAAATTGTAACGATCCATATTATGCAAATTTGAGTCGCTTTTAAATTATAGAACTCTTCATTATATAATGTATAAATTCCAAAAGAAGTAGAACTTGCATAATTCAATTTTCCTAAGGAACATTCGAATTACAGTGGAACCTCGATTATCCGAACTAACCTAGGCACGGCCTGATTCGGATAATCGAAAATTCGGATAATAGAGGTTTTAATGTTTTTCATAATTAAAGTAAAAAAATTGGACAGTTGAACTATATGTACATATTTAATTTAATACATTTTTCAAAGATATATAAGTATATATATTAATTTATAATAATATATTAATAAAACACAATATATGATTTTTTTAAGACTTTTTTGGCATAAACAAACATAAGTAATAAAATAAATAGAGAAAATAAATTTTAAAATTCGGATAGCCAAAAAAAAGTTCGGATAATAGAAATTCGGATAAAATGATTTTCGGTTCGGATAATAGAGGTTTCGGATAACAGAGGTTCGGATAATCGAGGTTCCACTGTATTGGAAAATTAGGATAAACTAGTGAATGTTCTATAAATATAAAGGTCTTGATTTTTTAATTAAATTTCATAAAATCTTGGTACTTAATTTATTTTTATTAATTGCATTTCTTGTATTTTCTTTTGTAAAAAAAGAATTTGAGGGTAAATCATAGTTAAGAGCATTGTACCTTGAAACACATAACAAATTTCTCAACAATCTTATGACATCTAACGATTTACATCGGTAATCTCTTATGCAAGAGGTTAAGTGTTTTCATATATAATGTTTGTTTACTAAAAAGTTTGTTTAAAAATGCAAACTAAGCCAACATGTTTTCCTGGGTAGTCATTTTTTTCTGATTTTCATGTTTGCAATTCAAATCAATCAAAGAATAAAGTCAACTTTGCGATATTATAGAGAAATAAAAAAATAATTGAATTTTATTTTTGTATCTTACAAAGAAGTACGAGAGAAATTTTTAAAATTAGTGCTGCACTTGAGAACAAAGGCAAAATTTTGACAAGAGTTGACTTTTTTCTGTGATAATATTCTACAAATTACAAAGACATTTAATTAATTACGAAAGATTTTGACTTTATAAAGACATTTGTTTCACACTTTTTGCACAGTAATTCTTGATAAAAATTTCTCTCTAGTTCTAAAAATTTTTGATTGGTACTTACATCGAGCCTTTGGCAACAGTCATACTGAGATTTTGTATTACATGATTTGGATTTTTGCTACTTCCATAAGTTTTAAATGCGTGCCTCACGCTTACGGCTTGTTGTCGACTCCAGGTCGGATTATTTATTCCAGGAGTTGCCATAAGAGTACTTGGTGGCATTATGCCGCCGTCTATACTTTCTGTGCTCTGCATTTTTTTTTTAAGTGAATTAGAATTCTCTAAAGTCCCTCCGTCTTCTGCGATTCTGTCACTGGAAAAAAGAAACAAAAATTGTTAGTACTTTTTTAATTCAAAATGTCCTTAATACTAGTAATATTATAATTCAGAAATAGGATGATAAATTTTACTCTAGTTCATTTTTGTAATCTAAAAGTTTCTTTAAATTTTAATTTTCATATTTTTCCGTTATTACAAAATCATCATAAAATGTTTATAAAATGTCGGCAAAAAAATTCGTTTTTTTTTAATTAACTTGGTGTAGATACATTCTCTTTCAGGATTCGCGTATAAATATATGAACGTGAAAGTGATGTAATTTCGTACATAATAGTCACGTGATGATTTCCAGTCCGAAGTATTTATCAGTTGATCGAATATAGTGTATGAGTGATTTAATATTTACTTTAATTTACAAATTACTATTCATTAGATTTTTGAGTATTATTCATCACGAGTGGAAAAGAAAAATACAATAGAAATTCCTGATTTAATTATTATCGTAGAGAAATATTTCTCAACTCTCCAAAACCTTCAGGAGCAAAGTGCGTAAAATATATCAAATTCTGAAAGTAACATCCAAGAATTTTTGCGTAGGGATTTCTCAACTTTTGATGATTCGTCATCGTAAATTTAAAGTCCAATAAACGAAGCCTATTTTCTAATTAATTTTAATTTTCTATTTTAGAAGAAAGATTCGAGTGTCCAGTATTTTTCAATTTCTCGCACATATCGAGAGTCATAATTCTAGTCTCAATTGTACTGTTCGCAGGACAGCATAGCATTACATAAGGTTACGGCTTTCTTTTCGCTGACGCTCAACGTTTTCATTGGGCAACTTTTACGGTCATATAGAGACATGTCTTTAAGTAAAGACAAGGAGATGAAGCGTTGACATAAACTTTAAGTAAAATGTTAAAGAATGGAAACAAAATATATTGTAAACCTCCGACTTGTTTGAAAAAAACCAAAAAAAGAAAGAATATGTCATTACGATTAATTTTTTGTTCTCTTCATTTCTTGAATTATAAAATTTTTAAAAGTTGAAGGCAATCGTGATTTTTTAAAAAATTAATTATAATAATTTCAAGTTGAACTTAAGAACAAGTAGAATTTTTTTTTGAAAAAAAGGAATACTTGTTCGGCCTTGACGAGGGATTGAAAATGAACAGCAATCTTTATTAAAAAACAATCCAGTTCTTGTAACCTCAAGAAAGTTATTTTTCATTTAGTATTTCGCTGGTAACAATTTATCTGCTTTTATTTTCTTTTTTTTCAAGATTCACAAAAGAAAAACGAATATAATTTAAAAATGCAATAGTCTTAAAGTTCAAATTTTAAAAAGTTAAACTCAAAAATTTTTCTTTTCTAATTTATCGGCACTATTTGAATTTTCACCCGGAGTGTGTCAGAGTTAGAATTTATAAATTCTTTAAAAAATCGAGATATATTATTTTTACGTAAGAGTAAAAGATGAGTTCTTCGTTTTATGGTGAGAAAGCAACATAATAAGGAAACAGTCATGAATAGTTAATTGCATTTAAGAGGGAACGCACAAAAAAGAATAAAACAAGGGAATAATTACTTACAATTATATTAATGTTTTTCAAAAAAAAGCCTTTTACTTTTGTATAATATTCAATAGGTATTAATTATTTAAAATTAAATTAAGAATTGCAGAAATTCAATTATTTTCAAAAGTAATGAAGTCCGTGATGCGTTTTTAAAAACGAATAATAATAATTTGACGATATTTGTTATTCAGGCTTCAAGTTTAAATTATTAACTATATCCTCTGAGAAGAAGTTAATTTCTTAAAAATTTGGACACATTAAAATGTAAAGTAGAGATGATTCTATTCTTTTCTAATTTTTCGTTTTCAAAAACGTTGCGGACTTTGTTATTGCATTTAATTTTTCATTAAAGAGCATATCTCGATTCTTGGAATTTAATTTTGAATATTAATTAACTTTGGAAAATTTCCGTCGAAATGTTTCTTTTATTAAAATCTAAATTCGAATGTTATTAAAATTGTTTTGTTTACATGAAATTTTTTAGACTTTTGTTTACAACAAGTTTATGTGAAAGTGCACGTCATGACATGACACATGCAACTAGAACTGCATTTAAATTGATTTATTTTATTTCCGCTTGTAATGACGTTTCTTATAAAGACCACCAAAGGCGAGACAAAAATGGCATTAAGGTAAAGAATGAGTAATATTTTTCATTAACAAACAATTGTAGAATATTACAAGCTGGGATCGTAAATTTGCTTCAAGTTCGTAATAAATGTGCCGTTTTTTTTTAGAAAAGGTCCGTTTATTCTGTAATTTGAAAGAAAAAGGACAAAAAGTTCCGAAATTGTACGATATAATTTAGAGAATTTTAGAGAAATTACAAATGGTTGTAGAAATTCAATTATTTCCAAAAGTAATAACATTCTTCGCAGAAATTCAATTATATTCAAAAATTTTTTTAAATTCTCGTCAAAATTTCAATTATTTTTAAAAATTTTACTCAGTTCATTCATTTTCAATATCTATTCTTTTAATAAAATCTATCAAAAGAATTCAATTTTTAAAAAAAATAATTATGACAAAATTCTACGGAAATATTTAATTATTTTCATAAATAATAAAACTTATCACAGAATTTTAATTATTTTTAGTACAATTTTAATCGAATTCCTCGAAAATAAAATAAAAATAAAATAAAAATTTTATTAGAATTCGTCGAATAGAAAAATTTTAGTTTTAAAAACTCGAAAACAAAATAATTGGATTTTGGAGAAATTATTTTTAGAAATAACAAAATTCTTCTTCGAAATTCAATTATTTTCACAAATTTAAATAAAATTGTTGGACAAAATTTCATTAAAATTCGTCGACAGAATTCAATTATTTACAAAATTTGTTGATAAAATTCTTTATGAGAATTCAATTATTCAATAAATTATTTTTTTTATTCAAATAATTGAGATAAAAATAAATTTCAGTTCAAATTTTAGATAAGAATTAGATATTAAAAGCATTATAGTGTGAATTTTTAGAAATAATTGAATTTTGAAAAGGTTTCATATTTAAATCCTAATTTTAATTTCTCATACTGTTAACTAACAATTCTGTGGAAGAATTAATTTTTTTCGAAAAAGTTTGTTTCAATTTTACTTGAAATTATTTTTTTTTAAATTTTTATTTTCTAATATTTAATTTTGAAGAATTTTCGAATAATTGAAAGTAAAATTGAAAAATGAATCTGAAAATTTTCAATGAATTTTTTCAAAAATTATTAAAAATAATGGATTTATAGAAGAATTTTAGTTAAAAACACTAAAAAAAATTTAATTTTGGAGAAATTACAAATTATTGTAGAAATTCAATTATATTTTTGTATTTAAATAAATTAATTCTAGAATTTTCTAATAAAAATTAGATTTAAAAATGAATTTCAGTTAGAATTTTAGATAATTGAATATTAAAAGCAATATAGCGTGAATTTTTAGAAAATAATTTTTGTGAAAAAGTTTAATTGAATTTTTTTGATATATTATTTGAAGTTTATTTTTTTCTAATATATATTTTTAATTGGAGAATTTCCGAATAATCGAAATTTCATGTAAAATTGTATTTTAAAGAAATGTTATTTATGAAAATTCTGAAAAAAATCTTTTTCGAAAATTATTAAAAATAATTGATTTAGAAGAATTTTAATTACAAAAGTTCTTGGAAATAATAATTGAATTGAAATGATGTAAATAATTTTGAAGGAGTAATAATATTCTTATAATATAAAATGATGATTTTATCACTGCGGGTCATCTTCATGTTTTATAGTTATGAAAAAAATTTAATTTCTAGTTTTAAGTAAAATGTTCTCTTTTTTTAGAGGTATCGGACTGGTTATATTTTTGTCATTGGTCCGTAATTTTTCATTTTTGGTTCGTAAAATCTGTATTTTTAAATACTTTCACTGGTTCGAGCCCTGTAGATAAATAAATAAATTCATGCAACAAAAGGAATCTTATTAGCAATATAAATAAGTAATTTCTTTCTTTAAAATGAAACACCCCTTTTACTTGCAGTGTTGTTTTGTAATTTTTCTGTTACCGAATTCTAGACAAATATACTTTCGTGTACGCGTATAAATAAATTATAAAACGTCAAAGGGTTGCCTCGCGTCATATTTACCAATATCAATGATTCTGTAGTTATGTACACTACGTAATGTTGCTTAGTATTCGAAAATCGAAGTTAAACATGGCGTCTATTGGTCAGAAGTTGCGTAATTTATACGACATTCCTCGACATACCACGAGGACGCATGTGGAAAGATCAGCTTGCGAATCTGCTTTTCTGGGCCATGGTCGAATCGAATTTCTTACCAAGAGTGGCTCACCTTTCGTGAAGGTCTTTCTTTCTTCACACTTTTCCTTTTCTTTCATTTTTCCTCTTCATCTACTTTCTCCACTTATTCAATTACACTCTTACATCGCGCGTCTCCATCTTTCGAATAATTTTCTGTCAGCACCTTCCTCTTCTCTCAATATTTACTTTTCTCCTTAATACTTTATTCACTTATATTTATATCCTTTAAATGAACTTTTGCTTTTTTTTTTTTTTTTTTTTTGAGTTCACACTCTTCAGGCATTTGTACTTTTTAAAGTACTTATTCATATACAGAAGTTTGCATCTATTTATAAATTCTATCGTATTTATGAAAATAAAGTGCAAATAGGTATTTTTTTTTGAGGAAACTTCTTGGAGTACCATTTTTTAAAAGATTAATTCGATGTTTTTAAAGAATTTAAAGAGTAAAATATAACGAATATAAATTGCTTTTAATGAAACGATTAAGTACAGATCAGGGCATGAAATGTTTGTGAATCATAGAACCTCATTTGAATCAAGAATTCTAAACTGATCAACTTGATAAACTTACAACGCATTTTATAAAGAGATGCGCTTGGAATTATTTATTAAATTTGCCACTGTCTATAATTTGCCAACGGCCCCGAAAATATATTAAACATTT